TGGTTACCTGTATACACCTTTCCTCCTGATGTGTTGGCACCAGCTCTCATCCTCTTGTTTTACCTCCAGTTACCTGTCCAAATCCTATTACACCAGGTGTACATGTGTTACCCGTGTTTGATGTGTAAACACCTGTGATCTGCTGTAGGGTGGGGCTTGATCCCCTTAAAGGTCTGCTTTGTCCTCGTCATGTAACCTGTATGTCCACTGCATTTCACTGCCACTTCCAGGTATGAAACCAGGTAAACAAAGGTAAGATGGCAGTGATGGAATCAGCCTCTGAACCAATCATAGGCCAGGTAACATAGGTGACTCAGCCACACTGCTTTGTTCTTACAAAGCAAGCTTGGTTGAGTGACTAAAGCATCATGTATCTTGGCAGCCTCCCTGTCTAATTACCTAGAATGATCTATTGATTGATCGACCTTCTGCAGGATACTCACAGTTTTTGCAATTTCTTAATACCTCAAAAATCAGAGTGCAACAAAGTGTTGTCATGCACATCAGTTCTCAGTGTTCATAGTTACCATGGCAACTATTACAACATTATTATGGCAAAGCGACCAGGTGTCATGGATGATGTGATGTACTGTGTAAGAGGGTAGGAAAGTGCCATCATGGATCTATGGCTACGGCGGCTCAAGTATAGTGCAGACAAACTGTCCAGGTAGTCTCCTCATGTTTAATCTCTAATTACTTCACATTGTATGTTTCATTTCTTTCCTTTGTAATTATCTATATTGTATATCGCTCATTTTTTTATATTTTATCACAAACATTTTTGTTTGTTAACACTGATCCCCTTCGTTTGTGGAATAAAATATCGACAAATATCTGGTATTGAAAAGTTCTGAGATAAATGATCACCTAACAGGTAGTAGTTGTATTTTTATGAAGGATCACACAATTGACATCAATTTTATAGTGTACCTGATACAGGTGTGCTGGTCAATCACCTACTATTGATGTGCTGTTGTTATCCGTACAGGTAATTTAGATCTATGTCTAATTATCACCTGTACTGGTGAACTAATTACCGTCTCTATTGAGTGTTTCCTTTCTAGAGTACTTATTGAGCTATTACCACTTCCACAACAATACATGTATTCTTTAGTCCAGTAACCTTATTAGGGAGATAATGACCTGTAACCCTACAGGTTATAACACCAAGGACGAGAAAAACACCTTAAGTTGAGTAATACAGATGAAAGGACACCTTTGTAGACGTATTGTTTTGTGATATAAAGAGGTATTTATTATTGAATTAATGTGAGGCCCTTACTCTTTGATTGACAGTCTACATGTCAGGAATTTCATATAATATAGTTAAAGGTTTTCTCATTTATAAATCATTCTACACATGAGCTCTCCCATGTTCTCTGACCATTGTCCAGTGCAGTAAATTCCTGGCAGTTTTGTTTCTTGTTGATAGTTCAAGGTCAGTTAGCTTTCATAACACTTACATGTATTTAGGATTTTCCTTTTTACAAATATGAAACATTAAGTCAGTTATAAAACTTGTTTAACTAATATATATCCCTACTGACAATTAGCTATGTATATGTTGAGTATTGAGTGATGTCATACATTGTGACCTACAATAAAATGTATATACAGCAATATCTGTACAGGTACTGTCCTGCACAGTACTGCGACACCAGGTTGTATTATGTCACCTGTAACCAGCCTTGTAGATCAGATACCAGGGTACTTGTAACTGAAGTTCTAGTGATGTAATGCTGGGATTCAGGTATCTATATTTTATCTGACATGAGTATATATGTACGTTAACAAAATGTATGTCATGTGATATTAGGATACAGGTATCCAATAGTATTTGATATGATCATACTATGAACCATGTATCAAAAGTCATTTCATGCGATGCAATAGGATACATGGATCTGAAGTTATTTTATGTGATCCTTTATTACGAGTCACATATTTGAAGTTATTATTTATTGTGGTATGAGATACATCCCATGTAGCTGAGGTGATTAAATAAACATTTTCCTTTAAATAAATTTAAAAAAAATCTTCTTTTATTAAAACTGAATTCTATTGTATGTTTACTATGGTAGGCAGTGAACACACACATGTAATACATTCTGTGTATTATACCCGTTGTGAAATCAGAAAGATATGACATTGAAAACAATAGATATGCAAAATGGCGAAAAATGGATTTTCAGTTAGAAATTATCACCAAATTTCTTGGTTATATGTGATAGATAAAATATTTAATTTGTTTCCATTATATGTGAGATAAATGAATCCTTTTTAACTGAGTTCTCATATAAGATATATTTAAAATGTAAATTAATTTTAATAGCCTGTTATACAAACATATTTCAAGTTATTGTTTTAACTCTTGTTTGAACATAAATCTGGATTGAAAATAATAAAACATCACTTTATAACAACCATTACTGGTAGATAACCTACCAGTGGATGTGTATCAGTACAATGTCAACAGATGATAAATCCTGCAAAATCGAGCCTTGTCAATATTTGTCCTTCGTCATGTGTTTGTATGACATGTATATAGATCGGCTTTAGCTGAGGAAACCTATAGTATGGGTATCATTCCTAACTAATAATTCCTTCATAGCTGTAAGTACGCAAATTAATCGGGAACAATATGTTAGAGATAAAAAAATAGATATTGTAGGTATTTTGACTTTTTCAAAGTTGTACTGTACTTCATAATGTATGCATTTTGACTGCAAGTTGACTTTAAAGATATTTTAATATAAATGCATAAAACAGGCTTTTGCATTAAAACAATTATGAAAGAGATCTTGCTGCATGTTTTATAAGTGAATACACAGGAAATGTTATAAAGATCCTTACATCCAGTTGTCACTGTGTATGTCCCTGTAATTTTATACACCTGTAACCATGGCGATGGAGTACAACAAGCCACAGGTAACATGTTGTAGCTCCAATGAAAGGAGTAGGAATGTCATACCTGGCTGACCCTGTAGAATCAACACAAGGGTTTACCACTTAGATCATAACATTGTCTGCATGTTGCTTTAAACATTGACACATGGACGACTCGTGTGTGACTGTCTGTTTTGTCGAATCATCATTTAAATGAAAGTTGGATGTAGTAAGATGGTCCTGTAGTCAGATATCTTGGATAAGTTAACACAACTTGTGAGAAGTGGATGCCTGTATTGGAACAATTCCTCATCACGTACTCATGGATAACCTTTCCAGGTACTTTATAATCTGTGACCCACATGACCAAGAGACTGCTGTCGTATTGGTGACCACTCCAAAGTCTATTGTTTAATTTGTGACCACTCTCCAGAGGTCAGTCTTATGAGTGACCCTTCCAGAGGTGAGTCATATGAGTGACCCTTCCAGAGGTCAGTCTTATGAGTGACCCTTCCAGAGGTCAGTCTTATGAGTGACCCTTCCAGAGGTCAGTCTTATGAGTGATCCCTTCAGAGGTCACTGTCTTATGAATGACCTCTTAAGAGGTCACTGTCTTGTGAATGACCCCTGCAGAGGTCAGTTTTATGAGTGACACCACCAGAGGTCAGTTTTATGAGTGACACCACCAGAGGTCAGTCTTATGAGTGACACCACCAAAGGTCAGTCTTAAAAGTGACCCATCAGAGAGGTCAGTGTCTTATTAATGACCCCTCCAGAGGTAAGATTTTGATTGACCCTCCAGAGGTCACTATCTTATGAGTGACCCCTCCAGAGATCAGTCTTATGTTGGACCCTTTCAAAGGTCACTGTCTTAAATTTGACCATCCGTAGGTCACTGTCTTAATTTGACCCTTTCATAGGCAACTGTTTTACATGTTATGCCTCCAGCAGCAGCCTATAAGTTTATACCAGAGTCTTGTTGCCTTGACGTGTAAATGTTTAATTTGTTTCGGTTTCCCAAAGCTTACTCATAGCACTTCATATTGGACATTGCTGTGTGATATAGTTGATATGTATGGTATTTGTCTTGCTGATAGGTCATACAAAACAAGGTTACATGCATGAACACTCTCTACTAACAATTTGCATTTTGTTTATCATTTTATGTACAGCCTCTACAATGAAAGTGGTCGGGATATTTGATGCAAACCCTGGTGTCTTGTTTTATATCCCTGCCTGATGTTTTAGTAACCTCCATGATCTGTCGTTTAGATGTCTGTTGCTGTTGTATTCATGTCCTGTTGTTTGGATCTGCCTGATGTTGCAGTAACCCTTATGTTCTGTTTTGTTTTCCCATCTGATATTGCTATAGTATTTATGCCCTGTTATTTAGATCTCTGCCTGATGTTGTAGTAAACTTTATGCCCAGTTATTTAGACTTCTGCCTGTTGTTGTAGTAAACCTTATGCGCTGTTGTTTAGATCTCTGCCTGATGTTGTAGTAAACCTTATGTCCTGTTATTTAGATCTCTGCCTGATGTTGTAGTAAACATTATGCCCTGTTGTTTAGATCTTTGCCTGATGTTGTAGTAAACCTTATGTCCTGTTAGGTCTTTTCCTTGTTTTATAGTAAACCTTATGTCCTGTTATTTAGATCTCTGCCTGATGTTGTAGTAAACCTTATGTCCAGTTAGATATTTTCCTGGTTTTATAGTAAACCTTATGTCCTGATGTTTAGATCTTTTCCTGGTTTTATAGTACAATGTGTCCATACTTCCTGTTAAGTCTGTTGTCCAATGTTGTGGTGACGCTTATGACCCCTTATAGTTTGTGTACATGGTTAACTTTGGATGTCTTTCCTATGTGTTGTAATGTTTCCACTATGTTCATTGTTTAGAGCTCTGTCTCATCATGTATTGAATTAGATGTCCTTAGAGACATCTGCCCCAAGCTGCTTATTTTTGTCCTAATAAAATTTAACCTGACAATATTTGAAATTCCAAGTCATTGTGGAGCAATGTGTTTGTAGGCATTACTTATGTTTGTGTCGAGTGGCAGAAGTAAGTGTGTCACTGTTCTAATGGTGTGCTCTAAAACTCTCTGTTTTACTTCCAGTGTGTTCATGACTCTCTTGACGATGGCCCCGACTCGCACGGAGGAGAGCGATGCCCACATGCGGGAGCGACTGGTTAACAGCTTGAGCCAGTCCTTTCCAGGTAGTGCCCTCTCACGTGCCCTGCAGTGCATGCAGCCGGAGTCTGACGATGAGGAATTTAAGCTAGAGGATGACATCCTCAGTAGTAGCTGTTTCGCGGAGCTACGTCTGGAGAAAGGTCCAATTGAGGATGACGAGTTGACCAGTTTGTCATGGTTACAGGACACCAATCTCCTACAGAACATCAACGCCGAGGAGGACGAGGAAAATTCGGAGGGACAGAAAGAAAACGGAGATACCAAAGAGGGGAACCACTACAACCAGTCTCACCCCCCACATGTGCCATACAACCCACAGAAACACGTCAACAGCAAACCACCCTACTCCTTCAGCTGTTTGATATTCATGGCCATCGAGGATTCCCCACAGAAAAAACTGCCTGTCAAAGACATTTACTCATGGATTTTAGGACACTTTCCTTACTTCCAGCATGCCCCTACAGGGTGGAAAAATTCTGTTCGGCACAACTTATCACTCAACAAGTGTTTCAAAAAGGTGGATAAGGATCGAGGACAGGTGAGCATATTCTACCGTACTTCACTGTTTAATTCCTCGTCGCAGCTTCCATCTGTTTTTATTTCCCATACATGACAAGTCTATGCCATAAACAAAATTCATTCCACAAGTAAAGTTACATCCATTACATTGAAATTATTCTTGATGTAAAGTTACCTCCCTTACAGTGAAGCCATTCCCAACACAAACATAATTATTCCTTTAATATGAAGTCATCTCTGTTACACTCATTCCCTTGTAAAATTACCCCCCCCCCCGACCTTGAAGTCATTCTCAATACAATGCTATTCACTTTATAATGAATTTGTTACCTCTGTAGAGTATCTATAATCCCCTTACAACAAAGCCATTCCCAAAACAGCATTATTGCCCTGAAGGTGAAGTCTTCCTACATACAGAGTTACCCGCGCCATTTACTGCAATCACATAATAGGCCATTCTTATATAATGCCATTTATTTCCCAGATATTCATCCCCAATGCAAATTAAGCCTCCATACTTTATAAAAAGTCGTCACTCTTTCATGACATGGCCCGTATAATAGTCACATAAGATATAATGTATTATCTTTATACTGCCATCACCCATTCAAAAATCATCCTCTGTACAATGCCATTCCTTGTATAATGCCACCAATCAAACAAGGCCTTCAATCCTAAAAATTGTTCCCCTATAATGCAATGCCTCATTTAATGTCATCGAAGTCCTAACCATACAAATGTACACAACAGTGACAAAAGAGCTTAGCAACATCATCACATTACACATGTACATGGATATTTCATACCCGTTTATTTATTAGAAATATTAGATAAAAATGATTGAGTTTTAAGCTACATAATGATGGAAATGCTTGTTGCTTATAAGCTGATCTTAGTTGTGACTTGTTCTTTATCTCACTACCAATCTAAATATCATAACAATTATCGGCTATTAAACCTTCCAAACACTTGAACTGCTGTTGCCCGTTTCAATGGATGATAAGTGTTGCCAGGCAACAGAAGGGATTTAAACCACACTGAATTGCATATGACTTAGGTGTAAAATATTTTAAAAGGATAATTATATCATTAAAAATATAGATTGAAGAAGAATGTTTGCCTGCAATAGAGCCTGAAGTATACCTTATCTCTAGACATTTTCCCCTCAATTTCCTGATATATCTTCATAGACATGTCCCCCAATCAATGACTGAGCCTTATTATTGTCGGTGTAGGTGATAAAGTCTGCACATTGTGGCTGTGGACTGGGGATTACAGTGGGTGTACAGCCATCTACTAAATCAATTATCCTAGTACAACATATTTGCTGAGAAGAATAAACATTTAACATATCATCTTTAGTTATGTTTGTATGTTAAATAGCCTGTACAATTGTAATTATGTTATATAATCGATAGCAAGCAGATTGGTGATCACTAAATGTGAGAGAGGCTGTATGCCACATTCTGACTAAAGAGTCAGTGGACTAGGATAGTTCTCCCTTCAGTATGCCACATTCTGACTAAAGAGTCAACTAGGATAGTTCTCCCTTCTGTATGCCACATTCTGACTAAAGAGTCGACTAGGATAGTTCTCCCTTCTGTATGCCACATTCTGACTAAAGAGTCAGTGGTCTAGGATAGTTCTCCCTTCTGTATGCCACATTCTGACTAAAGAGTCAGTGGACTAGGATAGTTCTCCCTTCAGTATGCCACATTCTGACTAAAGAGTCAACTAGGATAGTTCTCCCTTCTGTATGCCACATTCTGACTAAAGAGTCGGTGGACTAGGATAGTTCTCCTTCTGTGTGCCACATTCTGACTAAAGAGTCAGTGACTAGGATAGTTCTCCCTTCTGTATGCCACATTCTGACTAAAGAGTCAGTGGTCTAGGATAGTTCTCCCTTCTGTATGCCACATTCTGACTAAAGAGTCAGTGGACTAGGATAGTTCTCCCTTCAGTATGCCACATTCTGACTAAAGAGTCAACTAGGATAGTTCTCCCTTCTGTATGCCACATTCTGACTAAAGAGTCGGTGGACTAGGATAGTTCTTCTTCTGTGTGCCACATTCTGACTAAAGAGTCAGTGACTAGGATAGTTCTCCCTTCTGTATGCCACATTCTGACTAAAGAATCAGTGGTCTAGGATAGTTCTCCCTTCTGTATGCCACATTCTGACTAAAGAGTCAGTGACTAGGATAGTTCTCCCTTCTGTATGCCACATTCTGACTAAAGAATCAGTGGTCTAGGATAGTTCTCCCTTCAAAGAAACAGATTGGATAACTTCTGCCACTATTTTTTTTTTATACAAAATTTCATATTGTCGATCAGCAGTCTTGACGTATGATAACAGATGGTGTATGATCAGTACAGGGCAGAGCAAAACACTACCCTGGTATAAAGCAAGCTTTTTACTGCTGCCATAGCAACCATAGATTGTTAATCATCAGAAATACTGCTGTAATTTATAGAGAAACAGAGAGAGGAAAGATTTTGTAGGTATGACCTGTGTTTGCTTGCTGGCCTAAGTGAAGAGCAGCAGAGTTTTTAAAGTGTAACTGTTAGCTGGCTATGATGCAAGTGGTTAGATAAGACTGGATCAGGATTATACATGCAATGTGTGATGAGGTACTGAGTGGAATTAGCTCGGCAGGTGCCCTCCATACAGGAATGTGGTGTGGCTACCTCCCAGTGTATCCCACAATGGCAGGTCTACACCTGAGCTCCCGATTACACGCCCCAGACTGGAACACTCCCTAATGATGTAGCTTTAAACAGGCAAACTCCTTATAGTGAAAACCTTGTGTCTAATGGAGAGTTCGCTTTGTACAAAAGATCTGATTTTCAAATTGACCGGTCATTACATTTTAAAATATAATTGATTGAATATGAAAATTGAGAATCAAAATCATTTATTTCCCAATTCCTTCAAAATTGAGCATTTTCCTTAACTTAGTGTGTCCTGCCCTTCCTTCAACAGTTTCAAAACTTCTTAAAATGGCAGTTAATTTCCATTTGACAATTGGTGTTAAGTGAAGCATAATGCCGCTGATCTGATCACTGACTTGTACTGGATTTAAAGGGACAACACACACCCAGACAGGGTCAATGATTAGTACACTAGGGGTGTGTTGATGAACTGCTCTTTAGAGAGGAGTCTACAGTGTCTTTATCTGTATGGTGGGTAAAGTCTAAACTACTAGGTCTGATCCTGCATTCCTGATAGCCACACTATACCTATAACACCTGGTGTGGTGTTGACCCCTCTTGTTGACCTCTGATAGTGGTGTGATATTGTCCCTCTGCTTCTCTTCATAAAGATATCTGTTGTCACCTGCTTCATTTCCGTCCACTCAAGTCAGCTGAAACACAGCAACTTAAAATTCTGAAACCTTTCATCTAACATAGTCTTCCCGATAACAATTTTTATCTTCAATGTCTTTTAAAAAGTTTCTGTTATTTTAGATACTCAGTAGCTGTTATGAATGATACAAATAAATTAACGGTTGTTGATTTAAATTAATCAGCTTTGAGTGTAGTGTTATGTCAGGGGTCAGGTGGGGTTAATTTGACAATGATGTAATTGTGTCAGTCCTTTGTGTGGGCTACACAGTGGTTTTAGGTTATACAGGAGACCACAGCACTGAGTAGCATCGTATACTTGAGGCCAGGTCCTGTAGGAAATCATAATTTGATTCAACAGGGTAAATTGTTTCAATTTGTACTGCTGCCATCTGGAGGGGAGGCAGGTCATGCAAAGTAGAGAGAGACTCTGAAGTAGATCTCCATGACAACATTGTAGTCCTGTGTGCCTCAGCCATTTGTATTCACATCCAGGTTACCATAGTTACCAAATTCAGCAGTGTCTAGCTATAGCAACACAAAGCCAGCTACCACCATGAGGAGGATAATCAATGTGTATTTCTCACCCAAACTCAGTATTCTGCCACAGCCTATTTCTTACAAAAAAAATGAACAATTTTCTGTGAAGAATATCGCAAATATGTTCCCATCAGACAGTGGTTGTTGTTCATGAAAAAAAAAAAAAAAAAAGTTGCCCAAAACTGTTGTAGATTGAAAATTGTACATTTTACCAGCTGTAAATCAAATTGAATCAGATTGATTCTCTTCAACCTTTTGAACCATTGAAATTGCTTACTAACTGTTGTACAACAATTAATTCATGTATCACAGCTGTTAAACTTGTACCTTTTTGGAGACTGATATATTCATTGTAAAATCCATTGAAAGAGGACATCAGGAAATGTTTTATTATAGACATGTTTGATGAGAGAAGCTCTTGCCAGAGGACACAAAATAAGATAAGCTTGCTAGCAGTATATTGTCAATTAATGTATCCATTTCGTGTATAGGGCTGTGCTAGTGATCTGTTGACGCACAGCAGTGCATCATATTTCAGATCAGTTTATTAAAAAAAAAGAAATCCGAATCATGTTTCAGTGTTTTATGAGCGTTACTGTGACAGGTTATTATGTAATTCTGTTTCCTTACAGAGCATTGGTAAGGGATCACTGTGGTGTATAGACCCCGACTACCGACCTAACCTGCTGCAGGCCCTGCGGAAGACGCCCTATCATCCTTACCATCAGCTTCAAATGCTGGCCAACCCCCAGCCATCACAGTACTCCTTTGTCCAAAAGTAGGTAACATCTACTGACCGATAATGTCATTAGTAATAGCATGGTAGGACAACATGTCACCTGACAACTAGCCAATGACATCAGAGTGGCAATAGCACCAACGTTTTCAGATCAATTGTTGTCTGAACTGGACTGCCTTTGAAAACTTAATTCTCAAAACAATCGGTAAGGAATGGTCAAATGAAATTGATATCATATCTCTAGAAGAAAACTGCATGACATCACTTAAGGTGACAAGTATGCCAAGGTGGAAACTCTCACTAGAGGCAACAACTATAACAAGTTGTCAACTGTTTGATATGTCATCATTGAAGGTGACAACCAAATCATATCGCATAAAATAATTTAGGTCATTATGAAGAATGAGTAGACTTAGAAGTCTATAGTCTAAGGGTCTATAGTTGAGAGGGACGTCAAGTCTTTGTTAAGGGTCTATAGTTGAGAGGGATTTCAGGTCTTTGTTAGTTAAGTGTCTTTTGTTGAGAGGGATGTCAGGTCTTTGTTAAGTGTCTTTTGTTGAGAGGGATGTCTAGTCTTAGTTGAGGATGTGTAGTTGAGAGGGATGTCAAGTCTATGTTTAGGGTCTAAAGTTGAGAAGGATGTCAAGTCTTTGTTAAGGGTCTATAGTTGAGAGGGATGTCTAGTCTAAGTTGAGGATGTGTAGTTGAGAGGGATGTCATTTCTTTGTTAAGGATGTGTAGTTTTTGGGGGGAAGGGGGGGGGGGACGCATCAAGTCTTTGTCAATGATATAGGTAGTTTTAGAAGGACATGCAGTCTTTGATAAGGATGTGTAGTTGAAGGAAAGGGACACGGAGTTTTGTAAAGGATGTGTAGTTGAAGGAAAGGGACATGGAGTTTTGTAAAGGATGTGTAAGATTGAAGGCGACATGGAGTTTTGTAAAGGATGTGTAAGATTGAAGGAAAGGGACAGTTGAGGATGTGTAGTTGAGAGGGATGTCATTTCTTTGTTAAGGATGTGTAGTTTTTGGGGGGAAGGGGGGGGGGGGCGCATCAAGTCTTTGTCAATGATATAGGTAGTTTTAGAAGGACATGCAGTCTTTGATAAGGATGTGTAGTTGAAGGAAAGGGAAACGGAGTTTAGTAAAGGATGTGTAGTTGAAGGAAAGGGACATGGAGTTTTGTAAAGGATGTGTGAGATTGAAGGAAAGGGACATGGAGTTTTGTAAAGTATGTGTAGTTGAAGGAAAGGGACATGGAGTTTTTTAAAGGATGTGTAAGATTGAAGGAAAGGGGCATGGAGTTTTGTAAAGGATGTGTAAGATTGAAGGAAAGGGACAGTTGAGGATGTGTAGTTGAGAGGGATGTCATTTCTTTGTTAAGGATGTGTAGTTTTTGGGGGGAAGGGGGGGGGGACGCATCAAGTCTTTGTCAATGATATAGGTAGTTTTAGAAGGACATGCAGTCTTTGATAAGGATGTGTAGTTGAAGGAAAGGGAAACGGAGTTTAGTAAAGGATGTGTAGTTGAAGGAAAGGGACATGGAGTTTTGTAAAGTATGTGTAGTTGAAGGAAAGGGACATGGAGTTTTTTAAAGGATGTGTAAGATTGAAGGAAAGGGGCATGGAGTTTTGTAAAGGATGTGTAAGATTGAAGGGGCCATGGAGTTTTGTAAAGGATGTGTAAGATTGAAGGGGACATGGAGTTTTGTAAAGGATATGTAAGATTGAAGGGGACATGGAGTTTTGTAAAGGATATGTAAGATTGAAGGGGACATGGAGCTTTGTAAAGGATGTGTAAGATTGAAGGGGACATGAAGTTTTGTAAAGGTTGTGTAAGATTGAAGGGGACATGGAGTTTTGCAAAGGATGTGTAAGATTGAAGGAAAGGGACACGGAGGTTTGTAAAGGATGTGTAGTTGAAGGAAAGGGACATGGAGTTTTTTAAAGGATGTGTAAGATTGAAGGAAAGGGGCATGGAGTTTTGTAAAGGATGTGTAAGATTGAAGGAAAGGTACATGGAGTTTTGTAAAGTATGTGTAGTTGAAGGAAAGGGACATGGAGTTTTTTAAAGGATGTGTAAGATTGAAGGAAAGGGGCATGGAGTTTTGTAAAGGATGTGTAAGATTGAAGGGGCCATGGAGTTTTGTAAAGGATGTGTAAGATTGAAGGCGACATGGAGTTTTGTAAAGGATGTGTAAGATTGAAGGGGGCATGGAGTTTTGTAAAGGATGTGTAAGATTGAAGGAAAGTGACATGGAGTTTTGTAAAGGTTGTGTAAGATTGAAGGGGACATGGAGTTTTGTAAAGGATATGTAAGATTGAAGGGGACATGGAGTTTTGTAAAAGATGTGTAAGATTGAAGGGGACATGGAGTTTTGTAAAGGATATGTAAGATTGAAGGGGACATGGAGTTTTGTAAAGGATATGTAAGATTGAAGGGGACATGGAGGTTTGTAAAGGATGTGTAAGATTGAAGGGGACATGGTCGTCCTGTGTAAATCACATTGTTCCTACTGTTGTATACAGCAGCAGCTGTAGGTCTCCCAGCAGATTCAAACCACTGGAACAGTTGTTTTATTCTAATTGAATAATAACTAAATAAAATGTAAATGACTTTATGTTTACAAACCAACGTATTTCACAAGTTGCAACGAGATGTGTATTACTGCACACAAACACATCCTTTATCTGTTTTCTTTGATTTTCTTGAGGTTGAGTGGTGTTAGTATTTGTGCTTAGTTCAGATTAGGGATCTGTATAGGTTATTAGCCCCAAACATATCACTAGGATTATAGAGGGAAGAAGGATTGACAATAGATTAAGTAAACAGTTTATAGAAAATGAATGGTTCCCTTAGAAAGAGTAACAAATCAGAATTGGAAACTATTGATGTTATATTTCCGGTAGGTGTGTGAAGATTAAAAATAACACTTGTAGCATAAAAAGATTGCTTCAGAAATGTTTTTGGGGGGAATAAGTAACATAACATTTTGTCTCTTTGGGAACATTTTAGTAGCATAGTATTCTGTTCCTAGTGTGTGGTACATCTTTAGTGACAATGTATTGTGTTGCCAGTGAGTATTCTGTTCCTAGTGTGTGGTACATTTTAGTAACAATGTATTGTGTTTCCAGTGTTTGAAACATCTTACATCATAGTACTTTGTTCCCAGTGTGTGGACTATAGGTAACATTTTGTATTGTTTCCAGTGTTTGGACTATAGGTAATAATTTGTATTGTTCCCAATGTGTGGACTATAGGTAACAATTTGTATTGTTCCCAGTGGATGGACTATAGGTAACAATTTGTATTGTTCCCTGTGGGTGGACTATAGGTAACAATTTGTATTGTTCCCAGTATGTGGACTACAGGTAACAATTTGTATTGTTCCCAGTGTGTGGACTATAGGTAACAATTTGTATTGTACCCAGTATGTGGACTATAGGTAACAATATGTATTGTTCCCAATGTAAGGATTATAGGTAAAAATTTGTATCGTTACCAGTGTGTGTAATATAGGTAACAAGATGTATTGTTCCCAGTGTGTGGACTAGAGGTAACTATTTGTATTGTTCTTATTGTGTGGACTATAGGTAACAATTTGTATTGTTCCCAGTGTGTGGACTATATAGCTAACAATTTGTATTGTTCTCATTGTGTGGACTATAGGTAACAATTTGTATTGTTCCCATAATTTGTATTGTTCCCATAATTTGTATTGTTACCAGTGTGTGGACTATAGGTAACAATTTGTATTGTTCCCATAATTTGTATTGTTCCCAGTGTGTGGACTATAGGTAACAGTTTGTATTGTTCCCAGTGTATGGACTAAAGGTAACAATTTGTATTGTTCCCAGTGTGTGGACTATAGGTAACAATTTGTATTGTTCCCATAATTTGTATTGTTCCCATAATTTGTATTGTTAACAGTGTGTGAACTATAGGTAACAATTTGTATTGTTTCCAGTGTGTGGACTATAGGTAACAATTTGTATTGCACCCAGTGTGTGGACTATAGGTAACAATTTGTATTGTTCCCAGTGTGTGGACTATAGGTAATAATTTGTATTGCACCCAGTATGTGGACTATAGGTAACAATATGTATTGTTCCCAGTGTGTGGACTATAGGTATCAATTTGTATTGTACCCAGCCTGTTTTGGAACACCTTGAGTAAGGTTAAACTTGACACAATACTTGATTGTCTGCTGTTTCAGACGATGTCCACTGGGATATTGTACAAATAAATATCAAATACTGTTATTAGTTTTGCGATGAATATGAACTGAAAAGTCAATTATTATTCAGGATTTCATTAAATAGTTTTGTCGCTTGAAGGCACAGTCCTTGGTATAGCGGGTTATGTTATTGGCTGAGGGAGAACAACATTTTGTTGGTTTAGGGTAACAAGTCTGTCTGTTGGTAACAGGTCAGTAATTTTGTAACAGCTAGGTAGTTTTGTTACTGTGGTAATAGGGCTCTGGGGTAACAGATCTGTAGTTTGGTAACAGCAGGGTAGTTTTGTTACTGTGGTAACAGCAGGGTAACAGTTAGGGCAGGTGATTTAACACTGAAATGCTTTTGTTATGTGTGTATGGAGGACTGTCTATACACACATGTGGAGTAGTGTGTTACCATAGTTACAGGAAGCCTAGCCAGGCCTGAGTAACCAGTGGAGCAGGAAGTAGGTGTTGGGCTAGGGGTAGTGTGTGTTTCCTCAGGCTAGCACTGACAGTGATGTATCAGTGTTTAGGTTCTATTTATAGGTCGGCATGTCCACACTGCTGTTGACACATGTAAGATCACCAATGTCATTGTCTAATTTACTCCTTACCCGAGGAGGACACTTACATGGACATTTCAGTGGCAAAGACACCATTATGACATTCAGTCTAAACAGATTGTATAAAGCTAACAACTAGCCCCTGAATTTGTTGTGAACTTCTAGCCATTTTTTATGGCAGCACTCCTTACTGATACGTATTGCTATAATATTGCATATGTTGAGTTATGAAACTGACAGTTTAGTTATTTCAGCTTTAAGCTTCAATGAAATAAAATTGAATGTAAACCCACAGATTTGATGTCAGTAGAGACCTATACTATAGGGATTCAGTACAATCTGTTGATTGAGCTACATATATACGTACAGTAGCTGTAAAGACCTAAATAATCTATAGCTGTATTCAACTATAATTATTTTCTGAGATTTAATATTTTTAGTAAAAATAAAGGTAAGTTGCATTACATTAATCTATAGGTGCATACATTTAGTTGTCTATTCTTATTTTTCTTGAAAATATTCACTTTTTACATCAGCAATGTTTTAAGAAGAATGCTATTATTTCATGTCTTTTGTAAGGATAATAGTGACGCAATCTTTTAAATGTGACTTTTAAAAAAAAAGAGTAAAAATAGCTCTGAAGATATATTCCAGATAGATCAATAAAGCTGTTATAGGTCTTAACAGATATATAGCTCAATCGACAGAGTGTACTGGACCTGATATATACTAAATGGTTTTATATCTCTCTTATATCAGTATTCAGAAATGTTAATAAAATACCAAAAGGGGATCTCTTATGGGAAGTCAAACATAAGGTCAGCAACAAGGATCTCAAATTTGTTCCTCGTTTAAAGATTTTGAAAAAAAAGTCATCTTGTAAAAGATGTTCTTACACTAGAGTAGAGCAGTCTGAGTATTAGATGGTGTTATTACACTAAATTAGCCATCTATTGGTAAATGTGTATCTATGTACCAGTACTTTTGGATGTTATCATCTAGCCACTATGTGAATATTTATAAATGTTGTTTTGTTTCAGTGGTCCAAAGCCCCTACCCCTGACCCCCAGGCTGGGACACAACTCCATCTCACCTCGTAAGTTCATCAACACACCTGTACTTAACTCACCTGTATAACGATGTTGTCTGGCTCACTACAAGCCTTATATACACACCGATTGTATCACCTTCACTTTTCACACATATCCTAATTATTAATGAGGATGGGGACATATCTGATGTTCTGAAATAATCTTTAAGTATAAAATTACATATCCTAGTAGAAACATATTTGCAAAAATTATTACAAGAGTTGAATAAGATAGCAACTGTCAATAATGTTCAAATCTAAAATATTTTTGATGGACAGAAGTTAAATAAAAGATTTACGATCAGTAAACGTTACAAATTACCAAAGTTGTGACAGAATTAATGTCAGTTAGATGTAGAAAGCTGATAAAGACTAATAAATTCAGCTTGTTGTACATTTAGTTCAAAGGAAGAATAAAAACAGGAGCCCAATACTACTCCAATAAATTGTAGCCAATGAAAGATTTTTAACAGAAAGACATTAAATTGTGCAGGTGGATAAAAAAGCCATGTAACCTGTATGAGTTTATGAGTAGTTTACATGTCACTGTGGCCTCAGTCTCTGGTGCCAGATAATAATAGGCTTTCGTGTCATTTAGTATTTTACTAAAATGTTATTAATGAATACCATGGCAACTGTTATGAAACATTGATTGTAGGAGTAAGGTGAACTACTGTAATACATATATGACGGTATGGAAAAAACCCAGATCGTGATGAAATAGATAAAAAATAATAAGAAAGGAAAATTATGAGATGAATCGATGCTTGGATACTGGCCATGACGGTATTGACGACTAGTGTAGTCACATCCCTGGGCTTTTTCATGACTTTGCCTGGCTATGTCTGCTTTCCCTGTACCATATAACAGTTAAGTGCTCTACAGATGGACTAGTATCCACCGTTTATTTCACACCCTATCCGTGTTGGATGCCATTAAAAAACTTTCTGTATCTGAAAATTGAAAAATAGCCATTGACAGATAGGAGGGCGCAATTGGCGTATTTATGTTGTCATGGTAATCCATTCCTTTACCGTTGTTGCTAGGACACATATTCAGTTTGCATTATTAATGCACATTTTAATTTGCTGTGTGTATATCACTTTTCCAGATTTGTTCCCATTTTTGAGCAAGAGATTGGCACAGTCGAATTGTGATATAGGTAAGTTTTGTATGTCGAACAGAAAGCTACGATGACAAACAACTATACTAATGTTATTATACACTATTAAGTACAACTTCACTTAAACATTGTTGAGTCTCTCAGCTGAGATTAGCCACTGTGACAAAAACCCAGTACAAATCAAGTTCTAAGGAAACAATTGTGGATGAAGCAACCCCTTGCAATTAGGTCATTGTCAGAAAAATATGCTCAGGAAGGTCATAATCGTCATTTGACCTTGCGAGGAATACGGAACCCTAAACAAACAGGCATGCTGCAACAGCACTGTGATACATCCACAGACACCATTCCATGTTGTCTCTAGCAAAGACATTTTGGCATTTCAAATATTACACAGATATAAAGTGTTTTATTGATTGGGAGAGAACAGACAGTTTCCTTTGACTTTTGCATGGTTTAAGGGGAGGGGCCATCGAGTTTGTCATCTTTTACAGGGTTTTAGGGGTCAACGAGTTTGAGACCTTTTACAGGATTTTAGCCCCTGTTAATAAATTAACCTTTTGCATTGATTTAGGGATCTTTCAACTAGCCTTAGGGAACAAGACAGGTTTCCTCTGCTAGCTTTGAAACAATTCAGTTATAAATTCAGGGTCAGGGTAAGGCCATATTTATGTAAAATTGACTGCTGTATGTAGTAGTCCCAGGGGACGGGAGAGTTGATGGTGCTGGAGAGAGCCTTGGTGATGGTCATCAGTAACGGGATCTTGTGTCTGAAACACGATACAATCACAATCCTCACACTCTGCTATCTGTCTGTTTCCATGTTGGAAGGTAAACTGTTTATCGGTTTCCATGGTAATATATGCTGAGGGACCCATAACATTTGCTTTATCCATGTAGACAGAATACCTGGAAATTATTCTGTGTTAATGGATTTCATTTGAGACCAATTAAATACCTAGAAATTGATTGATTGAGATTGATGATATTTAGTTCACTGCCATCTGTCTAAAATATTTTGAAACGAAACAAAGCAAAAAAACGAGAAGAACTGTTTTATCCCATGACTGCATGAGTTAATGGGCTGATGCAGTCAATAGCATTATAGCACCATCTGTGTACGTGTATCCATGGTAACGGACAAGCAGTCAGTGGTCCGGCTGCTTCTGTATCAACAAAATGGAAGCTGAGTGGAACTCTCTCCTGCAGACTCCCCTGGGTAGTCACTAGTAGTGGTGAAATAAAATTATTGATTTCACATCCCCCGACTCCCAGGATGTGATTTTCCTCAATGAAATCTCTCCATTGTCGATAATTATGAATAAAAGTTTTCAAACAACATCCATGTAACATTTACAAATGGCTATTGTCTTATTATATTGTCTGAATTACGAAGTGAACGGGAGATTTGATTATCATTGGTATGTTGACTGACTGATTAACATCAGGGGTTTTACTACAATTGACTCCCATCTGTATTGAGAGACTGAATTAGCTTGTTATAGAAGGACATCACATGGATTTAGAACAAATCGGCCATAAGTTTATGTTAGGTGATCGGAGGCCCAGTCATAGTCACTGAGTCACTTTTCCAAGTACAAATTACTCATACCAAACTCTCTAAACGCAACGATTCACCATTAGATAGGTTTCTAGGACAACTTTCTTACATGTCTTGAATGCTTCGAGTTGAACTGATAAAAATCTGATCAATGCATTTGGAATATCATGCATCATTAATTTCTATAGATTTCCTCCATTATCTGCTGTGTGTGCTGGGTTATATAGCTTGATTAGCAGAAGTGGGGAGTAGATTTAGTCTGGTATGCTGTACACACAAAATTCAGCTTAATTTCTACATTTCTTTCTCTTTTTCCTGGGCAGTGTAAATTTTACTGTCTTTCTATCTTTGTCCGATGCTGAAGACAGAATAACAATTGAAATTTTGGACAAATAACAACATTTGGGAGAAAAGTAAATTTGCATAGTAATGAAGCCTGAACGACCCTACTGTAATGATCACCCTGATAAGATGGGTTTCATTTCGTGCCAGGATTAAACTTATTGATTTTACATTATATCTGAAGTGATGGCCAAGTGTCCACTCGTATACCTCTGTGTTCACCGTCACTCCCCCAAATTCTCATTAGATTTGCCTGTACATGTATTTCTGTTTATTTAAGTAATGTCAGTTTTTTTTTTTATATAAATAAGTAGAAGATAAATCTGTTGGATAAATTGAAATTAAATGTTTTAAATACTTATTGAAGTTGTATTTTGAAATTCAGTGTTATATACTTATTGAAGTTGAATTTTGAAATTCAGTGTTATATATATACTTCTTGACAGACATAATTTGCCCCAAAGTTATAATGGAGAAAAAAGAATTTGAGGCTAGTATTTCTCCATCCTACACAGTAACTGGCGACTGGTTTTTCATACACCTGCACAATTACTAAAATATTACGCTGTATTACTGAACAGTACTTGTGTTTGTCATGATGCGTGACATCACAGCACACGTTTACCCCACACAAAGGGTGTGACAGTTATCTCACATAGGTAAATGTGGGAGTTGTGTGTGATGGGTGTGACAGTTATCTCACATAGGTAAATGTGGGAGTTGTGTGTGAAGGGTGTGACAGTTATCTCACACAGGTAAATGTGTGTGATGGGTGTGAGATGGATGTGACAGTTATCTCACATAGGTAAATGTGGGAGTTGTGTGTGATGGGTGTGACAGTTATCTCACATAGGTATATGTGGGAGTTGTGTGTGATGGGTGTGACAGTTATATCACATAGGTAAATGTGGGAGTTGTGTGTGATGGGTATGAGATGGGTGTCGACCAGCATGTAATACAGGATTATACTGATGACAATGCCTGATGTTAATCTCGCCTTAATCTAACTCTTGATTAATTTACAGATAGTGATATCCAAGATGTAGCCCACACACTGGTGTCTCTCAAGAGTTTTAGCAGTGGTAGTAAGTATTATGTCACTTGTATTCTCGTTAAATTAATATCCTACATGATACAATATTACTCCACTCAGGATAATAGGATTTATTAAAAATACCTGATCCCATGAAGATCATAGCAACACATCATTTTTTCTAAAGCCTGCCAAAGTTTACATTCGAAAAAAAAAAATTCGTCAATTGATTTTATTAAAGAGAATGGACAGATATATAATTTTGGACAGAAATATAATTTAAGATTTTTCTTCAGATTCCTCAGCGAAGTCATCAGATGGTGAATACTCGCCCTCCGAGCACCAGAGGATGCGACTGAAACGAAAGCAGAGGTAAGTACGGAACACATGACTGGGCGAAGTTTTAGGCCATCATGTCTATACCAATGTCAAGATGTACTAGTTTGACAATTCAGATGTGACAAATTAACCTTAGATTAAGTTTTTGACCAGACAAGTACATGCATAATTTGAAATAATTTTATGTTTACTAGATTAAGTTTCAGTATTTTGCAATTTCCTATTCAGAGCAATTCAACAAAAAGAAAGTGTACTAGATAATCTGTTCTGATGTCATAACCGACATTTTTCTTTCTAAGTCAACGCAGTTTGATGATGTAAATGTGTTTGGTGTATAGTCTTAGCTTAACACAGATTTCCTGTTGATTTACAGACAGCTGACACCAAGCTATCACAAGCGGCGGATTCTGGGTGATATAGTTTGTACTCTCGTGCCGAGTGAGGACCATACATACAGTGTCACAAATGTGTTGAAGGCCCCAGTATCTCCAGGTTCCTCTATAGATGAGGAATATGACTTTGGTGATGAGGATGAAGAGGAGGAGTTTAGTGAATACAGCTTCAACAGTGACGAGTGGGATAGTGCAGACGAGGTAGATGGATCACTCCCTGCAAACAACACTAGACGATTCGTACCCCACAAAAATACGCCAGAGGAGGAGGCTGAAGAACAGAAGAAGATCGTGGAGGGTGCTGATGCACTGCTCAACCTCGCAGGAATTAAAACAAACGGACCTTCCTCACCAGTAGTGAATGGAAAATCAGCCAGACGCAACACGCCAAGCTCTTTAGCAAGATAGACCAACAAATAGCATTGAAAACAATTTTGTGCTTAGATATAATGCCAAATGAGATTCGCCCAGACCCTTCGTGAGGTGTACTTTGGGTGTTGACATTGGGTGTTTTTGTGGGCAGCGGATATATTTTGTACGTGGACCAGTAGGAGACAACTTAGCGAAGCTGGACTTTGTCTTCCTCTTCATTATGTGATGGACCTATATTCTTCTTCCAACACCGGGAGCTCCGGCAGAGGCTCCCCGTGTCCTTATCACTTAAGTGATCAGACTTGTTTTAGTATCGGGACCTCCGGTGGAGGATCCATGTAACACTATAATGATCAGACTTATTTTAGTTCAGTTTGATGAGCTCCTCCGGGGGCTCCTTGTGTCACTACAGTGGCCGGGCTTATTTCACCTCAGTGCAGGACTATTACCACAAGTTTTGTTTTATTACGTTATGAACCAATGTTTTAGGGGTGACTCAAGTTGGTTATGTTAGGTCAGATGTGTAGATGTCTGCCAGACCGGACACCGTTCAATTTGTTTTGTTTTAGTAAGGTTACAGGTGCTATGTATTAGAGAAATTCTTTGCAATCACTTTGTTCACAAAATGACATTTATAAACAGTTTAGGTTTACATTAAACATGTGCAATTACAGAAATACTATAGAATTAGGTACCAAATTGTGTTCCATCTCTTTCAAATTGTTTATAACAAAGTAATTGAATGTTCTCCTTCTTTAGTTAATCTAAAATTGTTATTAGATTTAGGTAGCACCACCTCTCATTGTTCTGTTAATTGCAAACAAGATGCCACTTAACAATGTATCACTTCTATAAAAGAATTAATGGTAAAAATGATCGAAGGTGATTGTTGGACATAGTCTGTCGATGAGCATATTTGATATTGACAGACACACATACACATGTGAGATGGGTACAATATATTTTGGTGCTAATAAATGCAATATTGTTAACAATTCTTATCATTGTTCAATCAAATTTTCAGTCTGGTCGTTTCAGAATCATCATTTTCCTGGCTTTTAACAATAAAAGACCATACGTGTACCAAATCAATTCAATCATCTCATCACACATAGCTGTAAGAATGTATATAGAACTCTACAGCAAGACTCATGACTTGTTAAAAAGCCTGAGGATTTATCCTGGGTGTTTTATTCAGCTTCATTGGATTATTTATCAAGCAGGGCCGTTGTTATATAGGTCTAAAGATTTCACATACTATGTTAAACAATTCTTTTAATACCTATGTGTTCATACGACTTTACAAGATAGATATTATTGCATTTTTGTGGCTTGTAAAGTAAACACTTGTTATTGTTTGTTACCAAGTATGTGTATGCCATACAATTAGTGTATATGAGATCGTTACATGTTTTATAGATCTCATTCCAGTATGTTGCCCTTATTTTGAATATAATTTTTCATCTAAATAAATCATATTATTGAATATTTCATAAAAGAAAAAAAATTGTTATCCTATTAGCTCATTGATCAATTTTACAAGAATTAAATCAAACTTTATTAATTCAATAGCATAAATGAGTGATTCTTGGTGACAAGTTTGAAGTGCAATTATTATGATTAAGACCAGAAATAAAATTCAACTTTCTATAAAAATTAGTGCAATGCAAAATTTCGCCATTTTTCCCATGGAAAGAATTAAAAAAAATAACTTTCAGCATTATCCCATAAGCCAATTTTCATCTCGGTAAAAGTTACAATTCTGCAAATGTAAAGACATGAAATTCAGCATATAAAATTATTAAAAAGTACTGGGCATTCGGTAAAAGCAACATAAACATGTTTTGATATTGTCATTTCCACTGAACTATACATATTCAACAGTGTGTAGCCCAGCGTATAACAATCAGGCTATTACAAATTGAATAAACCAGGCTGGGAGTTGATAATATGTAGGGTTTTGGGTCAAACAAATATTCTGTTAACATTTTTAACATGGACTCTAGGAAAAATAATTGTAGATGGTAGAGTTCACAAAAATGGCCTCCCTATATATTTCGGGAACAGCCCCTGTAGTTATTTCACTCCTAGAATTGAAGAGTAAATGATATTGTTGAACGTTGCGTTTGCAGCACTGTTAGGATGGTACGTTTGTTCTCTGTAGACATCTAATGTAACAGTGGACAACCGTATTCAGCATCGGCTCGTTTGTTATATTGTTATTTTGTGCATACATTGTTGCAATTTTAATACCATTTAAGTAGCTGTGTACAGTTAGCTTAATCCAATACTCCTAATATTTAGTGCTTAGTAACGATGAGTAAGCCATAATGATGATAGCACAGATATATTTTTTATCAAATGCTATATGTTATCAATTTATATATCAACAGGTTATTTACTACGATGTATAAGTTTTTTATGTAAATATTTGCAGAATTCTACTTTGGAAAAAGAGCCATTTGCTTTTTAGTCCAAATTAATTGAGGGAGACACAAAGTTAAACGATATTTTCACAATTTTGTTTCGAGTATAACAAGTGATTTCAGTTTGATCTTAAACTTTTACATTTTGGTGGAGTAAATCAAATAAGAGACATTAATATAAATTAAAATATAATTTATTGCTTTATACAATGTTTACATGTAATATAAGATCACACAAAAATGTGTATGAGGTTATACAGCTTATAGAATTGTTTGATGCCCATTTAAATTATATGGAACAACACAAGTTAAATAAATGATGGCGGGATGAAATGCCATAAATGATGTTTATTTTAAAAACAACATTTACTATTACTAATATAATGACTTTTTCGTAATTTTTAATATCTGTTATTATCCTGTCTTCTTCATTTTAATCAGATCATGGTATATTTGTTCAGAATTAATTTGCAATTAATAAGGACACACTGGTTCCCTCAACTCTGTCCCCTAAGTTCCTATAGAAGATGTATACACTACAGTAGGCGTGAGAAGACCAAGTTATGTGCCAGAGATATCTGGTGATTTATCGTTTGTTTAGCAGCGTTCCAGACATTGGGTAACTTTTTAAAAACCTTGTATGTCTTGTTCCTAACTTTGGTTAATTTATCTATACCTTGACTTCTTGTTCCTAACTTTGTTAACTTTGTATATACTTTGGACCTCTTCATTACAACAATGGTCAACTTTATATTTTTCAATGCAAATTCTTTAAAGAGTAAATGATGCATAAACTTATTAATAATCCTTTTTGTTCCAGCAACAGACAGCTAGGATATGTGAAGTTAACAAAATATAGGTTTCGGCAAGACAATTTATTATTTTCCCTTGCTCTCCTTTTTTTTTCTTTTTTCTTTTTGTCTGCATAGCATTAACTACTTGTACATGTATACATGTATTCTGTACTTTCGTTTTGATATAATGTGTCAAGAATACAACAGAAAAAAAATCAATAATGTTTTGTATGATGTGAAGCATTCAAGGTGTTGACTTAAAAAGTTTATTTGGATGAACATGCGTCTTCCACAATGTCAAAAATGCCAGAAACTTGTCAAAACAAGAAATGCTTTAAAAAGACTTAAGCCACTTTGCTGGTACACTAGAACTTTGTGCTCAATCGTGTGTGTTTATATGTATGGTACTGCCTCTGTTTTACAAGCTTAATTGTGTTCACGATATTCCCTAGTCAGGAAGCTGGAGTTTTGACGTAACAGATTATAGCCTTAATTCCAGCAATGTTATGTTTAAAAATTTGTTGACTCATTCGCTGCCAGGCAGGCAGAAATTTTGTGTAGAAATGTTCAAACAGAGCTGTTTAGCATATCTTGCTCCAGTGTTTGTGAATGTCCTTCTGCAGTAGTTTAAGCCTTAGAATTACTATGTAAGTAAAAATGTAATAAACATGAAAATATGTCAATGATGTATTGAGAATTCTTTAAATTTGAAGATAAACTGATAACCTTTAAATCATTTTTTTTCTTCAATTGACATACCAGGTTTTAATTGGTTTTATCAATCACATGACCTCCAGTATACTAGTATCAATTTTGACAATAAAATTAGGATATTGGTAAACTTTTTGAAATGTGGAAAATATCCCAAAACAAAGACATTTTTGAATTGTTTATTTACAAGTTTAGTTCGGTTAAGCAGGCTTTTTTGTTGTTGATACCTATTTCCATTGTAGACGATAGACAGTCCTGTTGGACTGGATTTAGCTTCATCTAAACAATTAAGTCCTATGCAATACTGTTTTTTGATCAGATTTCTTTCACAATTTTTCCAATCAAAACTTGTGCAATACAACCATTTTCATAAATTGTAAAACTGTGTTTTTTTGAGTCATGACAAATTCCTGAAGAGTACTTGACGCAGCAAACAGGTGCAATAGGTAAAAAATCATGTCAAATATAAGAAAACATTGAATCGTTCATGTGTCAAACTTGATCATTTTTCAATCCTCATCTTACATGGTTAAGGTGTATAGTTGTACATACAATAAAGACTAGTTCTTAATAAACAAAATCATTACAGTATCACATCGTTTGTCGTTATTTTTGTCACATTACTTTCTACTACAGTGATATGGTAACATATTATCTCTATTGCCCTTCTCCTATTATCCTATGTCCTTCTCCTATTATCCTATTGTCCTTCTCCTATTATCCTATGTCCTTAAATGACCTTAACTGTTAATAGGACGTTAAACAAAATAAAACTAAACCTATCATCATGTACATGACCAATACATCTACATATAAATGTGTATCACCATGTACAATTTCAATATGATGAGACTTTTAGATTCTGAGATGAGGACTGTACCCACAACAGTCTATTTTGAGTAACAGTGACCTTGACCTTGATAAAAGAATTTCACCTGTCAATTATCAGATAGATTAGTTTTTCAGATTCCGTGATGATCTCCGGAAACGAATGTTTGGATTGACAGACAGATGGACACTTTGATTACTATAGGGCACCCACATCTGCCATGTGAGGCCCTAACTAAGAATTCCATAGAAGTAGATGGGTTGCCCACACATATCGAGCATAAGTATATGATTGTGAACGACGGTTTTGTACTCAAACTTCAGCTCCCTATAACTCTAATATTCTTTCTTCTGATTCATTGAGAAAACTGAAAATTTTGAATTCTCAGATTTTCACAATAAAATCTTTTTAGTTACATTCTTCGAGGCAAGACTTTAGCTTTTCAGAGGATACTGAAATAAAGCAAACCCAACTCATTGTAAAACCATAATTACCAAGGGGATTACGTACAGCAGATAACAACAACCTTGTCATCCGACTCTGACTACTTGTATATCCTAAATCTCCTGCATGTAAGCCGTGTCTAAAGAAGGGAACTCTGGCGCTGTACTGAAGGGGCACTAAAGCATGCGAACGGTACTGTGAAGGACAGGTGTCATATCTGGAAAGATTTAATGTTTATTATTGTGAGAACGTTAACACCTGGACCCATCAATGTATAGAGTGGATTAAGATCTTTTTGTCTCGAGTCTTAAAAGGATTGAATGTGAGAAATAAAAATTCATGTGCAATTTAATGCACACACACAGCAAGCTTTACATTGATGAACTAACATTTATGTCTTCCGGTAAAGGAGTTGTCTTCCCAACAAGAAATTCAGTTTATTATGAGTTTAGACCCCAATGGCATGAAGGAGAATTTATATAAATGTATGTCAAATTAATTTATTTTGAACTTTTTGAAATTGTTCTTTATCAGGAGTTGGCATGAACAGGATTCTGAGGGCCCATCAAATATCACTTTCAATGTATTTTGTCTCGTCAATAAAGCTGTGAAAAATTACAGAAGGAAATCTGTTGAAGACATATATCCTCTACATCATTTGTGGTCTATATTGAATGTGGTTGGATGGATACAACAGTGACATACCAGGTTTTAATTGGTTTTATCAATCACATGACCTCCAGTATACTAGCATCAATAGATCACACAGAGAGCTGGCTTAGCCTAATCACTTAAGTCCTTTTAAGTGTCCATCTCATATACAGGTCAAGGTTATTACTGTGTTGGCATATTTAATCTTGTAATCTGGTAAATTCATGCGTGTCACAGGGATTATCTCCCTTGTTTGCATCCTCTTAACCCTAGGTTCGTCATTCCAACAGATTACATGTTGATCATTCTAAACACAATCAGATTATCATGACTAAAGTATTATTGATACATAATGAAGCTAAGTAAACGTTGTTGTAGGATAAATCTGAACACAGCAAGAAGTAGCATGGGTTCTTACAAACTGATTATAAACTAGAGAAGATTTATGTAGGCTTTGTTTCCTATATTGTATATCATATAACATGTTAGCCATGTTCCAACATCATTTTGTCTGCAATACCACAGTTTCCATATTTGCATTAAAGATCATATTAAGTACATGCACAGCTACTGAAACTAATATTTCATAATCCAGGTGTCTTGTTTCATTTTGAACACAGTTTGACTCTGGCAGCCTTGAAAGATGGTCAAGGCTGTTCATCTTAGTCTGATCTATAGTACCAGAAAGCTGCACAGCCATATATCTTGACTATAGTTCTGTAGAAGGTAATTTTCATTTAAGAAGGTCAAGGTCAGAAGTCATATGACCTTTGCAAGCCTTTAAACAAACTTTCTTTTCCTCTACCCAAGAATCTAGAGGCTAAATATGACACTAAGTGGAAATGGTTCAGCAAGTTTTTTAAATGTTTGCCCCCATGAGAGTGTCAGTGTCATGTATTTGCCTGAACATCTTTGACCCATACCATACATCAACCACATGACTTTGCCTCATGGTTAATAGTCAACTATAGTACCAGTAATAAGATTTCCGTGGAATGACATGTCTTACTGTGTCCACTTTGTCCATCATTGAATAAATCGAGAAAGAAAATGAAAGCATTATGAAATTGATTATATTTTCTTTGTTATTTTAAACAGTTATCTAGAATGAATGAAACAAATTAAGATAAAATAAAATCCTTTATTGCACCCATCATAAAACAATATCCTATTCTCATTTTTATTCATTTATATGAGAATAAATCTTTCCATTTAATTTTGATCAAATAAGTTGAAAAAAAATAGAAATTTAAAAACAACTTCAATACACCATACTTGTATTAAGACTCCCCCACAACTCCCTCACAAAAAAAGAATGAGGAAAAAAATAAATTCAATTCAATAGGCATTCATAGTTTGGCTTAGTTTAGTTTAATTTCCACAGCAATTTTGTAAACTCTGCATCCACAGCATTCAATGTGATGCAGTGTGCAAACCATAACTTGGAATGCCCCAGTACATGGTCCTTTTCAGAACAGCTTAAAAAATGAACATTGCAGCTTAATACAGGGAGTGGGAGATCCAACGTCCGTGCAAGGAGTTTAGCGAAGTTCGGTGTTACCCAGCAGACGGATTCCACAAGGACTACATGAGTCAGACTGTAGTAGCAGATTTATCAATAGGTAACGATGACCATGACAACGTTGTGCTGATGGTTAAAGTTTGATGTTGCCATTGCCAGAAAAAGCGACCCTTTAGTCTTGCTTTCGCACCTTGATCACAGCCAGACAAAAATGGGGTTTATTTGAAACTGTCTTCAATTGATAAGCCATTTCAATTGGTTTTTATTGGCCCAGCATCTGCATGAGGAATGCCAGGGATGGGAGCACTGAGTTCATTCCTCAAGAACAACATGATGTCTCACAACTATATCACTTTGATGTTCATCAATTCCTATTTCACAAGAATTCTTTCTTCAAAATGTCTTCCTCTGAAATGCTATTTGTTAACTGGATGTTTTCCTGGATGGTTGTCTGTGCAGCAACAAGTCCCTCGGCGGATGTGCAGTTCTTGTTCAAACATTTGAATCTGACTCTTTGAAGATATGCAGTTGTTCAGTGTAGTACATGTAGCTATACATAACTTGCTCAAACACTTGAACACATACAGACAGAAATCTTTGTTCATCTCTTTTCACTTATTTTCAACATTTAATTTCATTTAGAAATAACAGTAAATTTCTTTAAGAACAATCATTGACAGTAACTAAACACTGAGTGACTGGAAGGAAGATCAGACACTGGTACTAGGGCAAAGTTCACTGGCTCTCCTTCTTGTAAAACAGTAGTGAATGCTGAAAAATACAACAGACAGACAATTCACCAAGGTGATACCTCAATATGTATTTTTGCAGACATGTACAATTTTGTAAAAAAATCTAAGGATTAAGAGGGTGAAATACTGTCTAACTGGCAAGCTAGCTTTTCCAGAGATGTGGTACAACCCTGGAACTTGCTCACTTGTTCAGCAACGTTGAGCCTGTACAGTGGCGGGATGGTTGCCCCCCCCCCCCCATTTTATTTGGTGACAGTGGAGGCCCTGTGCTATCATGTATGGTCAGTTCCCAGTGGTTAGGGAAGACGCATTGTTACAGGCCAAGTCCTGGGATAGGACTTCTCAAAGGTAACAGCCAAGCAGAGGGGGAAATACTGCCTCACTGACAAGCTAGCTTTTCCAGAGATGTGGTACAACCCTGGGACTCGCACTACTTCAGCAATGTCTAGCGTGGTCATTGGCTGGATGGGTGCTAGCCTGCACTTTACAATTTCATGTAACCAGTACTTTAAATACAGTGGTAAGTAACATTTTTCGATCAGAAAGAAAACCAAAAGACTTTTGATATTTCAAAAACATGTTTCTTCTACATGTATGTTAAGGAAAGAACTGATATAGGCCTAGCTGCTTTTTCAACCCCTTACATATACCATCTTTGAATAAAATTAGATTATAAGATCTATGTAATCAGGTTTCTTTTCTTTTTACTCAGTAACATTACATATAATTTCAATATGCCAGTAATGGCCAAAGGTTTGAGAAAGTATTCAGAACCTTGAAAATGATACAGCTATTTAATGGAAATAAGTTTTCGAAATAAGACATCAATTGTCAATTTAAATTCCCCCCCAACTCAACCTTTTTATTAATTACAATTACCACTTTAAAACGGTCATATGTAATGATGATTTTTTTATTAATACTTTTCTTTTTATTTATCAGACCTTACTGTAGTTAAGGAATACAGTTTGACATCACAATACAGTGTTTAAGGTGCGCCCTTTCTGTTTCAGCTCCTTTATAAGATCAAGTCGCAGCTACACTCTAAGTATGATCCAGCATATGCAGCAGCTTAGGGTACAGCGGCTGACACCGGTCATGGAGTAGTACCCTTGTTATAAAACATTACTTCATGACTTACCCTGACAAAGTTTGGCATAGCTGAACTGTGACGACCTGTAGAATATTCTCAGTGGTGGCACACACCCATCTGAGGGGGACTGAGATGATGTAACGGCTCTGTAGCACTTACACATACATCTCACAGCAGCCTCCATGTTCACTGGCAGTGACAGGGATTTGGTGTCTGAAACATCAGAATTTTTTTTTATGTCAGAAACATTATAGGTTTATCATGTTGTAATAACATTTATGTAACATATCAAGAGTTTGTCACACCACAAAAGATCTTCAAAATTCAAGGCTAGTGAAAATTTTGAGTATTCACTATGGTGGGGTTAGAGCCTGGTTGAGCAGAATAAGTGGTAGGAAAATGGCCATTTTTGTTTTCCTTCATTCAATAGGTTATGCAGTTTTACAGGTTTTATGCAGATACCAAGAGCTTATATTACCTGTTGGCTCAGGCAATATATAATATCCAAACAGGTAATGTGAGCCCATGTTATCAGCAGAATACCTTTTCAACTTATATTATCAGTACCTGTTATAGCTCTATTACCTGTCTGCTCAGGCAATATGATATCCAAACAGGAAAAGAGCCTATAGTACCTGCATAACATCTCTATAATGCATAATGTTATGACAGCATAATTTTCCATCAATCCTCCTCTCTTAATTTTAAATCTGAGCTATGTATAAATCATGTCCATGATGTAGGAGCAGTGACAAAACCTGCTTCTACAGCTAATTATCTCCCTTTGTCATTTGTGAGAGGTGGTATCCCACTATATTTGTTTCCTTTTATTTAACATTGTGATGAAAACAAATCCAACTAATTTCCATGGTTCCTTTATTTTATTAAGCTTGTAAAATGTAACAGTATCACTTTTGATATAATAACCTACCTGGTATTCACAACTACTGAAATATACCACTGACGTCTGCTGCTGTGATACATAGGAAAATCAAATTTGGACAACCTAGATTGGTAGTCAAGCATGGAATATTATCTTGAGCTTTGCTGGAATGATTTTGTGAGTTCAGTAAAATTAGATAAGATTTGAGACAAAACTCATTTACATTTTTAAAGTCCTATATTAGCCATTAACAGCAGACACATGTTAACTCAACAGTATGTTCTCAGAGAGACGGTACATTGTGTCAGTTTGTGTATCCACTGTGGGACAGTTTGGAGTTACCTGTGTATCCTGTACAGGAGGACCCTGGGATATCCCCACAGGAAGTGACACGTCTAGTGGTGCTGGTGTAGTCCCCACATACACAGTTCTCACTAGTGTCTACAATGTAAGTGGTACACACAAAATGGTATGTTAGTGAATGCACAGTACTAAAACCTGATTGAAAATACTCCAAATATATTTAGAATAACATCTGAATAAGATCATTGTTTATGTTTACTTTTGATGAACTCAATAATAATAAACATTTCAATCTCAAATAGTTTATTTTTGAGGAGAGGAATGTACTTATATTGACTTCTGAAGCCTAATTTGTTAGGATCTTATTTCACAAAGGAACAATCACAGGTCCATTTTTTTTTTATTAAAAGGTAAGAAATTTGTGTGATGTTTTGTTTAAAGCATTTAAAGCAAAAGGAATTTATCTTACAAAATAATAGTGAATATATTATTACAAATAATAAATTTAAATTGAACTAAAACATTCAACACCGATACATTCTTTCCCATACTTAATATGTAGAAGTACTTAGAAAAGAATACACATATAGATGACTCTAAGGAAAGCTTGCAAAAATGAACATTGCAATTGCTGAAAACTATTGGGAGTCAATCTGGTTTATGCTGATGCTTTTTTGTCTCATAATTATGCAGTATTTTTGGTTCAACGCACAAAGCAGACACAAGATGATAAATATTTAGAATTCAAAATATATATGTTCATTTACCATTTAATTCAGATGCTCTCACCTTTGACCTCTAACCCCGGTGTGAAGGCAGTGACCTGCCACTCCACCTTGGCATCACGTGGTAAGTAGGGTATGACAACACACATTACGGAGGGACTGCATACAACATCTTCACAGTCAACAGTGTCATTACTCTGGAATAGGAACAGGTAATGTACACTGACTGAAGCTCACATAACTAGACAGTAACCATTACCTTTAGACAGTAACCATTACCTCTAGACAGTAACCATTACCTCTGGACAGTAACCATTACCTCTTGACAGTAACCATTACCTCTGGACAGTAACCATTACCTCTGGACAGAAACCATTACCTCTAGACAGTAACCATTACCTCTAGACAATAACCATTACCTCTAGACAGTAACCATTACCTCTAGGCAGTAACCATTACCTCTGGACAGTAACCATTACCTCTGGACAGAAACCATTACCTCTAGACAGTAACCATTACCTCTAGACAATAACCATTACCTCTAGACAGTAACCATTACCTCTAGGCAGTAACCATTACCTCTGGACAGTAACCATTACCTCTGGACAGAAACCATTACCTCTAGACAGTAACCATTACCTCTAGACAATAACCATTACCTCTAGACAGTAACCATTACCTCTAGACAATAACCATTACCTCTAGACAGTAACCATTACCTCTAGGCAGTAACCATTACCTCTGGACAGTAACCATTACCTCTGGACAGAAACCATTACCTCTAGACAGTAACCATTACCTCTGGACAGTAACCATTACCGCTAGACAGTAACCATTACCTCTAGACAGTAACCATTATTTCTGGACATTAACCATTACCTCTAGACAGTAACCATTACCTCTAAACAGTAACCATTACCTCTAGACAGTAACCATTATTTCTGGACATTAACCATTACCTCTAGACAGTAACCATTACCTCTAGGCAGTAACCATTACCTCTGGACAGTAACCATTACCTCAAGACAGTAACCATTACTTCTAGACAGTAACCATTATCTCTAGACAGTAACCATTACCTCTCGACAGTAACCATTACCTCTAGACAGTAACCATTATTTCTGGACATTAACCATTACCTCTAGACAGTAACCATTACCTCTAAACAGTAACCATTACCTCTAGACAGTAACCATTACTTCTAGACAGTAACCATTATCTCTGAACAGTAACTATTACCTCTAGACAGTAACCATTACCTCTGGACAGTAACCATTACTTCTAGACAGTAACCATTATCTCTAGACAGTAACCATTACCTCTTGACAGTAACCATTACCTCTAGACAGTAACCATTATCTCTGGACAGTAACCATTACCTCTGGACAGTAACCATTACCTCTGGACAGTAACCATTACCTCTAGACAGTAACCATTACTTCTAGACTGTAACCATTATCTCTGAACAGTAACCATTACCTTTAGACAGTAACCATTACCTCTAGACAGTAACTATTACCTTTAGACAGTAACCATTACCTCTAGACAGTAACCATTACCTTTAGACAGTAACCATTACCTTTAGACAGTAACCATTACCTCCGGACAGTAACCATTACCTCTAGACAGTAACCATTACTTCTAGACAGTAACCATTATCTCTGGACAGTAACCATTACCTCTAGACAGTAACCATTACCTTTAGACAGTAACCATTACCTTTAGACAGTAACCATTACCTCCGGACAGTAACCATTACCTCTAGACAGTAACCATTACTTCTAGACAGTAACCATTATCTCTGGACAGTAACCATTACCTCTAGACAGTAACCATTACCTTCAGACAGTAACCATTACCTTTAGACAGTAACCATTACCTCTGGACAGTAACCATTACCTCTGTACAGTAACCATTACCTCTGGACGGTAACCATTACTTCTAGACAGTAACCATTATCTCTGGACAGTAACCATTACCACTAGACAGTAACCATTACCTTTTGACAGCAACCATTACCTCTAGACAGTAACCATTACCTCTGGACAGTAACCATTACCTCTGGACAGTAACCATTACCTCTGGACAGTAACTATTACCTCTAGACAGTTACCATTACCTCTAGACAGTAACCATTACCTCTAGACAGTAACCATTACCTCTAGACAGTAACCATTACCTCTAGACAATAACCATTACCTCTAGACAGTAACCATTACCTCTGGACAGTAACCATTACCTCTAGACAGTAACCATTACCTCTGAAGCCAATCTCATAGCATATGTAAATCATACTGTATGATGTCCACCGCATAACAAAAAACCACAGCTATGATGCCCACCTCACCACAAATATGTAAACTAAAGTGTAAGATGCCCACCTCCTTACAAATATGTAAACTAAAGTGTAAGATGCCCTCCTCCTAACAAATATGTAAACTATAGTGTAAGATGCCCACCTCCTCACAAATATGTTTCTACAATCTATAATGCCACCTTCTTACAAATATGTCAACTTAACTATAGTCTATGATGCCCACCTCATAACAAATATGTCAACTTAACTATAGTCTATGATGCCCACCTAATAACAAATATGTCAACTTAACTTTAGTCTATGATGCCAACCTCATAACAAATATGTCAACTTAACTCTAGACTATGATGCCCACCTCATAACAAATATGTAAACTTAACTATAGTCTATGATGCTCACCTCATAACAAATATGTAAACTTAACTAGTCTATGATTCCCGCATCATAACAAATATGTCAACTTAACTAGTCTATAATACCCACCTCATAACAAAGATGTAAACTTAACTATAGTCTATGATGCCAACATCATAACAAATATGTCAACTTAACTATAATCTATGATGCCCACCTCATAACAAATATGTCAACTTAACTATAATCTATGATGCCCACCTCATAACAAATATGTAAACTTAACTATAGTCTATGATGCCCACCTCATAACAAATATGTAAACTTAACTAGTCTATGATTCCCATCTCATAACAAATATGTAAACTTAACTAGTCTATGATTCCCACCTCATAACAAATATGTAAACTTAACAAGTCTATAATACCCACCTCATAACAAATATGTACACTGTAGCCCCTAATACCCACCTCATAACAAATATGTACACTGTAGCCCCTAATGCCAACCTCATAACAAATATGTCCACTGTAGCCCCTAATGCCCACCTCATAACAAATATGTACACTGTAGCCCCTAATGCCAACCTCATAACAAATATGTCCACTGTAGCCCCTAATACCGACCTCATAACAAATATGTACACTGTAGCCCCTAATGCCCACCTCATAACAAATATGTCCACTGTAGCCCCTAATGCCCACCTCATAACAAATATGTACAGTGTAGCCCCTAATACCCACCTCATAACAAATATGTACACTGTAGCCCCTAATGCCAACCTCATAACAAATATGTCCACTGTAGCCCCTAATACCCACCTCATAACAAATATGTACACTGTAGCCCCTAATGCCAACCTCATAACAAATACGTCCACTGTAGCCCCTAATACCGACCTCATAACAAATATGTACACTGTAGCCCCTAATGCCAACCTCATAACAAATATGTACACTGTAGCCCCTAATGCCAACCTCATAACAAATATGTACACTGTAGCCCCTAATGCCAACCTCATAACAAATACGTCCACTGTAGCCCCTAATACCGACCTCATAACAAATATGTACACTGTAGCCCCTAATGCCAACCTCATAACAAATATGTACACTGTAGCCCCTAATACCCCCCTCATAACAAATATGTACACTGTAGCCCCTAATACCCCCCTCATAACAAATATGTACACTGTAGCCCCTAATACCCCCCTCATAACAAATATGTACACTGTAGCCCCTAATACCGACCTCATAACAAATATGTACACTGTAGCCCCTAATGCCAACCTCATAACAAATACGTCCACTGTAGCCCCTAATACCGACCTCATAACAAATATGTACACTGTAGCCCCTAATGCCAACCTCATAGCAAATATGTCCACTGTAGCCCCTAATACCGACCTCTTAACAAATATGTACACTGTAGCCCCTAATGCCCTCCTCATAACAAATATGTACACTGTAGCCCCTAATGTCCACCTCATAACAAATATGTACACTGTAGCCCTAATGCCCACCTCATAACAAATATGTACACTGTAGCCCCTAATGCCCACCTCGCCACAAGTATGTAAACTACAGTCTATGATGCCCACCTCATAACGAGTTTATTAACTACAGTCTATGATGCCCACCTCATAACAAGTATATTAACTACAGTCTATGATGCCCAACTCATAACAAGTATGTAAACTGGTCTATGATGCCCACCTCATAACAAGTATATAAACTACAGTCTATGATGCCCAACTCATAACAAGTCTATTAACTAGTCTATGATGCCCACCTCATAACAAGACTGTCGAGCTCTGATCCACTCCCGCCTGGCGGTATCTATGTAGCGATGTGAGGTGATGTAACAGACAACAGTCACCACATGCCTCAGGTCACAGCCAGGAAACTGGGCACCCAGGACACGTCCAACATGGCGCAAAGACAAGCGACTTTCAATGGCAATGCCTCCCTGTATCATTTTCAATGAGCCTGGCACCATGGCAATTTGACCTGCTATGAAGATCCTGCTGTCTACCTGATGTAAAAGACAATGCCAAGCCTGAGTTAAAATATCATATGATAACATACTTTTTATGTTTCATTTTAGTAACAATGAGTGACAGTCTGACTGTAGGGTCCTATGTTGGGTACTTACAGTGACAGCCTGACTGTAGGGTACTATGTTGGGTACTTACAGAGACAGACTGACTGTAGGGTCCTATGTTGGGTACTTACAGTAACAGCCTGACTGTAGGGTCCTATGTTGGGTCCTTACAGTGACAGCCTGACTGTAGGGTCCTATGTTGGGTACTTACAGTGACAGCCTGACTGGAGGGTCCTATGTTGGGTCCTTACAGTAACAGCCTGACTGTAGTGTCCTATGTTGGGTACTTGCAGTGACAGTCTGACTGTAGAGTCCTATGTTGGGTACTTCCAGTAACAGCCTGACTGTAGGGTACTATGTTGGGTATTTACAGTGACAGCCTGAATGTAGGGTCCTATGTTGGGTACTTACAGAGACAGCCTGACTGTAGAGTCCTATGTTGGGTACTTACAGAGACAGACTGACTGTAGGGTCCTATGTTGGGTACTTACAGTGACAGCCTGACTGTAGGGTCCTATGTTGGGTACTTACAGTGACAGCCTGACTGCAGGGTCCTATGTTGGGTACTTACAGGGACAGCCTGACTGTAGGGTCCAATGTAGGGTACTTACAGAGACAGCCTGACTGTAGGGTCCAATGTTGGGTACTTACAGTGACAGCCTGACTGTAGGGTCCTATGTTGGGTACTTACAGTGACAGCCTGATTGCAGGGTCCTATGTTGGGTAATTACAGTGACAGCCTGACTGAAGGGTCCTTTGTTGGGTACTTACAGTGACAGTCTGACTGTAGGGTCCTATGTTGGGTACTTACAGGGACAGCCTGACTGTAGGGTCCTATGTTGGGTACTTACAGTGACAGCCTGATTGCAGGGTCCTATGTTGGGTACTTACAGTGACAGCCTGACTGCAGGGTCCTATGTTGGGTACTTACAGTGACAGTCTGACTGTAGGGTCCTATGTTGTGTACTTACAGTGACAGCCTGACTGTAGGGTCCTATGTGGGGTACTTACAGTGACAGCCTGACTGTAGGGTCCAATGTAGGGTACTTACAGAGACAGCCTGACTGTAGGGTCCTATGTTGGGTACTTACAGTGACAGCCTGAATGCAGGGTCCTATGTTGGGTACTTACAGTGACAGCCTGACTATAGGGTCCTATGTTTGCCGGCGCCCAGTGAGATATCCCCTGAACATGCATGGTATCTCGGTTTGCTGCCTTACTACCATAACAGTCCAGGAGTAAGGCGATGTTCTGTGGAAGTGATGCTTGAACACAAACTCTGAAAAATATTGTAATAACTGAATACAGCAGTATTACTACTTATATACATATCTATAAAATACATATTTATACCACTCCCTGAAGGAGGTAATCAGAAACCCATTCTCCAATAAACCACTCACGAAACGAGAGGAGGAGATCGGAAACCAATTCTCCAATATAACACTTACTAAAGATAGAGGAGGGGACACTTAGCCCTTCCAATGTAACATACCACTCACTTAAGATGGAGGTGATCAATAAATTACACTCTAAACACAGTGGCTGATCAAGGCCAGTAAGACTAGTTCAAATTGATGTCTATTTTAATGGAAATCTGCTGAGGAAAATCCCTACCTACCTGACAGGTGGGTTTAGCCGAAAGTAAGTTTTGTAGATTGAGTTGACTCTGGCGAAGTCCTCCATTCTCTGTACATACAGACAGACCAAGGCCATTTTAGACATGTCCCAGTCCTTACCCACACCGGACACCGCAGCTAGCAAAGACATGCAATACTATATAACAGATAATCATACAAGTAATCATACAGGTAATCATACAGGTAATCATACAGGTACTCACATACAGGTACTCACATACAGGTACTCACATACAGGCTATCATATATAGGTATGTGTGATCACACACAGTTAATCAGGCACATGTAATAAATTAAGTCTAATTATACACTTGTAATCATACTCCGGTGATAACATACAGGTACATGAAATTGCAATGATAAGCACATTTAATGCTGTGCAGTACTTATACTTGTGGGTCAAAACTTTTGCTGTTTTGCAGTACTTTGACAAACCTTGTGTTGTTGATGTGTGCTTAACCGTTTTTGTTTTGTTTACATGTTTGCAAATAATTTATGGTTGTTTTGTACTTGATATAGTGTAAAGTACAAATGGGTAAATGTTACAATTAAGAGAGGACTGAGGTTGTAAAGCTGACCTTTGACCTGGTCCATTGCTGCCTTGGTGGCCTCCTGTATGTCTGTGTTGTCCCTAGCAACCACACCTGTCACCCATAGATTTTCACCAGCAGTTTTAATACACATTTTAAACTCATCTGGAATATATAAGATAACATATTTTTATATATTTTTCTGTCCTTTTTGGGGCATTTTTTAAATATTAAATAAAATGGTTTTAAACTTTTGAAATGATTAAATGGATTCATTGTTATTTTTCTTTTTCTTTTCATAAAAATATTTTAAACTGTTTTCATTTGAAAATTCACTGAATTCAACTGGATCCAATAGAATATTAATCTGAATCTGCTGAATGTACTTGTGTTGATCAAGTGGAAGCGGATGTATTTAAAGGTTATTTGACTTGTACAGTGTCAAAAGTGAGACATGTCAGATTTATACAGTATCATATGGAGACAAAGGTTACTTCAACTCACAATATTGTTCATATTAAAAGTTAATGGTGATTTACATGTCAAATTTCTTCATTTTGTTATATGTTAATGTATAACCTTAAATTTATATAAAAAATGTTTTAACTACCGGTGTACAAAACATGACTGATTTCCTCACCAGGTAAGATGTCGTTATTACTGACGTGAGTGTTGAGCCCTTCGTCCATGTCACCCGACACATCCCCACACATGTCAACCTCCCCGTCACGAAGCAGGTCATGGTACACATCCCTACTTCTCCTCATTTCCAAACCTTGCACCCTCTGATGCTGGCTCATTTCAACATCCTGAGTGGCAATGCCTTCTTTTGTAAAACTTATATACAATACTACAGCTACATTGTATCAAATTTGCTTTGAATACAGTTGAAATATGGATAAAAAAGGTCTTAATCATTTAATTGGCTTATTTTTTTCGAAGTCTATGATCTAAACACATTTACTTACTTCTTCATTTTGAAGACTTCACTTAATTCCTCAAGCTTAAACTCACTCAAATTTATATTAATCAGAATATATTCATAGATAAAAGGGAACTAACTCCAATATTTTCTGGATATATTTCCTGACACATCCGTCAATAACCTCAATGTGTTTCTAAAATTGTGAGTACTGACTGTCTGTTTGTCCTCCAGGTGTGCTGTCCTCAGATTCAGATACCCCACAGGTGAAAATGCATCGTCAGAGTGGATCACCATTTCTGGGTTGTCCCTGTGATCGTAACATGCATCTGTATTTATTTTTCCAATGTACTTACTTTATTAGAAGCTACAAATGTTAAATTACATTCATAGTACTCAAAATACAAGGGGATATGATTTCCAGTGATTGTGATGTATTAACATTGTGAAGTCATAAGTGACAAATAATCACTGGCCATTATCAGCAGGGTCTCTCCTTTTTATTGAATGAGCATGCAAAATATCATGACCTTGTTTCAATATAGAATCAATTTCTTACGACTTAATTTTTTTCAACATTTGGATGATCCTGCAAATAAAAATATAAAATTTAAGTGCTTTAGAACCTCATGATGATATAAAGATATCTGGAATAAACAATTCAAACTTACAACACAATCCTCTTTTTAAACAGTGGACAGTCCAGCGTGAAGGTTTCATACTCCCCTCCCTCACCACAAACATTCAGCTTAAACTTGGTGTGCTACAAACCCAATAGACATAAGTTTTATGATCAGTAGTTTTACAACAAGCTTTATTATAATGTTAATATCCAAGATAATAAAAGTACAAACAACAGATAAACACATGTCATTAGTTAAGACTGTTTACAATATGAATATTTATTGATTTTTGTTTTATAACAATCATAAAATAACATGATTTGTTTAAGATGAAAATAAATCATTGAAAGATTATTGAAATTAATAAAATAATTAATTAATAAAATTAATTGTCTTTTGCTTCATTCATGTCTCTTCGAAGTTCCCCTAAATAATTGAGAAAATTTGAATAATCTTTAACTGGAACAAGGAGTTGAGCTTGAGCACAGAATCTGAGTTTTGAGCACGAGAACGGTTTTATTCTCTTGATGAGTAAGCAGGTTTTATTTGTTGCAAATTAAAGACATAACAAAACAGGAAATGTTTTTTACCATTCTAAGTAATTCAGGCTGCATCTCTGCTAAAGTTTTTCCTAAGTGTTTCTGGGGATCCAAACCTACACCAAACACAAATAAAGTACAATATTAAATTATCAATCACCTGGAATTCATCAAACAGCAATAAACATCCAGACAAGAAGTTTTTGATACATAGACAGCACAGTACATAACTGAAACCAGTGTATACACGATCAAACTATGTTGATATGAGACCAGCCTTGGAAAGTTCAAAAAGTGGTCTCTTAACACAGGTGGTCTCTTAAGACAAGTTCAAATCATATTAAAGTAATAACAATGGGGAACATTAAAAGTGGCCTCTTAGCACAGGTGGTCTCTTTAAGACAAGTTCAAATCATATCGTATAATAATAATAATGGGGAACATTAAAAGTGGCCTCTTAGCACAGGTAGACCGGTCTCCTAATAGAGGTGGTTTGCATGAACAGGTTTTACTTTAGTGACATTTTGCTATAGTGTCTGACTAAACTGTCAACAACAAACAGCTACAATAAGAAGCAGTCCCTACCCAGAGATGCAACTTTGATAAGGACAGCTGTTACTCCACACCCAATCATCTCACTGAGGAGCTCTGCTTGGTCCCGTCGCCATAGATATGACAATGATGTAAGACCCAGTCTCTGACATCTGGATATTCAATAGAAAATTAAAAAAAAAAAATGAAATAAATGTTCCTCCAATTATTAAAATTAAACAAAGTATAAACAATTTCATTCACTGTATGAAATTGATACAGGGAATGGCAACAATGTAAGACGTTATGTTTATTAATTGTACTTACACATTCTCCACACGAACTCTCTGGTAGTTTGACAATATTGCACCCACTGATACAGCCTCAACTTCAATCTCTTTCTGTATTAAAGATTTAAAAATCACACACCAGATAGCCACATATGAAATATTACATTTAATGATAATTCTATGATAGTAATTGAGCATGTTGTTCCCTAATTGCCTTCCAAACACTTGTCCAGTATTGTACAACTGCCAGTTACACTAAACTGTAGACAGATGTACATGTGTGTTGTTTTAGATATATATAATATATTACCGTTTATGAGATGAGCTATAGTGACCAAGTAGAATTAAAATATCTATTTTCCTTTTATTTCAAATTTGAATTTATTCTACGAAAAATATCTTCCTAATAATTTGATGTATTTTCCAACAATTAAATTCCAATAACTGAATGCCTTGTCAGACATGTACCTGAACTTTCTGTAGTAATATAAACAGGTCCTCAACCTCATCTTGAGGGGTGGGGACATAGTCACTCCCGGTCTCCTTGGCCACCCCCTGGATAATGTGTCGAAACAGAGGCAGGCCCATGGCTTCAGCATACAGATCTACAGCATGGTGGCCCACAGTCTGATACATGTAGCTGTCCATCTCATCTGAGAAACAACTTTGTCACTACTTACTGGTTTCAATGTTTTTTGCATTATAACAAAACTTATCCCTGTGTGTTATATTGAATTCTGTTTGTTGCTGATGTTGTTGTAGGCTGTATTGAATCTGGTTGACATTAACTGTGATATCTCAGTAACTGATGCTTGAATTGCATACTCTTACATTTCACTTTAACATAACAAAACATTTTTGGTGAAAAGGTACCATCCTGTATGCTAAATAAATAAAATAAATAAATAAATATACAGCATTTGATATAGCGCCTCATCTAGCTAACATAAGCAACTCTAAAGCGTTTTACAGTACATAGATATACAATTAATACAATTAGCATATACATTAATCAATACAATTTTGAGGAATTCGCAGGAGCTGCCTTATCAGTCGCTAACTAATAGTCCTATGCCACCTGGCAAATATCTCCCTATGTGTGTATGCCTGTGTGTGTGCTGGAGATGCTAAACCACTTTTTATTTTTGTTTCATTAGCTAACATTATATATTTGCTATTGTAAACCACTGAAAATACTGTATGACTTAAAAAGACACCCAGTATTCTCTACCAATTTTCTATCAAAATAATCAACCTATTTTTCATGATTATAACAGCACTAGAAAGTGAGCTATTTTTAGATAGCACTTATTATTTTGATAAAAATAATTATTTTTGTGCAATTTTTGTTACACAAAAATGCTGAAAATCGCTAAAATTAACCAAATGGCTGAAATTTGTTATCACTGTTTTTTTTAAAATAGTACATGTACACCTTAATTATTTAAGGCCTAGCAAAAACAGATATGAAATAAATATGAATAAATTTAGTAAGTTAATGCGGTTATAAATAAAAAAAAAACAACGTTGTTATGTATAATCACATAAACATGAATAAACAAATATATTCCATTTCTAATGTTGCTATAGTCCCTATGCTTATGGCAGAAAGAATGTATCCATGCATACCCTTATCAGCTGGCATGAGGTTTGCTAGTGCTACTATCTCGTGTCCCTCTGCTACACACTGGATCATGTTATAGCAACTGTCCTTGCCGCCACTACAGATAATGACAAAAGTAGCACAAATTATTTAATCATCTGATAAAACATAACACATAAGATAGATAAGATAAATTTTATTTAGAGTCGGTGGGTATATAACAAAATAACATAAGCTCTGAAGAGCTATTGACTGACATATACATATACACATACAGATACATGGTACATAAAATGCAATACATTAAGACATCAATTACTTATATCACACACATATTGTTCATATATTACTTTGATAATAGGTATAGTGTTTCACAACACTCAAAGTCCATATACCATATATCAATAAGTTTAATTAAATTAAATTAAATTAAAACAAGGCTTTGAAATTAAAAGTTTTCAATTGAGACACTGTAGGCTGGATAAAGAGAAGATGAGGTTAGAGTAAGGTGAGTGATTTATTATTTGCAGGCTGCACATTTACATTTGGTTTCACTCCAGGAGGATATTAAAGATTTAAAATGGCCGTAATTTGTTGTGGTCCTAAAGTTTCCAGGAAGATTATTCCAAAGACAGGCTGCTGCATATTTGAAGGATTTTATACTGTATGTAGTAGTCTTAACATGTGGGATGTCCAAAATGATTGTATATCTGAAGCTGTTATTTTGAGACTAGGGTGTGACAATGTTGTGAAGACATGGCGGTGTGGTTTTGTGTATGATTTTGTAGGTTTCTATAGCCATTTGCCTCATTCTTCTAATTTTCAAAGTAGGTATCTTTGCCCGGGCCAAAAGATCATCGTAGTTGCTTGAAAAGTCATCATAAATAAATCTGAGTGCCCTATACTGAATATTCTCATTTTTTTTAACATTTGTTTCCGACCAGAAGTGCCAGGAGAGAGGGCAAAAATTAAAGTGTGATAGTATGAAGGTGTGGAAAATTGTGAGTTTATTTAGTCTGCTCAGGTGTTTTCTAATTCTGTAGAGTACATTTAGTTGTTTTGAGGCTTTTCTATGTATGGTTTTGATGTGGAGATGGAAAGAGAGCTTAAAGTCAATGTCAACACCTAGTAGTTTTACACTTTCTTCACATGGGATCGAAATATCATCTATTTGAAAGACCTGTAAAAGTTGACCTAATTTAAAACACATGCGATGTACATGGTACTAATTGTAAAAAGAGGCCCGGAATTTGGACCTGTTGGTAATGTTATGGTTGTTCAGTGATGTTTTGAGGCTGTTTAGGTTCATTGCTTCTGGTAGACTGTTCCATGTTGTTATTGTTCTATTGCCAAAATGCCTACAGGTGTGCTGTGATACATATCAGTATAGCATAGATGTATTTTAGACATTTGTAATGATGTTTTAATGAACCCCTATGGTCAAGAGATTACAAAGGCTCGTGATAGCTATGAAAACATATTCTGTGCACTTATGCAGTCAAAGACTTACCCAAAATATACAATTACAGTATCTTAAATACATCACAAACATATAAGATATTTGAATATATGATACACAGTGTATAATGAAATATAATTTGTTCAACGTGGACGTGTTTGTATTATATGATTTATCAACATGTCCCGTTTGGCTCTTGATCAGACGAATAAGCATAAGAGAATCCTGAACCTTGAATCAATGATAACTGCCGTTATATAGTTCTGTTTTATTGTCTGACATGAATGATAACTGCTGTTATATAGTTCTATACAGAAATGTTATGCTTGTTCTACATATATCTTTAAGTATAGCTCCATCTGCTTTTATTTACCTGATCAATGCGACGGTTTTCATTTTCATTTTTGTAAATCTTGAATAGAAACACTTGTTTACATTTTGCACAGTACACACGTGTTTACACCGGAACTGAAATATTTTGCGCATGCGTAAATTCCTTACACGTCAAATCTGAGTCTAAGTTAATAGAATGTTTTGCACTAGAAGATTGTAATATGGAATCATTCAAACGCATTTTCTACACAGGACATGATATTTTGCAAGGGAAGTTGTCTGCAAAACTTCGGTAAGAAATCTAAATTTTTGCACAAAAGACAAGGTCATAAATAATGGATTTCACGTAACATTGGTGCTTCCAAATATAAGAAAATACATTATTTCTCGAGGGACAACGATTTGCTGTATAAGAGGACAAATTTTGGCTTTATCGAATGTCAACATTGACACTCGTTAACCTGTTGACTGCTTTGCGTTGCCATTTTCAGTTTGTCAAAGCAAATAACACAGGCTCTTGCAGTTAAATTAAAATGACGTGTTTCTAATATTTGATTATATAAGATGACATACTTCTAATTGTTGTTTATAAAATGATATGTGGTGACAATATTTTACAGTTTTAGACAAATAAATATCGAAAGAACAAATGTTTCATACATAACCCCATCTATAACTATAATATTATCATAGCACCTGTGGCCAAGATTTTTTTTATTAAGAGCTGAACCTACACGCGTTGTACCCTAGTAACACTTTTTATCGTAATTGTATCTGCATTTCGATCATCTCAGCACTTTTTGCACTAATTGTCATAGAAGGTAGTGGAGTTTTTAATATTAATTAATGATAAATCACGATGTCAGCCTTTAAAGGGATAAGCTGGAACTGGTTGGAAACTTTCCTAGACCTTGGTTACATTTGCGTAGCCTGGTTGAAAAGGTTCGTGTGGCGCAGAAATATTCCAGGATAAACGAACACACTTCGACCATTCTATAAGCAGAGCTAAAAATGCACAGTTTTGGAGAATAAAAAAACAATGAATCAAGAATATTATGCCCTTCTTTCAGGCAAACTAGCAATAGCCTGCATTATAGTTTTGGTCAGGTACGTCTGAACCCCTCAATCTACGTGCCATTTTCCTAAGGTCAGCCTTGGTCCAGATCTGTGCCTGTCGTTTTTTTTACAGGTTGAACCGTTTCAACCGGATACGCGATTGTACTCCAGCTTACATTTGTAAGATTCCTTTATATACTATGGTTGAAAATGCTTAATCTGTACCTATACATCAAAGTAAAAATTTTGATTTCACTTTAATCGCATTTTAATTTTTATTGGAATCGCAATAATTAAGGCATGTTATAAACATCTTTGGTTGAACAGATCTTCTTTTGGGATGTATTTCACAACAATTGAAGTCTTTGAACTTTAGACATATATATATACACAAATCAACAAAAACACAAAACAATGTTTTACAAACCAAAAGTTGTTTCTAATTTACAATAGATAAAGCTGTTTCCAATGATTTATAAAAAGTTGTTAGAGATCCCTACCTGAATAATGCAATCATAGAAAAACATCCTAAAGTATGTCTACTTTGAAAATAGATATTTCCATTAATTACATTTTACAGTTGATCAGACTTTATAAAAAATACACTCACTCTCGTAGGGATATATATACCAGTATATAAATTTAAGAAAAGAGATGTAAACACATGTTAAGATATATACATATATTGCTTGCTGAATGGTTTTTTTTCTGATCCAATTATGCTGTTTATCCAGGTAGATATGATCTAATAGCTAGCAGATCAGCACTTTCAGAAGTTTCTTGAAACTCACAAGCCATCCTTGCTGCACTTGCTATAGACAACCATCTTGTCATTTGAGCTAGCACTTCGTTGTCAGTGATCTCTAGATATATGATAGCTGTCAAGTCGGAGAAAAAAATCATTTGCTGGTTTTGATTGAATACATGTATAAAGAGAAGTCAAAAGTCTAAAAGGATGGTCAGCCCAAATTTGTATGTTGGTAAGGGTGTAATTATTTATTGGACAACATGATATCATTAACGATAATATGTTTGTCTTTTCATTTTCTTATGGAATTGCATTTTGCCAATTAGTTACTGAAAGAATATTCAACAAATTACAAATTTCATACTAAACTTATCTATATTTTAAATGTCATATTAGATTTTACTATAAAATTTGAAAATATATTGATCTATTTATAATCTTAAGTACATTTTGCTTTAAACATAACAATTTTACTGGTCATAGAATATGATTTGTTTTAAAGAAGTACATTTTTGTGTTTGTGTTTCCAGGAGGCAACATGGCAAACTAAGTAAATTCATGCAAATTTTGTGAATATATGCATTGACCTGTTTCATGCAAGAGTTAGTTACATGGCGTCTGACTAACCTGACAAATTTGATGCTGGAAACAATGAAAATGAAATTATTCATTAAGTTTGTTTTCATAACTTCTTCCTAGCTTAATTATTGATAGCCGTAATTTCTTGATGAAAACTAAAATCTATTTTTTTCAACATTTCAGACATTAGTATGCAAGATGTCATGGTTGTCAGGACTGACAGGAAATGTTGAAGAACTTCTCAACAAGATCGACCAATCTGCAGCTGGGGCCTTAAAGAATGAGAATGAGACAGGTTATGCATCAGGAAATGTTGCCGGTAGTAAGCAGAGTGACCACACAGCTGATGCTGCTTCCTCAAGACAATATGTTCAAAACCCTTCACCTATAGGTGGTCAAGGAACAGACAAATCCTCTCCATATGTGACTAAACCAATTCGACATACACTTACAGGATTATCAAAATCACCCAGTACCCCACTTCAAGCAAATATAAAACAGGTTAGCTCTCCTAGCCCCGTCCAGAAACCACAGACTGGTGCTGTTTCCTCTGTATCAAGTCCACAGCAACCAACAGTAGCCACATCAGGGGGCAAGAAAAAGATTGATTCAGATGAAGCTTTGTTTGACTTTTTAAATAGCAGTGATCCCGTGGAAGCGACTAGAAAGAAAAGTATAACCCCTATCAGTAGTGCTCGACATTCACGACAGTCAAGCACATCCTCTACCATATCAAGTAAGGGGACCAAGAGCACAGATGCCCCTCCCTCCACAAGTGGGTCATCTATAGTGCATATAGATTCAGCTGGACCAGGTTGGTGAATGTTTTAATATCAGAATTATTCTTTTAAAATTGTGATGTGTATACTTTCTATGTATTGTACATAATTGGTATCATGTATAATGGTATATAGCTAAACTAAATTGTTTACAATTATAGTCATTAATAATGTTTTGAAATATGAAGATATTAAAGCAGGTACGATGGTACTTTTTATACTGTTTTATTTATTGTAGGAAGTGAACGAGAGAGTCCAAACTCGGAGCCTGATGGGCTGGCTGATGTTGCAGCACTGGCTGATGCTATGCTAGAACAGAGTCCTAGCAATAGCGTACATAGTAACCAAGGTTCAGAAACAGCTGGAGAGGCCCATCAGAAAATGTCCTCACTGGAACTGGAGAACAAGCTTCTAAAAAATGAAGTTGCTTCTCTCAATCAAGAGATGTCTTCTATCATACAGCGGTCCAGGGACTCTGTTTCTGGTACTGAATTTTGTAATTTCTCCAAAATAATGTCAGGGCAAAATAGTGATTCTTCAACTTGCCTTTTGGCACTGCATTAATAATGCTGTGTTAGATTTTACAAACATGCTTGTATTGTAAAAATCAAATAATTAACAAACATGCTTTTATTATAAAAATCAAATAATTAACAAACATGCTTGTATTGTAAAAATCAAATAATTTACAAACATGCTTGTAAACGTAAAAAACGAAATAATAATTAACAAACATGCTTGCATTGTAAAAATCAAATAATTTATAACATGTTTTTCAAGGTTTATATGATAATCAACCATAATGTTATACTGGCCAAATTCTGGTTGTGAAATACAATGGACATGTATCATTACTGTCTAACGTGTTTATAAAATACATAATTATATGTAATTTTTAACAGAATTGGAGAAAACCAAACAGAAGCTGGACTCCTACCATCGGTCAGCCTCTATGCATGACCAACTGGTACGTGAGTTGCAGTCACGGGAATCAGATCTGACAGAGGCTCTGGGGGCCAAGGATTCCCAACTGGCCGTTCTTAGAGTGAGGCTGGAGGAAGCAGATAAAGAGCTGACGAGGAAAGCTTCGACAGTACAAAATCTTGAATCACACAGGAACAGGTAAGCTTCCTCTGGGTACTGTTACAGGATGTCAATCACACAGTAACAGGTAAGCTCCCTCTGGGTACTGTTATAGGATGTCAATCACACAGGAACAGGTAAGCTCCTTCTATGTACTGTTTAAGAATGTCAGTGACACAAAGACAGGTAAACTCCCTCTGGGTACTGTTACAGGGTGTCAATCACACAGGAACAGGTAAGCTCCCTCTGGGTACTGTAACAGTATGTTAATTACACACAGGCAGGTAAACTCTTTCCTGGTACTGTTACAGGGTGTCAATCACACAGAAACAGGTAAGCTCCCTCTGGGTACTGTAACAGTATGTTAATCACACACAGACAGGTAAGTTCCCTTTGGGTACTGTTACAGGGTGTCAATCACACAGGAACAGGTAAGCTCCCTCTGGGTACTGTTACAGGGTAATAAACACACACAGGAACAGGTAAGCTCCCTCTGGGTACTGTTACAGGATGTGAATAACACATGGATTTGTAAGTGACTTGCCTGTATAGTTTAGTATCTCAAAAAGCACACAGACAGGTAAGTGCCTTTTCTGGATATTACAGGATCTACAATCACACATCAACAGGTAAGGACATTGTCACGTGAACTTTGCTATATTTGTCAGAAAATTGCCACAACCCTCAACGCCATGAAATCAGACAAAAGGATGGACTTCAGACATTTGTTTATATGTAGAACCAGCTGGAGGGCATATAATCTGTTATTTTATTTGAAATATATATCTTTAAGTGTGATAATACTTTTAATGCTCATGTATTATACATAACTACAGGATTCTTCAGGACCACACCGATTCCAGTGGTATGCACAGCCAGGCTCTTGACACTCTCAAGGCCAAACTAGTGGAAGTTGAAGCTGCACTCAAGAGGGAACAGGAGGCATACAAACAGGCCCAGGTCTCTTATGTCATAGTAACAATCTGATTGTCCTAGTAATCAACTAAATGTCATAGTAGTCAACTTAATGTCATAGTAATCATCTTAATGTCATAGTAACAAACTGATTGTCCTAGTAATCATCTTAATGTCTTAGTTAGTAACAAACTGATTGTCCTAGTAACAAACTGATTGTCCTAGTAATCATCCTAATGTCATAGTAACAAACTGATTGTCCTCGTAATCATCTTAATGTCATAGTAACAAACTGACTGTCCTAGTAATCATCTTAATGTCATAGTAACAAACTGATTGTCCTAATAATCATCTTAATGTCATAGTTAGTAACAAACTGATTGTCCTAGTAACAAACTGATTGTTCTAGTAATCATCTTAATGTCATAGAAACAAACTGATTGTCTTAGTCATCATCCTTATGTCATAGTTAGTAACAAACTGATTGTCTTAGTAATCATCTTAATGTCATAGTTAGTAACAAACTGATTGTCTTAGTAATCATCTTAATGTCATAGTAACAAACCAATTGTCCTAGTAATAATCTTAATGTCATAGTAAAAAACTGATTGTCATTGTGATCAACTTACAACTTAGACAAAAGCATTAAAATAAAATCAAAAATAAAAGAAGCCAATGGCTACTTTGGCTACTGACAGCATGAGCCCAGATAGTAACAAACTGATTGTCCTAGTAATCATCTTAATGTCATAGTAATCATCTTAATGTCATAGTATTAAACTGATTGTCTAAGTAATCAACTTTATGTCATAGTAACAATTTGATTGTCATTGTGATCAACTTGATGTCCTAGTAACAAACTGGTTGTCCTAGTAACAAACTGATTGTCCTAGTAATCATCTTAATGTCATAGTTAGTATCAAACTGATTGTCCTAGTAATCTATTCAACTTTATGTCATAGTAAAAAACTGATTGCCATTGTGATCAACTTACAACTTAGACAAAAGCATTAAAAGCCACGTCATAGTAACTGAACTGATCGTCATAGTGATTAACTTTATATGTCATAGTAACAAGCTGATTGTCCTAGTAACAAACCTAATGTTGTTGTAACAAATCAACTGTTATAGTGACAAACCTCATGTCATGGAGACAACCTGACGGTTGTAGTGATAAACCCTTTGTAATGTAATATTGATAAATCCTTATATCATAGTAACAAAACTGCTGTCATAGTGACAAATCTAATGTCATGGTAATAACCTGATTGTTGCAGCCAAAAACCCACACAGTTATGTCATAGTGATAATTTCTAACAATAGGTAGTAATAAGTAATAGTAATAAAACATACTGTCATAGTAACAAACCTTATGTTGTGATGAATCCTAATGTCATAGTGATAAAAAGCTACTGTTATATTGATAAACCTGAAGCCATAGCGACAGGCTTACTGTCATAGTAACAAATCTATATAATAGATAAAAACTTTACATCAAATTAAACCCTGTGTAAGTAATAAGTTGAATGTCATAGTAACAATCCACCTGTCATAGTTACAAACCTACTGTTATGATAACAAATTCAATGGCATAAAAACAAACCTATCATTACATAGTGACATCCTGCTGTCATAGTGGCAAACTGTCATACATATAGCAACAAACCGTCCTAATGATAACCTGCTGTCATATTGGCAAACTGTCATACATATAGCAACAATCCTTCCTAATGAAAACCTGCTGTCATAGTGGCAAACTGTCATACATATAGCAACAACCCGTCCTAATGATAACCTGCTGTCATAGTGGCAAACTGTCATACATATAGCAACATAACTTCCTAATGATAACCTGCTGTCATATTGGCAAACTGTCATACATATAGCAACAAACCGTCCTAATGATAACCTGCTGTCATAGTGGCAAACTGTCATACATATAGCAACAAACCTTCCTAATGATAACCTTCTGTCATAGTGGCAAACTGTCATACATATAGCAACAAACCTTCCTAATGATAACCTGCTGTCATAGTGGCAAACTGTCATACATATAGCAACAAACCTTCCTAATGATAACCTGCTGTCATAGTGGCAAACTGTCATACATATAGCAACAAACCTTCCTAATGATAACCTGCTGTCATAGTGGCAAACTGTCATACATATAGCAACAAACCTTCCTAATGATAACCTGCTGTCATAGTGGCAAACTGTCATACATATAGCAACAAACCTTCCTAATGATAACCTGCTGTCATAGTGGCAAACTGTCATACATATAGCAACAAACCTTCCTAATGATAACCTGCTGTCATAGTGGCAAACTGTCATACATATAGCAACAAACCTTCCTAATGATAACCTGCTGTCATAGTGGCAAACTGTCATACATATAGCAACAAACCTTCCTAATGATAACCTGCTGTCATAGTGGCAAACTGTCATACATATAGCAACAAACCTTCCTAATGATAACCTGCTGTCATAGTGGCAAACTGTCATACATATAGCAACAAACCTTCCTAATGATAACCTTCTGTCATAGTGGCAAACTGTCATACATAAAGCAACAAACCGTCCTAATGATAATCTGCTGCAAAACTGTCAAACATAATAATTTCATTATATCAAACCTTGAAAATTCTAAAAAGTTTTTCATATTATATTACTTACATTGATGTTAACATACATAAAACACATATGATAATCAAGTTGTGACATGTAAGCTATTGAATATTTCTTGTAAGAAATTTTCTAAGGGAGAAATATTATCTGAATAAATATCTTAACTGATTGATTTACTTAAATATGATATTTTTGCAGCAAGAGGCTTCAGATAGACAGGGTAGACTTGAAGTTGAACAGAGAAGTCTTGCTGAAGCCCTAACTACCTCAGAAAGGAGATTCAATGAAGAAAAAGGTAGATCGATTGGGGTAGAGTATCATGCCAAACACCTCTCATCTGTTAGATGTTTGATTTAGATTTACCAACTCAAAGTATAAAAAAAACCTTGTGAATTGTGAAACCTTGTGAATTGTGAAAAACTAGATACCATTTTAATAAATATTTGATTTGAAAATTGCAATTTCTTTTGAAATTTGTGTATTACAACCAGTGATATGGCATCATCAGGATCTTCCATTACCTTAACTGTCAAATTTGTTTCATTTTTGATCAATTGTTATTTCCCACATTCAGATTTTGTATAAATGATTCACTCTTATTTTTCAGCCAAAGTTTCTGAGATATCTATCCAGATGAAAACACTGAAGAGTAACGCTGACTTAGCCAAACAGGAACTGACAGAGTACAAGGAGAAGGCCACACGGATCCTACAGGTATTATACTGTGTTTGGTTTACCTGTTTAAACATAGATGTATCACTTATCTTACCTTAATGGTGTTAATTTACCATTGATTCTGGTGAAAGCTTCAAGTATAAAGGCTTATTGTGATTATAATGATCAATTTTTATAATTCATGTGTCAAGACAAACATATTCAGGTTTAAATGTTCTTAAGGTATGCGTTATGACTTATTCATAAAACTTAATGCTAAACAATACTATAGCAAATGTATACAGACATGTTTCAGTATCTAAACTTATTATGACTTGTGTGGGTATAACTAAACTGTGTGTGAGAAACTTTAATATCTATCAATTCCTCACCATTGTAGTCCAAGGAGAGACTGATTGCCAGTCTAAGGGAAGGGTCGGGGGCTGCAGGAGAGATGGCTGGAGTCTCCAGTCTGGAGTATGACTCGATCAAACAGGAGAGGGACATGTTTAGGGACGAGCTACAACAATCCCGGATGACTGTGGACAGTCTGAGGGTAGAACTGCAGGTAAAGTTAGATAGATCTGGACAGTTACCAATCACTTTCTTCTGGATTATTTATCATGGCTCACAACAGGTAGTTGAGAAACTAAAGTGACAACATGCATTCTATTTGCTCAAACTGCAAGACAAGGGCCGGTTCAAAGTTCAACAAAATCTATGAATATGACATTCAATTTCCCTAAACATTATAGAATTTATTCTCACTAGGAATGTACTCCATAAAGGCTATACTCCTGTAAAGTTAAAAAATGAGAAGAACTTGTGCTCATTCCATGAATTTGCTCATTAAACATTGAATATTTCAAGAAAATTCCATAATAAATATTTTTCATTTGCGATATGAAAGTCATTCAGATTCACTTAAAATTTGTTATATACCAGAATAATGATATATGAAAGTGTCATTCAGAATCTGTCCAGTTGTACTTCTCTATCTACTGTGTAAATGGTACTGTTGAAAAATAAAGACCTGCCTCCGAAGTAAGGAGGCAAGCGCCTTACATGTATTGTATAGACCACAGGGGTCCCTTCCGTCCTTATCAAGGGGAGTGCTAACCTTCTCTCCTTTCTTACAACACACTGGTTAGATATGATCTTTATGGTTTTATACCAAAAGATCACTGTATTATGAATATTGGTGTAATTAAATCTTAATAATGATATATGTTATTTGTAAATAAAAATTCAAATTTGGTACAACTGTTTCTTCAAATATCTAGTGTTAACAAAGATATTAAAAAGTAATTTATGGTTAGTTTATTATCTGATCATATGGTGTCCACAATTTAGAAAGGTGGAATTTCTTTAAAAAAATGTAAAAATGCGAATATCTTATGTATGGGGAGATAACTCTAGCTTAACTCCCCTTGTCATGTTTGTGAAGTGTTGGGGGGGGGGGGAATGGCTATATTTATGCATTTAAAATATACTGTGATTTTTTTCATTTCTTTAGAAAAGAAATTATGCTAATTCATCATACCAGTATTTAATTTTCACAATGCACTATTTCAATTTTGGTGATGGAGCTTCATTGAAATCGAATGTGTTTATTCTGATATGATTTAATTATCTTTAACAGGAAAATGATGCTATTTTCTTAAATGTTTTAAACTTGTGTTATGGTCCAATTTTGAATCTATATAATAATTCTTATTCATGATTAACTTCATATCCTGTATTTCAAAAGGATTACATTTCAGAAATAATATAAATGTTCTTTTGTAAAGAAAATTTATTTTAAAAAATGTCTTAATAATACATATATATATTATATATATGAAAACAGACACAAAAAGTAAGAATCTTCAGATAACACTCTTTCAGTTTTACTTTAATAGGTATTTTTATTTAAACATTTTAGAGAAATGGGTTAAAATGAAGATTTGAAAATAAACCTGACTTATGCCAGTCAACTGTACGTTAATATGTCTGATGTCCATGGTGGAGATTAATATTCCTTATGTTTGTGTATTTTTTTGTCAGGATCTGGAGGGGCAGCTACAGCGAGATAGTGATGAGGCAAATGACCAGCTGCGAGCTTTAGAGGACAACCTTCTGGTGGAGAAACGTCGACGGAAGGAGGCCGAAACAGAACTGCTCAAACAGAAGCAGGTACGTCAGTCAAGATAGTACTTAATTAAGGTGTTCGGTTCATTAGGATCTACCAGCACTTTGAAATAAAAGTTCTTTTATGAAGTTAATTACATATAAATAGTGCCCTATATAACTGATGAAATTTCTCTAATGTGCTTTACAGTACACATAGTATACACACAATGTTTAACAGTTGTACAGTTCTAAAGTACTTTGCATACATATATTATTCAAAGGATCAAAAGCTAAAAGTTTCTTCTGAAAAACTAAAACACATGCTTGAAAAGGTTTTAGTCAATTCATATTTTATTTTGACTTTTGATGTTTTTTTCCCCCAGGAGATGCAATATTCAATAGAGGAGATTCACAAACAAAAGGGAACGTTTCAGAATTGTGTTAGAGACAGAGAACTTGAAATTGAAAAACTCAGAAATCAGGTATGCCTCCGAATGTTGTGATGTATGTGGAAAAAACATTCAATGACTCAAGCTCCCATGATTAATTATTAAGGATTTTCTGCAGCAAACTATGGATATTTTGCTGATTATAAAGTGATAAATATTTTAAACCATTTATAGCAAAAAGGAACTACTATTTTTTTTGAAATGTGGTAGATGCTTTTCATTTAATTCATCAAAGCAGGTTATCGTTCATTCTAAGATGAGTAATACTACATACAATATATCTTCGTGTTAATCTCTCACTAGGTAACACTTGTATTGTGAAGTTCATGAACATATTTAAGAATTGAGAAAGCTTTAATTGCTTAAATTAATGGTTATGGAAGTTATTAATGTGAATGTGTGTTTTTGTAGCTCGCAACAAAGTCCATGAGTTCTACATCTGAGAATGAGCTAGAATCTCGCGTCAAGTCCCTCACTGAGAGCCTCATACAAAAACAAACAGTGTTGGAGGCCTTGAGTACAGAGAAAAACTCACTTAACCTGCAGCTGGAGAGACTTGAGGTAAGGGTCAAATCAACATTTGTTTTGTAGTACAATTATGGTGCAGACAATAATTTGTGGAAGAAATTTCTAAAAAATGAAGTTGTTCTATATGTATGTTTAAGACATATTTGACAAAAAAAATGAAAGATCTTTCTGGTACATGTATACAAATTTGAAATTAAAGTCTGATTCTTTAGACATTACTGGTAGTATTAGATTTGTTCTAATAAAAGGCATTTTTTTCATTAAAGGCTTAAGTTTTTAGATGACTTTTTCTATTATAAATAAGGTTTTGTAGATGAATATTTACATTGTAAGGTATGTTTTGTAAATGAATATTTACATTGTAAGTTGGGTTTTGTAGTTGAATATTTACATTGTAAGTTGGGTTTTGTAGATGAATATTTTTACAATGTAAGTTGGGTTTTATAGTTGAATATTTATATTGTAAGTTGGGTTTTGTAGATGCAGTATAAAGATGTCCAGGCTTCGTCCCTTAGGACCAACACTGCTGTTGTTCACGTCAATGATGATGAGGAAGGTACAACAATTGATACATCCTTTTGTACCGTATCTTTTTGTACCGTATCTTTTTCCACTCCAACTTTGTTTTTCCTATCACATGTCACATCATTTATATATTTTTTTTCAGACATAATAGATTCTAGCAAATTTAAGCAATAGTTGAAAAAAATGTGTTCTTTCCAACAACTTTTACATATTATAGTTATCAGTTATAAATCTAGTAGTAGTCAAAACAATTTCATCAGATAGAATTGAAGCAAATGGTTATTGAAATGAAAATTTGGGGCATGATTTACATTACTTTTATACATGTATGTTATATAGTGTGTTAATTTCAGCAGCATATGCAAAAAAACCAAAAAAAACCAGCTAAAACATTTATGGAAAAGTATAGAACAAAAACTGCATGAAATGTTTTAAAATGTATTTACAAGTAAGTTTGTGTGTGTTAGCAGTGCGACAGAGGCTGCCAGCTTTCATGCGTGAAACAGCCACTGACACAGAAGTGACAAAAAAGATGAAGCGTGCTGCCAACTCTATTGATAAACTAGGGTGAGATTGTCAGGGGTTGTAGTGGTAAAAGAGGTAGAGCTGATATATTTTATACCACATGTCCTTTTCCTAGAAACGTTACATTTTACATACTTTTCATTTTCCGAAGATCTCTTTTTGCATTTTTTTTATTAATCTTTACAGTATGTTTTAAAAAAGTCTCAACATATTCGACATCTCATGTGTTATATAAATAATATCCTTAAAATTTGCTGTGTGTTCTGAAAAAAATCTTTGATTTCTCATTTTTCCTTTTCCAGTATACGCCTCGGAGTTTTCCTGAGAAGATACCCCATTGCCAGAGTATTTGTGATATTATACATGGTGAGCTACATGGTGTAAACCAGTTCCTTACCTCATTCACCCCTGAAGACACTTTTGAATTATTCCAATTCAAAGGTTGGAATAGTTCATTATGAAACTTCAGGGGTGAATGAGTTAAGTCTGTACGAGATATGAATGAGGTATCTTCCTGAAATGTCACACCTTTAACAGGCTTGTTATAAAGTATACATATTGTATGTCTAAATGTAGATGTTAAGAATTACGATATTTCACTCTTTAGATGAACTAATCTTGCACCTGATGTTTTTAAGGGAGAATTATTCTGTCACAAATTTCATTACTTAAATGTATTTCACTGATGATCCTCATTCTGCACATTTACACTTTGATTGAAATGTGTCTGTCATTTTAGGCAATGCTGCACCTATGGGTGATGGTTGTGTTGTTGACGTACCAGCCAGAGATGCATGGGGCTGACCATGGACAGCCATTACCTCCCCCTGGTGCTCACTGACAGATACAGGGTGCTGGCACTCACTGACAATGACAGCAGTCCTGATCATGTGACGGTGTACAGATGTGTTGACAGTTTACATCAACAAGGGGAACAACTCTATCACTTCACATAAGCATGACTATTCGAGGGGTGTTGGAAGCTCCTTATTCTACAGATTGGGTCCGAATTTATTTGTACCCTAATTTTAAGAATCAGAACTTGTTTAACTTAATACATGTATCATCACAAGGTATGCATGAAGCACAGGAGATATATAAAGTTGATACTTTCAGAACCTCATTGTTCCTGACATTGATGATCTGGAAAATTCTCATTGGGATGATTTTTTTTTAAAACCTTTTTAGACATTTGACAGAGTTAGAAGCTTTGTAAGCAAATGTTTTCATCGAATACCATGAGTACTTAAATTTAATAAATTATCAGTGTGGAGAAAAGAGGTACCCTGATAATGTTTTTTGAAGTATTGTAAGTCAAAGGTGCCCGATGCATAAAGACATTGGTTATAACCTTAATGATGGACATTTATATTATGGCTGATAGACTAGTATGCATCTGTTCAGTTTGTTAAACCCTTAAAGTTCTGTGTTACGCTGGGAGTATAGAGCCATGCAATTGCATAAAATATAGGAGTATGATGAAAGGTTTCAATCACAGCATGCTCCAAGCATCACTTATATGTAAGGTCTTTATTCGGCTGTCTAGATTTGCCTCCAGATGTGAGGCCTCATTGGGACAATTTTAACTTACAATTTTTGTTTTCCCTGAAATACTGTTTTGTTATCATGTATACTGAAATTCTTATAACACAGTCTATATAGTTTGTTCTGTATATTGAAAACGTTTTGATGGAAAAGAGATCTAATCTTTCATGATTGTTCTCACTGCAACTTATTCACGAGAATTCATTTTATGGAAGACCATCAACAGCTAATTGTACATTGCTTCTTTATATCAGATTACATCCGCACATCAACAAGCTCGAGTTTATTGTCACAAATTAATGTGACAATGATGATATCTGGTGAAATGTGTTTCAGTCTTAATGTGTGTATTAGAGATAAGGTTTAGCTGTAAATTATTTTTTCTATGGATTAACTTTCGTAGTATTGCTTAATTTTTAATTATCATTTTAAGTCCATCTAAAATAAAGTGAGTTTACAGAGTGCAGTGTAATCAATTATGTCCTCAAATTGGGACCTCGGTCTTAAAATTCCCAAGAACTTAAAGTACAAGATTAATGGGCTGAAGTCATTATTCAAATAAGTGCAACATTAAACTGCTTCAGTTGGCACCCACACAGGGACCTGAGAATTTGTTACAGCTGTATTTGGACCTAAACTAGGGTGTTCAGAGTGATTTAACATGCTTGGGGTGGCATTTTTACTGAAAGTTGATCTAAACCCCTAAAACATGTAAAATCTCACACCATCATTGGGAGTGGCATTTTTACCAAAAGTTGATCTAAAGTGCTAAAACATTTAAAATCACTTAGAGCACCATAGTTTAGGTCCAAATACCATTTAGCATAGTCAATATGAATGCCAAGTTGAAACCTCAAATCCAAGGAAGCATGCAGGCAATTCCTTTAATTTTTTTTCAGTTTCCAGTAAACACTGGTATGGATTGTAAATAGTAACAGAACAGTTTCTCTGTGTTTATGTTTACTATTTTCATATAAGTGGATGACATGGAAAGTTAAAATTATTTATTATCATAGGTTAGCTATTAGTTCAGATTTGAATATTTTTTATGTATGTATGTGATGTTAATTGATGCATCAGCCATCATCCAGCAAGGATCGGTAGTATCCCTTCACTACAGTAGTGATGACAGTGTCTATATTTGGGCCTTGGCATTCAATGTCAACTTAGTTTGGTAGGGTTATGTTGCTATTATCATGCAATGGTAATATGATGGTTTTTATTTATGTCACTGGTGTGTGATTTTTTGATCAAGTAAATGGTGTTTAAGGACATTATACTGACAAGTACATTTTGTTTATGTTGCCTTTTAATAAGAGAGATGTATAGAATTAAAATGTATGCATATATTCTTTAGATCATGTACATATAATCAAATAACAGACAACTGTAAATATTACATTGATAGTGTTGCTGTATGATTACATTGACACAATTACGTTGATAGTGTTGCTGTATGATTACATTGACACGATTACATTGATAGTGTTGCTGTATGGTTACATTGACACGATTACATTGATAGTGTTGCTGTATGGTTACATTGACACGATTACATTGATAGTGTTGCTGTATGATTACATTGACACGATTACATTGATAGTGTTGCTGTATGATTACATTGACACGATTACATTGATAGTGTTGCTGTATGGTTACATTGACACGATTACATTGATAGTGTTGCTGTATGATTACATTGACACGATTACATTGATAGTGTTGCTGTATGATTACATTGACACGATTACATTGATAGTGTTGCTGTATGATTACATTGACACGATTACATTGATAGTGTTGCTGTATGATTACATTGACACGATTACATTGATAGTGTTGCTGTATGATTACATTGACACGATTACATTGATAGTGTTGCTGTATGATTACATTGACACGATTACATTGATAGTGTTGCTGTATGGTTACATTGACACGATTACATTGATAGTGTTGCTGTATGGTTACATTGACACGATTACATTGATAGTGTTGCTGTATGGCTACATGGACACGATTACATTGATAGTGTTGCTGTATGGTTACATTGACACGATTACATTGAAAGTGTTGCTGTATGGTTACATTGACATTGTGTTGTATGATTACACCGATACAATGTCACTGTAGGATACAGTTTTTCCATTGATCTGTGATACCTGGTTTTATTACTGTGTGCATGTCACAGGTGGCATGCCACGATTTTATACACAGGAATATTTTAGGTCCTCATTTTTTGAGAAGACCAATATCAAGACTATACACCACAGTTTTGAGCATTCTGAGCATAAATACATTGGTAATACATTGGTATCAGCCAGATACAATCCTGATTTACTGCAGTTTGACTGCTCTGTGGCTTTTTAGCTGTCTTTTCATTTTCCACAACTTGTATTTATTTCTGAGTTAAATTTCCCATTTATTTAACAGTAATGTTTATATAATGGTTCATTGTGTGTAAAATACTGTTTCTTTACAAACTAAGCGAAACATTCATGAAAAGGGTCTACATGGAGGTGTCCTTTAAATACAGTTTATTCACTATCTGCAGCAATTTCTGTTGAACATGCTTTAAAGACAGATTTTCTTCTTTATATAGGTTTTACTGTGTACATTCTCCTAACAAATCATATCAATTGTTAAGCAAGGTGATGTATACATAAACACAGGATTTAGTACATCTGCTATTTTAATGTCCACGACCGGTATTTTAATCACAACTGCAGCTGATTCCTGGGATGTGATTGTCAGTCAACAGATTTGTTACCGTTGCATACAGATCAGAGAGGTCAAGATTAGAGGTGTACACGTTATAGGTGATTATCCACCGACAGCCTTGTTACCGTAACATACAGATCAGAGAGATCAAGGTTAGAGGTGTACACGTTATAGGTGATTATCCACCGCCAGCCTTGTTACCGTAACATACAGATCAGAGAGATCAAGGTTAGAGGTGTACACGTTATAGGTGATTATCCACCAACAGTCTTGTTACCGTAACATACAGATCAGCAACGTCAAGGTTAGAGGTGTACACGTTATAGGTGATTATCCACCAACAGTCTTGTTACCGTAACATACAGATCAGCAACGTCAAGGTTAGAGGTGTACACGTTATAGGTGATTATCCACTGACAGCCTTGTTACCGTAACATACAGATCAGAGAGGTCAAGGTTAGAGGTTTACACGTTATAGGTGATTGTCCACCGACAGCCTTGTTACCTTAACATACAGATCAGAGAGGTCAAGGTTAGAGGTGTACACGTTATAGGTGATTATCCATTGACAGCCTTGTTGTCTTAACATACAGATCAGAGAGGTCAAGGTTAGAGGTTTACACGTTATAGGTCATTGTCCACCGACAGCCTTGTTACCTTAACATACAGATCAGAGAGCTCAAGGTTAGAGGTGTACACGTTATATGTGATTATCCACCGACAGCCTCATTACCGTAACATACAGATCAGAGAGCAAGGTTAGAGGTGTACACGCTATAGGTGATTGTCCACCGACAGCCTTGTTAACGTAACATACAGATCAGAGAGGTCAAGGTTAGAGGTGTACAGGTTATAGGTGATTGTCCACCGACAGCCTTGTTAACATAACATACAGATCAGAGAGGTCAAGGTTAGAGGTGTACAAGTTATAGGTGATTATCCACCGACAGCCTTGTTACCGTAACATACAGATCAGAGAGATCAAGGTTAGAGGTGTACACGTTATATGTGATTATCCACCGACAGCCTCATTACCGTAACATACAGATCAGAGAGGTCAAGGTTAGAGGTGTACACGTTATAGGTGATTATCCATTGACAGCCTTGTTACCGTAACATACAGATCAGAGAGGTCAAGGTTAGAGGTGTACACTTTATAGGTGATTATCCATTGACAGCCTTGTTACCGTAACATACAGATCAGAGAGGTCAAGGTCAAGAGCAGGTAACACATTACAAATGATTGTCAGTCTACGTGAGTGTTTCCATTGCCTACAGATCAGCAAGGTCAAGGTTGAAAACAGGTGTACATGCTATATATGATCGTCCATCGACAAGCTTTGTTGCCGTAACATACAGATCACCAAGGTCAAGAGCTGGTGTACAAATTACAAATGATTGTCAGTCTACATGATTGTTGTTGCACCAGTTAACCTAAGGATCAGCAAGGTCAGGGTTGAAGACAGGTGTATGTGCAAGTGATTCTGAGATGAGAGAATTACTGTTTTTTGGGCCTGTGCATTTGAATCATAATCAACTAGGTCAAAAGTTTCAGATAAATGTGTGTTATTATATACAAAGCGTGTCCTGAATGAGTATTTGTTATGTAATATATTGGTTATCATTAAATTATGTTATTGCTTTGAGCATAATGTGTAAAAATAAAGAGGGAAACCATACACCATTGGTGCTTTTGTTTATGGTCTGTCATTCACACACAATTGTTTTGTTTATCCTCAGTCGTTTACTCACTATGGGCATCATTTATATGACTCTGTTACAAAGAGAACATATCCTATCTGCAGTATTAAACTAGGTTTCATTGAACACCTCATGTACAAGTGCCCTAGTAGGCAAAATATGCTACGTTTGAAATGATTAAGATATTTATTGACGAACAAAATCAGCAAGTTTTGTTTACATTTACAATAACTGAGCTAGGCACTTTCAATTGGTCACTTTAAATGAAAGACACTTATCTAGATGCTAAATTTGAGTACATTATGGTAACTTATAGAGACAACCAAGACAACATGTCATAAATCACAGAGATGATAACTTGTACAGGTAACTGAGGTAGAACATTTAGGTCACAGACAATATTGACAAAGATTGATGAACCAAGTATTTAGCAACCAATTTATATTGAAGTGTAAATGTAATGTCACCACTCTGATTTCAATCATGGGACATATTTTTTCAAGCTGTCTAGTAGTGCCTGTTACTATTAGGGTATATTCCCTAAAACAAGAAGGCCACCATCTTGGATTTTGACATTTGAAATTTGTTCTCACTATATCTCAAGAAATATACTGGATGGATCATTCTGAAATTTCATATGTACATACAGTACCTACCATGGAGTGCTATATCCTTACTTCATATCAAGTACTTTAAACATATCCAGTCCAGGTGAGTGATACAGACCCTCTGGGCCTCTTGTTTAAAATTACAAAAGAAATAAAAACAAAAATTCTTTGATGATTTCAAACATTTATTTATCTTATCTTCTATAATTGAAGTTGGCAAACCACTGCTGGTATCTAACATGTACCTGGCTTATATCAGTACAGAGTGCAGACTACTGGATATACAGCTGGAATAGCACTACCAAGGAGCTGCAATGATGGAGCACACCTTGTATGAAGTAGCTACACTGATGGAGCACACCTTGTACTAAGTAGCTGTACTGATGGAGCACACCTTGTACAAAGTAGCTACACTGATGGAGTACATCTTGTACTAAGTAGCTACACTGATGGAGTACACCTTGTACTAAGTAGCTACATTGATGGAGCACACCTTGTACTAAGTACCGGTAGCTACACTGATGGAGTACACCTTGTACTAAGTAGTTGTACTGATGGAGCACACCCTGTACTAAGTAGTTGTACTGATGGAGCACCCCTTGTACTAAGTAGTTGTACTGATGGAGTACACCTTGTACTAAGTAGCTGTACTGATGGAGCACACCTTGTACAAAGTAGCTACACTGATGGAGTACACCTTGTACTAAGTACCGGTCGCTACACTGATGGAGCACACCTTGTACCAAATAGCTACACTGATGAAGCACACCTTGTACCAAATAGCTACACTGATCGAGCACACCTTGTACCAAGTAGCTACGCTGATGGAGCACACCTTGTACTAAGTAGCTACATTGATGGAGCACACCTTGTACTAAGTACCGGTAGCTACACTGATGGAGTACACCTTGTACTAAGTACCGGTAGCTACACTGATGGAGTACACCTTGTACTAAGTACCGGTAGCTACACTGATGGAGTACACCTTGTACTAAGTACCGGTAGCTACACTGATGGAGTACACCTTGTACTAAGTACCGGTCGCTACACTGATGGAGCACACCTTGTACCAAATAGCTACACTGATCGAGCACACCTTGTACCAAGTAGCTACGCTGATGGAGCACACCTTGTACTAAGTAGCTGTACTGATGGAGTACATCTTGTACTAAGTAGCTACACTGATGGAGCACTCCTTGTACTAAGTAGCTACACTGATGGAGTACACCTTGTACTAAGTACCGGTAGCTACACTGATGGAGTACACCTTGTACTAAGTACCGGTCGCTACACTGATGGAGCACACCTTGTACCAAATAGCTACACTGATGAAGCACACCTTGTACCAAATAGCTACACTGATGGAGCACACCTTGTACCAAATAGCTACACTGATGAAGCACACCTTGTACCAAATAGCTACACTGATGGAGCACACCTTGTACCAAATAGCTACACTGATGAAGCACACCTTGTACCAAATAGCTACACTGATGGAGCACACCTTGTACCAAATAGCTACACTGATGGAGCACACGTTGTACTAAGTAGCTACACTGATGGAGCACGCCTTGTACTAAGTAGCTACACTGATGGAGGACACCTTGTACTAAGTAGCTACACTGATGGAGCAAACCTTGTCCTAAGTAGCTACACTGATGGAGCACACCTTGTACCAAATAGCTACACTGATGAAGCACACCTTGTACCAAATAGCTACACTGATGGAGCACACGTTGTACTAAGTAGCTACACTGATGGAGCACTCCTTGTACTAAGTAGTTGTACTGATGGAGCACACCCTGTACTAAGTAGTTGTACTGATGGAGCACACCTTGTATGAAGTAGCTACACTGATGGAGCACACCTTGTACCAAATAGCTACACTGATGGAGCACACGTTGTACTAAGTAGCTACACTGATGGAGCACACCTTGCACTAAGTAGCTGCACTGATGGAGTACACCTTGTATGAAGTAGCTACACGGATGGAGCACACCTTGCACTAAGTAGCTGTACTGATGGAGTACCCCTTGTACTAAGTAGCTACACTGATGGAGTACACCTTGTATGAAGTAGCTACACTGATGGAGCACACCTTGCACTAAGTAGCTGTACTGATGGAGTACACCTTGTACTAAGTAGCTACACTGATGGAGCACACCTTGTACTAAGTAGCTACATTGATGGAGCACACCTTGTACTAAGTACCGGTAGCTACACTGATGGAGTACACCTTGTACTAAGTAGCTGTACTGATGGAGTACACCTTGTACTAAGTAGCTACACTGATGGAGTGCACTAGGTGCCTGGAAGCTTCACTGATTCAGCACACCTAGTACCATTGTGCTACACTGGTGGAATACACCTTGTACCAAGGAGATACACTGCTGGAGTGCACCATTTAACAGTAAAAAGGATTTAAAAAGGAGATGATGGAGCACAACTTCTGCTGAGAAAATACCCTGACGGATCACATCTTGTATCAAGGAGGTGTACTCATGCAGCATGCCTTATACCAAGTGTATATTTTTATTTCTTTTTTTACTGTATGAAACTCCATTTACAAACGAACTACATAATGTCTTATAGTATTACAAATAAATATCATTTGAAATCGGATGTAAATCAGCTTGGTAGTGTAATAAATCCTTCAGTGCTACACATGCATAGAAAAGCTAAACAGGACCAAGCTTTGTTCACAGACATGGTTCAAACAGCTTGATTCAGTATTTGTGGATAGATCATGTTTAAAACTGCTTTAATAACGAGTCGGCTCACATGGTTTACAATAAATACGAGACATGGAGTACTCCCAACCTCTACTTAGGATAAAATGGATCTCCACTAAGGAGAGGGTATACATGTTTACATCAGCTTTATTAATGTCAAGTTATAAATATATTGCATGAGAAATGTACTTCAACATCAACACCTACAGCGTGTAGAAATGTACTTAAACATCAACACCTACAGCCAGTAGAAAATATCTAGCTAATACACGGACAAACTGGGATAACAAATCAACAATCACAACATATATATTTAAAAACAATCAACCTTCAACCTTTTATAAGGATGTTAAGTTGGATGTGCAAATGTTTTTAGTCCACAATGCAACATCATCATAAATCACTTCTCATCTATACTAAGTCAGTCAATGGAGTGTCATATTGACATGAAAAAGGACAACACATACACTGTGAATGATGTACACCAACTAACCAGTATAATACATACAGGTTTATAGCATAGCCTCACTATGACCTTGTGGGGTATTAGCCTGTCTGCAGGTTAACAAAGTATCGTATTCATCTCGACTATATATAATGCTCTGTATGACTATAGTTAACATATTTAGAAGTTCATCCTTACATATATTACTTTATAAATTCTATGTGGGGTCACTGTTGACAGGTGAACTACACAATTATCTGGTATAATACTTCATAGTGTACTGTGATTACATACTGCGACTACTTGAAATATATTCGTAGCATCCACCACAACAGATAATATTACAAAAACAATAGTATCTTGTTATTTGTATGGTAAAGTGCAGAAGATGGTATAAACAACAATTTAAGTAAAATAAAATAAAATGAATTTCTTCAGGTTTTAAATCAGCATACCAGTAAGAGGCCTCGGATCAGACAGTAACACCTGGGCCAAATGGGACTAATAGAATCTCTAAACCCCCTTCAGTGTTGAGATAGGGGAATTTCAACCCAGTGTTTGGCAACTTAAGAATCTTTCCCCGAGGATTGAGATTCCCCTATCTCACCCACAAGGGGGTGAATGATTCTTTTTCTCTTACCCTGTTCACTAATTGTGTATCATATTCATAATGTTATGTTTATGTTACAGGCTAAATTCAGGGTTGACGTGACATTGATGGATTGTTGACGTGACATCATACCATTGTTATGAACAGGGGAATCTCCCCCTCTCAATCCTAGGGTGAGACAAGGATATCTCACACTGGTAAAAGTGGGGATACACCTGTCCAGGGTAAGAGAAAAGGACATCTCACACTGGTAAAAGTATGGATACACCTGTCCAGGGTAAGAGAAAAGGACATCTCACACTGGTAAAAGTGTGGATACACCTCCAGGGTAAGAGATAAGGATATCTCACACTGGTAAAAGTGTGGATACACCTCCAGGGTAAGAGACAAGGATATCTCGCACTGGTAAAAGTGGGGATACACCTGTCCAGGGTAAGAGAAAAGGACATCTCACACCGGTAAAAGTGTGGATACACCTGTCCAGGGGAAGAGAAAAGGACATCTCACACCGGTAAAAGTGGGGATACACCTGTCCAGGGTAAGAGACAAGGATATCTCACACCGGGAAAAGTGTGGATACACCTGTCCAGGGTAAGAGAAAAGGACATCTCACACTGGAAAAAGTGTGGATACACCTCCAGGGTAAGAGACAAGGACATCTCACATCGGTAAAAGTGTGGAAACACCTGTCCAGGGTAAGAGAAAAGGATATCTCGCACCGGTAAAAGTGTGGATACACCTGTCCAGGGTAAGAGAAAAGGATATCTCGCACCGGTAAAAGTGTGGACACCTGTCCAGTGTAAGAGAAAAGGATATCTCACACCGGTAAAAGTGTGGATACACCTGTCCAGGGTAAGAGATCCACCTGTCCAGGGTGGGAGAAAAGGATATCTAACACCGGTAAGAGAAACTTCAGTCTGAACGGACACACTGTTGACTCTGCTGTAGTAACAATGGCCCTGTATTTAACCCCATGTTAGGGTTTTAACAATAACAGACCTCACAATTCACTTACAACAGAGAATTACAAAAGTATAGAAGTTACACAAATGCTGACGTTTAAACACAAGTATGACTAGGTAACCCAGCAGTTCCAACTCACTTCATAAAACAGGAATGTTCAACAATAGCATTTTTTATTTGATTTGATGGAGAAAAAATGATGGGTAAATCATTGATTTAGCATGGTCAGATGAAAATAAATCAATTCTAATGGTATACAAACAAAACACAAATGATTTCCAACCTTACATGATTTCATATTTGTATCCTGACAAGCATTTAAAAAAAAATATAGTACCAAAACATTATTTTTGGCAAATTTCCATGTTGCCATATATGAGAAAGATGAATCGGTATGTCCCCTTTCTGAAACCATATAATCAACATCAAACTGTTTAAGACCAAGTTATTCTTCTCAACATTATTTTATTCTGCTAATTAGGAACAATGCATCAATAGTACGCTGCACTCACACGTGACCAAAATCCAGGTATGTGTTATTCTTCAATGGTACTGTTGTGATGATTCTGATCATGTTCAGTTTTAATGGTATATCATTTAACCAGCCAAATGCATATAAATATGTATAATATACAATATCAGAGGGATAGCCTGTTAAGTGATGACAATCAAGTACAGCAAAACAACAATTAAGTTTCATAAATTATCTAACGGTATTACATCTCGTAAATGCTGTGTGTTTTACACTGACAAGGTATGTTGACCGGCGTTACACCATATCGACTTTTACAATTTACGGTATGTAAAATGTGCTGACCTGTATCACAACTCGTCCACTCTCCATCTTTAACACTGACAAAAAGTGTACTGTGAAAGTAAAAACAGGACATGATACTAACCAACTTGCTATATCTGTTACATATTCAAATCTGGCACAGAAACGTAAACCTCAGGAAACTACATGTACAAACATAACATGGCAACGGGGTGTAGTCCGAAGTTCTATTCTTAAATGAAGACAACAAATGTTTGTTCACCTATTTAAATACTTAGATTTTTTTCGTGAAATGCTTAGTGAACACACAATTCTTACGAACAAATTGTTCTTGTGTGACAAGATATATAATTTCAGTACCTATGACAACACACATAACAGGCTACACAACATGTCTCCCAGTAAATACTAGTGTTCCACCTTAATATACAGAGGAAACTTAACACACAAATTAAACACAATAAACCAATATGTGTGTAAACAGGGTCTTATTTACTGCTAATATAGACACACAATTGTATGGTTTTTTATTCTGATGGTATATTGTATGAAAACACAAAGAGTTATAAAATCTTGATAAAATCCTTCTTTTAACAAAAAGATCTGATTATTTTCTCATGATTCCATATCTCACAACCAGTTTTTAGAGTTACAAGGTTGAATCATTAAAAGATGAACATACTTTCCTTTTAAAATAATCAGTTTTCCACATTAAATGGGAATGACCTCTGATCCTGGTGACCTCTGACCTACCTAGTTAATTATAACCTATGACCTCTCACACAAGAACACTGTACCAATGAAACAAATAGTGTTGCATGGTTCAGTGGACAATAAGATAATAATACAATATGAAAAAAGTTTTTAAAACAAACTGAAAGCTTATTGTCCATCTATTTTAACATTTGACTTCTGAAACTTATTTTTAAAATTTCAGATGAAATATATCTGAAAAGATCTGTGACCAGCCTATGATACAAATGCATAGCATTGATTTGCATTTCATCAAACTGTTACAATTGGGTTACAGTTGAAATATGTCCTAAAACAATATCTACTCAATGGACAAGAACCTTGAAAATAATGAAATTGTAATACCAAGATGCTACAGTTTATTAATAAAACAAAACAGGCGGTTAGACTATTCAATACTGGGATGGGGTGGATACAGATTCTAACCACCAGCATTACTCACTGATATACATAACGGTGACAAATGTCACAGCGTAATAACAAAATGAAATCAATTGGCTAACAGTAATGATTAGACGATGAGAGGTTATCGGAGGTCCTCCGAGTTGATTGTTTTCTTGATACGTAAGAGTATGGTAGTCGTCCACTGGTCCAGTCGGGAGATACTGTCGTATTCCTTCACTGCATCAGTGTATGTGTCCGTGTTCTGTTCTTCACATGCCTCCAATAGTTTCTTTGAACAGAAAATTTTTTCTTTACCTGATAATTGGTAACAAGAGATCCCAGAGGGACCTTGGCATCCACTATCTTCAATCTAGGTAAGATAAATCTATTCCCTTCCCTTCTCTTATCTAATGCATTTAGTCATGTAAACAGTTAATGCACCTTGTGGTACCTTTTGATCAGAACATCATATTGCTGTGTATGACCATATTTTTTCAAAGTGAGGTTGTCATTCAAACTATTTACTAGCACTGTACATAATGTGTAACAAAGGAAACTAACATTTGAAATTGGAGAAAGATTTGTCAGATATTTTTTGAGAAATAATGATAATAAAGTGCAACTGTTGAAAACCAAGATGGCTGCCTCGTGGGCAGTTTTTTCTTCTGATCAGTCTTGAAAGAAAACATGCACAACTTATATATAATTAGGACCAATGAAAATCAATATATTCCAGCACTTTCTGAGAAATAGTGCTAACAAACTTCAGCTTTTAAGATGGTCTCCTGTTGGCGATCTTGGTTTTATTATCAGTTCCAAGAATAAGTATGTACAAGTGCGGATCATGGGAAACGTACATATAAATTACTAACATTCAGTACTATCTGAGAAATTCAAGAGTGCTGCCTGTCAGTCATCTTGGTTTTCTGCACAGTCCAAAAATTCAATGTGCATAACTAAGGACAATGAAGAGCCTACAGTTGAGATTTTAAAAATCCCTCCATTACTTTCTGAGAAATATTTAACTCTCAAAATTTAGGATGGCCAAAGAAAACACTCTCAGTATTCATTATGATCTGTTATGGAAGGAATTCATGCCACAAAATTTGACTCCGCAATTGATTATTATTACAACACGTCTACATAAAGAGCGTCTACATTAAGTAAATTGGCCTGATTAAAGAAGTCTGTAACATAGCAGGTTTGTTTGATCCAGTCATGATGTGCATACCTTGACAAGTTTGCACTCCCTCGAGTCGGTAAACTGGGGAAATATGTCCTCAAATTTCTTGATTGCAATTTGAGCATTGAGTACATCTACACACATGTGACACATGGCTGCCTTGAAGAAGTAGTCCTTAGCACTGTACTTGAGCAACTGGTTATCCATACAAGAAGTTCCAATCTGCAAGCAAGTATAACATATTGAAATTTCGGTTGGTCTAAGGGAGATAATTCAAAGAAAGTAATCAAGTTTCTTCTGTATGAACTGTAATTATGTGTTATGTTAATTATCTTCATATTAATATAGTAATTAATAATGATTAAATTAAATTCCTATTAAATCTTATAATTTATTCTGCTGAAAATACATAATTTTCTGTATGGAACCAATAAATTATGGTATATAGATAATGTCATGAAGAATTTATGTTGTTTTTGAGAGAAAATATTTGTAGAACTGACCTGCTCATATATCTCTATTGCCTTTTCATACTGCTCCAGCTGGGCTGCATAATGAGCTACCTTTACTAAGCACTTATTGGCTGAACTGGAATGTGGAAATGAAGGTTTCTTAGACATAAACCAAAGATTACTTAACATATCAAAACATAACATTACCTTCTATATACATGCCTACTTTCCTGAAATATTCCCACAAAATGCCAGCAAAAAACAAAGAGAATTAAACTAGTAATAATGTGACATTGTGATAGCATTCTGGTATTGGTCATGTCTTTTTGTCAGTAGTGATATTGCCCATATCAAACATTTCCCAAAGAAAACGCTCTCAGTAATCATTATGATCTGTTATGGAAGAATTTCATGCCACAAAAATTGACTCAGCAATTGATTATTATTACATAAAGATCATCATACCTCTTGGACTCCTCTCCTTTATAGTAATCAGCTGCTTGTTCATAGCTCGTTATAGCCTGAAACGGCAGAGAAGAGACAATGTACACTCTGGACTGAACTACAGAAGCGTGTACTGTATAAAAAGGAAATTTGTTCTAAGTTAAACCATGGACAAAGCGCTGATCATCAAGACTTAGTAATCTCAGCATGGTTCTGTTCAGCCATTTGACAAAAAAGAAATCAGCTGGTGATATAGTTTTTTTTATAACATCAAATCAATCTTAATATTTGCAGTTTAAATCACAACTAAAACGTGTTTGTGGCACATTCGTATATTCCCATTTCTGCTTTGATGACAACAGAACTAGAAGGAAGTTTTACCTAAAACGAAGATCTAAATGCAGTACACAGTCACCTTAAGTAAATGAAGCAAAAACAATATAGGTCATAGTGACCTACATGTGATATATTGGTTTGATGACTGCTGGATTTCTATCATTATATATATATAGTAATGGTGCTTAACACTAAATTGACCAAGATGTCCACAATGAGATGCATTAGTATGGTATGAATAATAAATGTTAAATTTGTTTTGAACACGAACAGAAATTGAAAACTTATTTTGCAGCTTTTAAAAACGCCTATTTCCATTGTGAAGCAAAGAGAGTAAATGACCCAGTGTCTCGAGACACTGATCAGTTGCACTCTTTGCTTCACATCGAGGCACTGGGTCATTTACACTCTTTACTTCACAACGGAAACAGACGTTTTTGAAAGCTGCAGAATAAGTTTTCAATTATTGTTTGTGTCCAAAACAAACTTAGCGTTTAATACCAAGATATCATACAGATGGAAGAAGCAAACACTGAATGCCCCATCCACATATGTTGCAGGAGCATAAAAATTTCTATATTTGCATTTATTTCCTATGGAGGCATCATAATACTTCATGATCATTGCAATGCTTTTAAATAAGCAAGGCTTACCTTTTCAATATCAACCAGTTCTGTTTCATAAATCTCAGCAATATTGACATGATGCTTCGCTGCAATTGAAAATCGTCCCTGGAAAAAAAAAAGTTTAATCTATTATTTAAAGACAAAGACCAAATATGGGTTAATAAAATTGTGTAAAACCAAACCACAATTTAAGAGTATGAAAGTAGGAGGATTTATCTATTTTATAGTAAATTTACTATGTCTCTCAGTTGACAGGGTGATTCGATTCTCCAAACTAAAGATATTTTCTCCCAAACCCAAACTTTTCTGTACGGAACTAATCAATTGATGTTTCCAAAACAACTCGGTAAAAACAGTGGAATCCAACAAGCTCCACTAAAACATAGTCAGGTTAAGAAGCTATCTCATTATATTTGTGTACTTAAACCCATTTGGCCACATACTCTTGGCCTAACAGCAGGACTCTTATTCATACACATACAGAGGAAACTGTGTCAGTTTGACTAATACACCACAAAATGTATACCTGGTAGTTTTATTCATAGATCTGAAGTTTGCCTGACGCTTTAATGTTCTTTGTGGACAAAATATATCTGAAATTCTTGCAGACATTATTCAGAATACAAACATGCTAAAAGCTTTAACTATTAAAACAAGGTAATAAATCCCTTAAAGTGTTTCAAATAATAAAGTACATGAAGTAATCTGTCTATGGACTCATAAGGGTATAAAAAGGGGCTCCCGTGCTTAGGAATCTAAATTACAGCAGACACCACTTTCTGAGACTCTTTATACATACCATATCCGTATATATTTCTACAGCTTTCAATAAACACGTTACAGCCTCTGAAAACAGTGCATCATTATAGAAATCAATTAATTTTTTAATTACAGTTATCAATTCAGTAGAGAAATTTTATATGTAACAAACATTTCTTTTTAAAATACTGAGCTGAACTTAATCATCACTAACGAAACATATTGGCCAAACAAACAAAAATAAGTGTTTCTAGGTCGGTCGGTGGGTGAGCCAGTAGGTAGGTAGGACTTCTTTGAAACTTGCCGAAACAGATTTGGGCAGGCATAAAACTTTGGTTAGATAGGGTTACCAGAAACACATATTTTTTGTTTGGCCTTTAGCTTATAAAAGTTTGATATCAACAAATATGATAACTAAAGTTACAGGCTGTAGCTGTTTTTAGGTATCAGTATGTTTATATAGCTGTTTTTAGGTATCAGTATGTTTATATAGCTGTTTTTAGGTATCAGTATGTTTATATAGCTGTTTTAATGACAGATAATATAGAAACCTGTCTACATAAAATTGGCTCCACCTGTAACAACAGTGCACACTAAGTGATACTGTTTATAAATACAAAAATGTGTGTATGATTAGAGCATCAAAGTTTACGTTTAAAGAGTGACGAAATAACGATAGTATGGTAAACACATAGGGTTATAAATATAGGTAATTGATATAGGTTTACACCAAGATACTTTATATAGATACCAAAAAAAACTACTTATGCTCTGTATATATTAACAGACATTTTACCAATTTTAATCTTTTAGTTGTTCTTGATAAGAGTAGAATCTCTGGAGTTAAAACTTTTTACCACTTTTAACCATTTCAGTTTCTTTGAATGTGTATAAAGTCTTTTGAGCTTTAGGCCCGGATTGACATTCTTGTGTTGTTGAGGGGCTGTTAAGTCTGTACAAAGTAGTTACCGTTAGGGTCAGCCTTCCGATAACAGTTTCCAGCATCTACGTAGTCTGTAGCAGCCTGATGATTACTTCCAACCTTCAGCTGTAACAATGCTGCTTTACAAAAGGAACTTCCTGCCTCTGAAAATGTTGAAATTAAAAATGGTCGAGTTCATTAACAGGGTTAAACTAAACACCTAATTACCAAGTTCTGACAGACAACTTAACAGAATAACAAAGTAAAATAAAGTAACTTTCTAATGGTAAAAGCATGGTTTATACTATTACCATATATAGTAAACACAACACCAATGTATTAATATCTACTATATTCAACAAATTGTTTTCTACATGTACACACCTCCAGATTTCATTGTAAATGGGCATATAAACACATGCGTTTAAAACCCAACACTTTTAACTGTCATTTCACATTTTTATTTTTTTTATTTTGTGCCTAAGTGATGGGTAGTTCTAGATTCTAAAGAAACCATGAACAAAAGTTGGTCAAGAATTTGTTTACAGCTCTCCTGCTTGTTTGCATGTTCACCTAGAAATGTCTCTTAAACATTTCTCATGTTGTAAAGTTAACATAAATAGATTAAATACCAAATGAAAGTGAAACTGAATTGAATGCTCGTATATGGTTTATACCGACCAGCCCATTTCTTCCCCATCTTGAACATGTTGGCAGCTCGTACATACAATTCTGCAGCATCCTCAAGCTTAGTCTGTGACCTGCCATCAACAAAATAACAACATTTTTTATTCATGGCTTTATATAAAAAACCCACATCATTTATCAGTATTTCAAACATATTTACTTAAATAATGAATTTGAAATATTTCATCCACTCTATCTAGCCTTGTTTGCTTTATGTTTATAATTATATTTGATCAGGGCAGGTTGTTTAACTCTACGACTATGACAAGCTAAGCTAGTCAATCTATAGGATACACTAAATAATTAATTTTTGAGTTTAGTTAATTATGAAAATGCATCTGTATTGCAGATTCAGCTAGGACTGGATTGTTTTCCAGTGATTGACCAGGTCGCTCAGTTTGTAGTGTCTGTATCAAGTTAATTTTTAAGATTGAATCTCGGTCAGGTCTGTTGCATTTGTAACATGAGAAAGAGAAATGCAATGACCAGGTCAGGGTTCAAACTCTGAACACTCCGAAATCTAAACAGACACTCTACCAATTGAGCTTTCTGGTTACACAGACAATGGCTCTTCTCCATGTCTTCATTCTGATCATTGTTAAATGACAAACATTTCAGTACTTGTACAAGAGGTTTTGATAATTCTCATAAGTTGTTTAATGTTAAAAAGATTATCAGCACTTAAACTAACATTTCCACCTGATTCCTTTTTCAAATAATGAGTTTCAGTGATTTTATATTTTAAGATTCTCCAGATTTTTTTTACTTCACAAAAAAGTACTGAAGCATCCTATTTTAGGTACCAAAATGTATATCCCTCAACCAACAGCAAATTCCATATGCAAGTATATTCAGAAGGCCTCAGGCTGAGGCTTTTCGGTCAATCACTATGTGTGCTGTGTCCCATATCAGTATAGCATATGTGTAATTCAGACATTTGTAACGAACCCTGTGGTTCAGTATAGAGACGACTAACAATATGTCATACTCGTGAATTTATCATGTCACTGTATAATAACAGTGCATACGCATTGCATGATAGCGAAGTTCGTCATGCAAGCCCCTTACGATATATACTCTGTATAAGGCATAACATCGGATTTTATAATAATAAAAATATTACGAAAATATTGATGGAGAGTCACAAGACGAACATAACAGGAAACGTCGCATCTACCCGAAAAGTGAAGCAAAAAATCCGACAGATGCTTTTTCTTTTTTCTCAGCGTCCATCAGCAAATGTTGAGCTTTCTCCTCGCTAAACGCCATGGTTTTCTTTAGTATATTGCCGAGGTTATTGCGAAGGATGTGTACGAGTGGACATTTGACACAACACACCACCTTATTTACTTCACATGAGTGTCTGGGTCACTTGTACACTTTGATTGGAGGAATTACTTTTAATTTATTATTTAAGCGTTCCAATAACCAAGATGGGTACCGTCACTTCCGGTTGTGTGGCATGACAAAAAGTTATTTTTGGCAACATACTCAAAATCAGAGTCAGAGTTTATCAAATGTAAAACGATATGTTTATATCCAGAGATTACATTTGTTACAAAACACAAGTATTCAAAAAATGTCTTAATATGCACTTATGATGTCGTTTGAAAGTTCTGCGATAGCTTAATTTTTGTTATTTCTGATTGTTAGTCTACAATAGGTCAGATGATGTTAAATATGCGTTCATATCGACATCATAGGGATAGCATATATATACGTGTCACCCTTGGATGCTGTAATGGTCATATTTGACTAAAAAGATCCCCATACATTCTTACTATTTACTGAGAGTTATGTCCCTATTGTGTTTGTCTCAGTAGGATTATTGTATGTAGTGAAGGAACTGAAAAGCTTGAAAATATAAAATACCGTTATACATTGAGGTCACAAAATTCCCGAAATGAAATCTCATAGGGCCTAGAACCTAGATGAACATAGAGCCACGGAATTAGATTAGATTATCTAAGTCCGTGATAGAGCCAATTAATTCAAAGTGAGTATTTTATCGGCATGGAGATATTTTTTTGCTGTTCAATAAAATGGTACCTGTATATTTCAGGAAAATATGAAATGTCCATCACATAGTGTAGAAGAAAATATTAGTGCTACATATTATGGCTAAATAACTGTCGACTGGATGATAACCTGAGTTTTAATTGTCCAATAGGTCTTTTGTGGCAAACACTTTATTTATAGCAAACTCTTGAAACCCATCATGGACAAATTCTTTGTATATGAAATTTGAAAATAAGATTTGATGGGTAAATCGCTATAAATTATAATCTTGCTAAACATATATATATCTTTTTAAAGGCCTTTGATCACTAGCCCTCCACCACAGTCCACTTGATTGCAGGCTAGGGTCGAGGCCTAATTGGGGCAGTCGCAAGGTACTGGTTGCAATACAGTGGTTCTTCCACAGGTACTCTGGTTTTCCTCCACCACCAAAACCTGGCTCATTAAATGGCCATAGCTGTAAGACATAAAGCACAAACAAACCAACTCTGGAATAAAACATACAACTACAAAATGTATAAATATTTAATGTATTTCTATGAGAAAACGCAGAATGTTCATCCAGGAAAATATATATAGCATAAAAATACTGTTAATATACTACAGAAAAATATACTCCCAAGAAAATGAATAAATTATTGCAAGGAAACAAAATATTACATCAAATACATATTTACAATATATTCCTTTTTTATTAAATTTGTATCAAAGATTTGATGATTTCCCCTTTCATCTTTCCTTGGAATGAATTTTTTTTAACAGGTATAATTGAATCAGACAATTGTTTTCTATCAAAGCAAATAATGATTTTGGACATTTTTCTGTAACACTAGACTATCCTTCTCTCAGCTCTGTTGTGGCATTGACAGGCAACATTATATTAAGCACATAATTTTCATAGAAAAATGGATTTTTTTGTTTAAAATTCAAATAGGATCTGAATGGTATTTCTGCAATTTAAATATTGATAATATTGGCATTTGAATATTAAGATGAAAAAGAGGCCAGATTTTACTATATTATTTTGTCCAGTTTTGTCAATGAGATTGTTTAAAGATATCTTATCACCACCATTGAGGTTAACAGGTTATGGTGGCAGTTGGAAAGCTTATCACCCAAGCTGGTAGCACTTGCAGGTTTCCCAACGGCAACATTACTGCCACCATGAAAGTCCGCATAGGGGTCGTGGAGGAGGGAGTGTGTGCTAATTTCATAATCCAATTATCATGGGAATAGCTGTGTTAGTTTTTGTTTTGACAGTGTGGTACAGAGGAATAGAACTTGGAGAATGTCATAAGTATGACGATTACACCACCAGTGTGTTGTGTTCTACACAGTGTGGAGCCCTGTGTATGGAAAATGAGGTAAGTGCTATTTATATTTTCCATATGACAATGAAAAAAAATAAAAAATATGTATTGTATATTTTCTTTTAAAAATATTACTTGAATTTAGTATCGTGTATAACAATTTTTTGCTTAAATGTAATTTTATTGACATATGCCACAAAAGAGCAATTAAAAAACATAGTTGATTTATTTATTTATGCAAGACATGTTTTTTGTTGGATGCTTTAAAAACTTGTCTGTATTTGCCACGTATGTGTGAAAACGGAAACAGATATTTTTAATCATATTTCGCGCGGTTGACTACAAGGAATGAGCGCGAAATGGTTTTCTCTAATGGTTTGCCCAGTAGGTGGCACACCTGTATTGGCATGACAGGCAAGCGCAGCTGGTGAGCTTGCAAGTCAGTTCAGGGCAACGCACTGGTCAGGACGGACGGTTTAATTTTTCATTTAATTTTCTGATACATACTATGTACATTGATTCTGATAGTAATTGACCAGGACGATGGAAGTTTTTGTGTAAATGTTATGAATTTGATAATTAAATGGCATCACTGGTGCAGGCCGGTGCGTTGTGAACAGCCTATGGGTGTTTGTTGTTGCCACCTGGGGGGTGGGTCATTGGAGAAGTTACTTTCTTCTGTTTCACATCAGTTTTACATTTACAAAAAATATATGTACATATGGCTTTGAAATTGTAGTTTCTTCTTTTTTTGACGGTTTTATGATATGACACTTATTTGTGTTCGGTTGGATTGGTATACATTTTTACTTAGCAGTTATGCAATTCTTTCTTATGGCAAAATACGGAATATGTAAAAAGAAATCCTTTTACATGAAGTTGATGGTCCTTTGATTGTTCAGTGTCCTTGTTAGGTCATTGTTGGGATTGGCATTGTTACACGACAACCTTCATTGACTTAATAGGCTAGCTTGTCCTATCCTGTGTTTACGTTGGTCCTGTAACAGATAAGACTGGTTTAGATCGATCCACCACCTGTTTGTTCCCATCCCAGTATTTAGATATTTATTTCTATCCAGAATCGGGATGTCATACCAGAGACGGTGATATCACCTCCCCCACACCTACTCTGTCAGCTATCAACATTTATAGAAACTAATAAATGGTTTAGTTAAGGTAGCAGTCTAGCAGAGAGCGGTTTCATACTACACCTAAAATCATGGATGATTTTTGAATACTTAGTTTTTGGGATGTTCTTGATTAGATAGTTGTTAAATTGATATCACATTGTGCATTATTTCATATCTTAACAGAGAGATCTAATTGTAATTTAAATGTTTACTGTAATTATTGTCTTATGTGAGAAAACTAACCTCCAGAAAATACGAGGAAAGGTAGCACATATTTGAACATTTTGTTAACAGATATAGAAAACCCAATAAAGTATACATTTGACTACATCACATGGCCATATGAGGAACGGAAATAGGCATTGGGGGATTTCCCTGCGAAATTCAGAAAGTACATGTACTAAATATATCAAGTTTAAATATAACATGTGGTATCATGGAGCGGAGAATTACATATATATTATATATATTGGGACAATGGAGTGTTAGATAGTAAAGACCTTGTCTGTTCATTTAACAATATTTTGCTCCCACATGATAACTTGCTTAAATGAAAGTTAATGCTTTGTTGTCACATTGGATACTTTATGGGACTCATATGTAGCGGATATACTTTATATTTTAAGACTCACTTTTAAATATATGTATTCAAGATGGTCACTGTAGTAAAAAAAAAAAGGGGCCAACTTTGTTGATGTGTAATTTCAGGATTCAAGGAGGCTGCTGTGGCCTCTGATTGGCTAATTTGGGGGGTTATTAGTATGCATGTGGTTAACAGTTTTAGTGGTTTTATAATTTATGTGAGTTCCACCCCTTTTACAAAAGTTAGCCAATATTTGTCTGGGGCATATCTTCTATATTATTTCACCTTGGGTAGCTAGATTAGTAATGCAAGTACATCTTGGGATTGCAAAATGTCAAGTACAAAAAGTAGGTCACTGTGGCCTATATGGTTTGACCTTTGAACTCATCTTTGAAAATGTTACTCTTGGGCATATCTACTTTATGCTATTTCACCTGATTTAACCAGATTTGGTATGCAAGTACATCTTAGATTGCGGAGTGTTAAGTACAGAATATAGGTCAGTGTGACCTAAAGTTTGACCTGTGATTTTAACCTTTGAGAAAGTTTGTCTAAAGCATATTTTTGATACTATTTCACCAGGAGTAATCAGATTTGTTATTCGAGTACATCTTTGGATGGCACTGTGTCAAGTACAAACATTAGGTTATTGTGGCCTAGCTTTGCTTTGATCTTTGACTTTTCCTTTGAAAAAGTTTGTTTGGGGTGTATCTTCTATACTATTTCACTTGATTGACTAGTTTTGGAATACAAATACATCTTAGGATGGCAAAGAGTCGCGTTAAAAAATGTCAGTTACTGTGACCTATAGTTTGACCTTTCACCTTTTCCTCAACCTTTAAAAAATTTGTCTGGCTTCTATACCTTTTCTCACCTGGAGTAACTAGATTTGATTTGCAAGTACATCTTAAGTGAAAAGTACAAAAAGTAGGTCACTGTGACCTATATCCCGAGATCTGGGTTAGACTTTAAATATTTTTTTCTTAGTTGTCCACAGGACTAGTTGAATAGATTATTTGTTAGTCCTATGTTAATGTAACTAGTCCTAAATTTCCTTAAGAAATCATCTCAAACATGAAACATAAAAAGTAATTGACTGTTAGTAAGGGTACTAGAATAACTAACTACTGCCATAAAAAATGGAAATTATTGATAATTATTATGCAATTTATATGTATTTTAAGCAGTTTTTTAAAAGGAATATTCATATGGTATAATCTATCTATCAGATGTTATTGGGATATCCATTTTTTACCAAAGGACCAGTTATTTTAGCTGATTCACTTGTTCATGCTTAAATCTACTAGTGTTAGTGTCAAACCCTGGGGTGGACTATGGATTGCCTTGCAATACTTTGCATTGTTCATTTAAAAATGTTATAAAAGAACTATTCTTGCTGTACTTGGAGAAGGCCAGGGGTATACATCTGCCATTATGGTGACATATTCAGTTACATGTAGAATTACCTTCTGGTATGTATTTGTATAATTAAAACAACTATTTTATTTTCAGTCCTACTGCGATACAACTTGTCATAACCCGTTTGGGTTATGGATGACAAATTGTGATGTAAGTATTATCTAGGTAATAATTTTATATACTTTCCTTTAAAGTGCAAAGTCTGGTCTTTAAAAGTATTGCATATACCCTCAGTGGTGTAGATAACAACTAAAGAAGCACAGCATTTCAGATATCCTTGTAGATCAATATCATCCTCCATGTATGCTAACTTTTGGAGACTATTGAGTATCCATGATATCTTTAGAGAATGACATAATTTTCATTAGATTATATGTAAACTAGTTTATATGCATGTCATTTGTATTATCAAGGGTTTCAACTACTGATAGAATTAATGAGATAAAATGTAGTAGATGCATTGATGGTATCTGAAGACTAAAGTGGAACATGCAGAAAATAATGTTCCTGATCAAGAAAAGCCCTTGTTATACATTGTCACATTTTGATTCATAGCAATCTTCCATATATTCACTGGCATGTTGATGAGAAGCTGATTTTCTTTCATTCCTTTTTTTCTTGTCCACAGGATCCTGGTTGTGCGGGGACATGTGCTGATCATGATCTAAGCAAATTCTTTAGTGAGTTACCCGGTATTATTTTCTTTTTTTAATTTCTCCACTACATGTCCACACATTGCTAAATATGGAATTCAAATGAAAATACTTTTTGTATGTTTTCCACTCCTGTGTTGAATGGTGGGTCAGACTAGAGTGCGGGTTGTCCAGGTAATTATCAGTTCATATTTCCTTTTATTATTGTTTTTATCTAATACCTTGCCATCTGACATCACAATTACCTAGGGTAACAGCTATTTTCACAAGAGAACTGAAGTGTTACATTGAATATATACTGCATGATTAATTAGTGGAGTGTGTCCAGGTGGTCAGGGTGGGCGGGAGCTTGTGTGTCAACATTTACTGTACCACTGTGCATTTACAAACTTCAATTTTAGATGTTTTATAAAGAATCTTGGTTACAAGTTCACTGTAGATACTGAATGCTGTCAGTCAATTTTATGGGAGTTATTGCCCATTGGTCACTGGTTTTAAGCCAAATTTACAGATATTCAGAATAAAAATATCTTGGATGAGTTTGACACTCAATACATTTTGACAGGAAATTGTTTCATCTCTAGGTAGCACATTTTCAATCAGATTGCAACTGAAATTGGAAAGATGTTTGAAACACAAGTATTTGTATTTTTATGGTATTTCAAAACTTGTTACCATTCAAAAGAATGTGTTTACTAATGCACTTCCCTAATTTGTTTGTAAAAAGTTATAAGATGCTCTTGCTCAAACTTAGACTTAAGCTTTGATGTGCACCTCAAAATAATTTATTCATATTGATTTATATAACATTTCTATGAGTTCATTTAAAAATCACATCATTTACCAAAAATACCTAACACATATAACATACCCTGTTGGTTGTATTTTGGTATTGTTGTTATGTCTTTTGTATGTTAATGAGATTGCTGTCTGTGTGAGTAATGTTTTCTTCCTTTTCTAGATCTGATCCTTTTACCGGAAATCCCAGTTCTCAACCAGTGGAAAGTTCATGATAACCAAGTCAAGTTGTCATGGCAACCAAGCAAGTCGCAAAGTCAGGTTTTATATGCAGTTCAGTACAAGAAAATTTACAGCCAGAATTGGACAAATGCAATTTATGAGGTACGCTGGCACATTTTGGGATGTATTAAGTGATACATTTTGGAATGTTTTTAGTGATACATTTTGGAATGTATTTAGTGATACATTTTGGGATGTATTTAGTGGCACATTTTAGGATGTATTTAGTTGCACATTTTGGGATGTATTTAGTGACACCTTTTGGGATGTATTTAGTGGTACATTTTGGGATGTATTTAGTGGCACATTTTGGGATGTATTTAGTGGCACATTTTGGGATGTATTTAGTGTAGGATAAATGAACCATTGGTGTGTCGTAATAGAACAAAATGAAGCAGATTAAGCTGGAGTCAAAACCAGTAACCTGGTAGTTCAGTGGTTAGAGGATCAAAAACTTTGTTGAAGGTGTGAGGAATGTAGCAGAACTGGACTGGTCGGATTATTTTAGACCAAGTAGCTTAATTGGTTTGAGCGACCATTTAGAGTTTTGAGACCCTATCCTAGACTGGTCATTGTCTTTTTTCTATTCTTTTACAATAACAACATAGAATGATATGTTTTTTTGTGAGTAGATTTGAGACATGAACACCCTCATATGATATTTCGTCTTTTCATATTGCAGAGTTATCTGCTCTAGTGAGCAGGTATTGATTGTTACGTCATTAGTTTGTGTGAGAAAATTACGTCATTTTCTCAAAAAGTTATGACGTTACTCTCACAAACAAATGATATAACAATCAATACCTGCTCACAAGAGCAGATAACTCTGCAATATAAAAAGACAGAATAGTACAAGAAGTATCCAGACACCCTCCTATAAAATACAATATGATATTTCAGTGTGTTCTTTAGATCTAGATGCTGTGCTGCATGATATAAGATGATATATATGAATGTATACTTCAGATTCAGACTCTCTCCTGTTCTATTGACATTGATGACGTGTGTGTGGACCATCACTTTCGTGTGATAGCAATCAACAGGCATGGATCGCGTGGGTTTTCAAACTACACATACATATCTGCTTCAGGTGAGAATTTCCTTTCCTAATGAATGTACTGTCTAAAATCGTACAAGGTTGTATCCCAATTCTTAGAAATGGCATATTGTCGGTGTTATGTGCCTGCTCTTTGTGTGGTTGTGCCTCCCTTCTGTTTGTTTGGAGCCTGTAACGGCTACCAGCCCCAGAGATTTTGTAAAGAATTTCCAAAGTGAATATTATCTAATGAGTAAAATATTACAGATGTAGTTTCTTCTTGTTACTGTAACAGGAGAAAGATCGACCCAGTGCAGTTCATTTTTCCTTCACTTGATGCCATTATTAGGTGAAGCACGATACAACAAATATTTTTAGAAATGCCACTTACCTTCCATCAGTGTGTTAAAAGTAGTGGTAGGCCAACAGAACCAGGCTAGAATTAAGTCTTACTTCTGACACTGCTTGCATTTAGAAAATATTGCAACTGATTAAAGCATCAAAAACAATGTATCTTCTTTTTTCCGCTATCTTTTCTTTTAAAAATGCTGGATTTTCTGAAGTCCCTTTGGAAAACTATAAAACACCTCCTCTGGAAAACGATAAAACATCTGTAAGAAAACTTTAGAAAAGAAATTGTGTTCCCATCCTGTTTGCAACATGTAATTTTATAACTTCTGTTACCAGCATAAATTATCATTATGTGCTGTGAAGATGTAGATACATTTGACTATATTGTACACATGCATAGATATGTTTGCAGGTGCACTGTACGTATGTATTCTCACACTTTCACACATACATACTTTATGTCATTTGTAATCATCAAAATTGTTTTTCTTTGAAAACAAAACCCCAACCTCTGCTGTATAATGGTATATAAGGTGTGTGAACTACAAGTGCAGTAAGTATTATGTTGATACCACAATAAATTTGTATGAAACATACCACTGACTTCGCTCTTCCACAGCATTTAATCTTGCTGCTGTTTCCAACGTGACCTTTGTTGGCCGAGGAATATACTACTACCCAGGCACACATGAATTTATGGCAGTCATACAATGGGATCGCCTACCTGGTAAGAGGTTAAGGTCTTATACAGCAGCTTGAAGTCTTACTGAAGGATGACCTTCCTTGTAGGAGGTCAAGGTCTTGTTCAACTTGAAGTCATACTGAAGGATGACTTTCCTTGTAGGAGGTCAAGGTCTTATTCAACTTGAAGTCATACTGAAGGATGACCTTCCTTGTAGGAGGTCAAGGTCTTGTTCAACTTGAAGTCATACTGTAGGATGACTTTCCTTGTAAGTGGTTAAGGTCTTGTAGTCATACTATAAGATGACCTTCATTGCATAAGGTCAATGTCTCTTATCATTTGAAGTCGTACTGTAGGGTGACCTTCATTGTTAGAGGTCAAGGTCATGTATGATTTGTAGTCATACCGTAGGGTTACCTTATTATATATTTAACATCCTACCATGTACGCTAGGTAGCAATATTATTTACTGATCAACAGCCATGTAATGAACAACAGATCATACATGTACCCCAATAATGCAAGCAAGGGAAACACAAGTACAGTTTCAAAATCTACTCTCCTATCTACATCACAACACCTTACATAGGGAATTGTGCATTTTGTTATATATGACATGGTAGAATAGCTATACTTAATATATGTTTATGTGTTCTGCAGTAATATAGGCACATCTGCTGATCACTTCTGAAATATCATCTATGTACCTTATCTGACTGTAATTTCTGTTAAGATGCATAATGTAGGATGGACTAACAGAGTAATTTAATGTAACTAAATATTTGTTTGAGGGTGGGGGAGGATGGGACATGCTGAGTACCATGCTATAACTGAATATGTGGGTTTTTCCTCGGGGAGGGATGGGTTGGGGGAGGTACACCTCAGTAACATGCTGTAACTAAGTATGTGTTTTGGGTGTAAGATGGGACACTTAGAGTTACATGCTTTGTATATGTGTTTGGGAAGGATTGGACACTCAGAATATAGCATGCTGTAACTGACTGTCTGTTTGACTATAGGATGGGACACACCAAGTGACATGGTGGACTACCAATGGAATGAGACACCTTCAATGTTCTGCAGTAAGAAACTCACCAACATCATGCCCATCTTTGAGAGAGGTTCAAATACAGTAAGTACAACATACACCTAACAAGGATGGACTTACACACAGATGGAAATACTTTTCTGATCAGATAGTGAACAGTGAAATGTTATTAACAAAAAAAATATTCAATGATGCATTTGACTTTGCAACTTCACTGGAACAAAGTATTTGTGGGTGAATCTTCTAAAGAATCAAATGGCCTAGGTTCATGATAATTGGCATTAAGCTTGCTAGGTTTAATGAATATCAAGTTCTTTTAAGAGAAATAACCTTGATCCACCTTCAAGGTCACCTAGTTGAAAAGCATTACAAAAATCAAACAACTCCTTTTCAAGAACTGCAGTTTTTTGAAGTACTGAAAACAAAACGTTTTTCCAGCAAAGTTGTAAAGTCAAAATACATAATTAAATCCTTTTCTAGATCAAACGACATTTCACCGTTCTCTATCTGATATCCTGTAGCTATGTGATGTGAAAGGCTATCAAGCTTTTCAATCAAATACTTTGACCCCACATTCCAGGACATGAGCCAGTGATGATAAAACCTTTAAAGTACTACTCATATTGAACCATGTGGCATAAAGGAATGATATTTAGCCTGTAGCTTGCTAAAGTTAAGAGCTTATTAGGTTCATTTGAATAAGTTATGGATATAAGCCGAAAACAGTCTGATAAGTGAGAAAAAGGACAACTCATTATTACCAAAATTTCATGTTTTTACTTCAACAGATGGGAACAGGGGATATTGATGACTATGCCTTCTTGATTGACGTAGTGGTAGATTTTGTCCTGCTACTTTGTATATTACAGTTTAATGCTATCTTATTTTACAGTCCTCTGCCGCTTATCGTAGAGTTTTGATGCACATCCACGCTGATGCCTTTGGCTGTCTTTACCAAGGGCAGGTTTGTCTTTTTGTGATTTATCACCCATATGCACTGGTTCTGCCAAATGCATAAGTTTAGAGTTATATATTGTTCTGGCTCTAGTAAAATAATAGCAGACTCAGTGTGTAGTAAATTGTATATACAATTACATGTTTATTGCTACATGGCTATACTTGGTGCCTTATGATACATTGTCAGAGTATAGGGTCCCTGTGCAATATCCATGATCAGGGCCTAGGTTGACAGTGCCTTACAGTGACAGCGTACAGGGTATATTCATGTGTCATATCCATGATCAGGGCCTAGGTTGAGAGTGCCTTACAGTGACAGCGTACAGGGACTATATTATATTCATGTGTCATATCCATGATCAGGGCCTAGGTTGACAGTGCCTTACAGTGACAGCGTACAGGGACTGTATATACCTACTGTATAGGTCCTAGTACATGTACTGCCGTAATGGGCATTACATGTTTACTAATGATTTGATACTGAAAAATGCTTTCAACATGTTTTAATAAACTAATTATTTGAATGAATGGAAAAAGTTAATTTATGTTTACCAAGGTACATAAACTGAATACAGTACCGTGTTTGTGTATTAAATCTTCAATGTGTATTTAGTTTATTTATTTAGATATGTTCAGGGTTTTATGAGTAAACTTTGGCTGTGATTCATTATGCGATAATAATGATGAACGGATTATTTTTTCTCTAGGTTCGTGCTGTAACCAAATGTGGATTACAAGGACCATGGACAAATTTTACATTGGATCTCAGAGGTACTAGTATTCCAACACCTGTCAACAGACTAAACACTTGGTGTAAACAACTATCGTTTTAGAAGATAATTGCTAATTTTTTTAAAGCATTAGCTTAGGGTTGAACTCTTATTTTGAGTGGAATACTTTGTTATTTTTTTCGAAAGCATTATAACAGTAAAACTGATCAACAAAATTAACCATATGTTCAAGTGTGTACTGTCTTTAGCTTTGTTTTACAATATTTTTTTCAGATTGTCATAATATATTCAACTTTCCGTGTGTAGCTGCAACATGTAAGTTTTCATTGATGACTTGTCACACATTTACTAATACATTGTCAGACTCATTAAACGTACATTGTTTGCGTGACAATGGGACCAGTTGGTGTTGAAATGTTGAAAATAAAGGCTACATGTTTAACACATACATTGTTTGCGTATAAAATAAAGGCTACATGTTTAACACATACTTTGTTTGTGTATAAAATAAATGCTACATGTTTAACACATGCATTGTTTGTGTATAAAATAAAGGCTACATGTTTAACACATACATTGTTTGTGGATAAAATAAAGGCTACATGTTTAACACATACTTTGTTTGTGTATAAAATAAAGGCTACATGTTTTACACATGCATTGTTTGTGTATAAAATAAAGGCTACATGTTTAGCACATACATTGTTTGTGTATAAAATAAAGGCTACATGTTTAACACATACTTTGTTTGTGTATAAAATAAAGGCTACATGTTTAACACATGCATTGTTTGTGTATAAAATAAAGGCTACATGTTTAACACATACAGTGTTGGTGTATAAAATAAAACTTTGATATCACATATTTCCAAACTGATGAACATCACCTTTGTCTGAAAATTTCATGCTTTTAGCAAAATGTCTGGAATAGCCAAAAAAAAAATTATGACCGGCAAGCATCTTGTAAACGACCAGTGATAGATATAGACATCGTTAATAGACAGAAAACGATTCTATTTTTGGATATTTTATGCAAATTATGAAATTATGTTCCTAGTCTGACACTCTACCACTGAGCTAAAGGGGAATTCTCTCTAGCTCGAAGCTAGAAGGCGACCTTAATCCTATGTGCAATTAAAACCTGCCACACAGGCCCCAATCCAAACAGTACTTTTATTTTAACGTTGTATTATATAAAACCGCTTGTAAAATTTCTAAAAATCTATAGAATTGCCTACATATTGAACTGATTAGGACCCGTTTCCTTGGTTTTGATCTTATTATGTTTCAGAACTAAATGAAAGAAAAATAAAATTCTTTTATTAGAAAGATACATTAAATTTAAATAAATATATCAAACTGTAAACTAAAACAAAATGTGCAATGCTTATTGATCCCATAACTTGGGGAGAAAAATCAGTCATATTAAAGGGTCATCACAGTGAAGTGTATATTTATTTTGTCTTTTTTTTTCAAATACTACATAAGCATATCAAGTAAGTCTCCGTATGGAAAATAATGATCGGATTTGGCTGATATATATTCTTAAAAATGAATAATTTTAAGATAATAATCATTGCGATTTCTACCTGTCTGACCAACGTTTTGTTCAGGGATATCCCTCTTCTAGCGCATGCGCATAGCACACCATTTCTTTGTAAACAAAATGACTGTCCGTGTGAAGTAAGCGAAAGAAAATCGTTGTACAGCGTCAGCTACAAAGCGGAAAATTGCCAAATGGTCAAAAGATAGCGCAAAGAGTATGTTACGGAATCATTATTTTGTTATGTTAATGGGCATGTATCGGTGAGAGTTTACTTTGTATTTCTATATACAGTAGTTTATGTGAAAGTAAGGGATAAGTTACTGGTTAGTTTGTTTTTTTGATATGAGGCCCTCCAACTGTTGTGTTGGCCACGGCGTATTCTGTTCTCTCCTCTGTCGGTACTCGGGGTCAAATGAAATACGTGCGCTATTAGATTACATAATTTATAATATTCAGTAAAATGGTATGATTTAATTATATTGCTGAACTAAACGTTGTTTTTTTTGTATCTACATGCAAGATTTAAATTAATACTAATATTAATACCCAGCCTCCTCTGCCTTGAAGAGCTATATTTTTTTTAAGGAATGTATGTGTTGTATGCACTACCACTTATGTTACCTCGCTATCCCCTTATTCATAGTCCATTCTAATCGTCCAGTTTGACCACTTGAATTGTTTGGGAAAGCCCTGTTAAAAATAGCGCTAATAACGTCACCTAACGGTTTTGAAACGAGGCAGGAAACATATTTCCAGAAGTTTTTTTCAAAGTAAATTTGTTACGAGATGAAATAACATCTTGTGTGAGACTACTCCAGATATCAATTATTCCTTTAGTAAAGTAATGGTTTTTAGTTTTGCACCTCACTAAATTTGGATCGCTTTGACGCTTGAATCGCAAGGAAAGTGAATCATTTTGATGATGCAGCTGTAAACCAAGAGAGAGGTCTATTCAAACGAATTGATTCATTTAAAAGCAGACCAAAACAATACGGAATTGGGATTTTTTTTTGAGGAGCGGTAAAAAAAGTTTTTTTTTTTCGAGACTTCAGTTTTTAAGAGTGGTAATTCCCGAAGAACTATTTTTCAAATTGGTGGGGCCTTAATCATGAAATTTTAAGTCACCTGAGCTGAAGAGTTTGTCTCGGCTATTGCCATCCATCTTCATTAATTGTCATGTACTGTCTGTAAAAATGTCACATTTTTAACTTAGAGTCACTATATTTCACCTATAGGTTACTTGGGGTGGATCGCTACCAAGTTTGTTCAAATTAATGATCTTGAACCACTTCAAGATCACAAAGTATGAAATAAGGTAATAATTCAATTGACTTCTTCTAAAGATCCCTTATGCCTAGAGTAACAATGTTTGGGCTGTACGTAACTTGCTAGTGTTTGTAAGATTAACCAAATTATTTTGACCCGAGTGTCTTAATAACCATAATGCAAAGAGTAATGCTATTCATCCTATAGTTCTTTTGGATAAAGGACTATCAAACTTGTTCGAATAAAGGAACTAGACCAATGTGTCATCCAGTTTATCTAGTCATTTATGCCTTGTTTACTATTAAAGATATGGAAATAAGCAAAACATCTTAACAGTATTTAATCTGAAATTACACATAAATTAGGGCATATGATATTGTTGTGGAACTGGACTGGGTTTGGATTAATCAACTGAGGCGACCAATCGTAAATTGTTTCATGGACTGGATGAATGCTTGGCGAGGGGATACCCGAACCTTGGCTGTAAATAGTGATTTACAGTAAAGATAAAGATTTAGATTAGGGAGGGAGGAATTTAGTGGAACTGGACTGGGTTGATCTTCGCTGACTAGGTTCTCAGTTGGTAGAGTATTTGTCTAGAGTTCAGAGGTTCCGGGTTCAAATCCTGGTCTCGCCATGCTTTTTCCGCTCCTAGTACAATATCATTAAAAACATGTAATATTATCCGATTATGATAACCCGGTAATATGGGGTTTTATCTGCAACACATCTTTCTAGAAACAAAAACGAAATCTAGATACACTGTTTTATACATTGGCATTGTGTTTGACAGTTTCTTCCCCTGGTAACGTGGAGAATGTGTCGTTGTGTGTGGAGTATGGGGGGGTGAACTCCTCCATGCTGATTCGCCTCCAGTGGGATGCTCCTACATATCTTGGCAGTATGGGAGTAATAGAAAGCTACATTATCAGGTGGGGCCCAGTTGTACTTCAGAACTTTCCCGAGCCTCCAATCTTCACCGACCAGGTCCCTAGGAGTGTCAGCGTTAAAGCTGTAAGTCTTCACTTGTACCATTGTTATATCTGGTTATATAAATATGTATGATGAAAGGTGCAATACCATTAAGCACCAGTGAGTAATGATGTTTCATCTGTCTGAGTGGTCCTCATACCATGTACGGTCAAACCTGTCTTACTAACCACCTGGCTATAATGAATATAGGAATACCCTGTCTACTCAGACCATTTATAAGAGGTTTCACAGCACTTTAATTATACAGACAACAGATTGCTTTTATAGATGAAACTGTGTTTATTATTGACAAGGATTTTCAGAGAACACGGTAAGTGTACCAGTTCATGAATAGACATAAATGGGTTTTTAAATGTTGGCACCATATTTCATATCCGCAGATAAATATTGTCAGGCGCCTTCTGATTGGCCAGTTTGACAACGAATTAAAAAAATTCTCGATGGGAAATAAGACAGATACCCACAGACTCAGATGGAAGTTAGGAAAATCTGATCATCAGTTGTATCATAAATAATTGCTTAATTTCTGGAAATTTGTCAACACTAGAATATATAATATGCTAAAGTTGCTTTAGTAGGTCTAATGTGCTTATTTTGCTTTTGTTATTTGTTATATTGAATTAATATGCTTCATATTGGGTCTGCATTAAGGATCCATGTACCACTGCCAAAAATTGTTACGATGCACCGGAAGCTTATTTCCTGGCTTGACCTTAGCTTAACTTTGTTTAGAAGAAATCCATACCTTACAGAACTTTTATGAAACACAATAAAGGACAAAAATTAAACAAACAAAAAAGAATGTAAACAGTGTTCTGAGTTAATAATGCAAAGAGCCTGCCAGACCAGGAATCAAACCCTGGACCTCCTATAATTTGATGTTTTTACTGTTTCTCTAATCTATCAATCTGTCAACGCTAATACCCTGACCCAGCCGTACCATAGGTATATCCAAACTAAAATTAAGGGGAGATAACCATACAAAAAACAAGGGTGGAATTATCTAGTGATTTGCCTGCAGTTGGACAGGGATCCTTAATTAAAATTTCACTTGGTATCTCAAAGTTAAAACTATCACCTATAGAAAATGAACATGTTCTGTAAATCCTCTAGGACATTCGTGAGGTGGATGTACCTGTCGGCTATGATGATATGTCTGCACTGTATGGATTCCAGGTAAGACCTGTTATCTTATGTCAATCTCTGGTAAAGCATGTTCATAGACAAATCGAGGGTTCATTGCCAGAAGGTGCTATCTGGATTTTTTCACTTTTCGAGATAATTGAGATTTAAGGTTTTGAATATCTATATTTCAATCATGCTTTACATGAGGGATTTATTATTTGGTAATATTAATGGCCTATATAAGTACTTTTTACTGTACAGTACTTTAGGCCATATCTGTCTTTAAAAGTGCCATATTTGGTCAGAATGCTCGATAGCTCCTTTTGGCCGGCAGAATTTACCTCAATAATAACGAGCAAAAAGGTANGGCATCCATCAAGAATGATTGATTTGTATGATATCAGTGATATTGCATGAACATTGTCAAAATCTGCTGTGCATTCCCATATTTTCTGAAATCAGGAAAATCTAGTAGTACATTGTATTGTCAATAACAACAGAAGTGTAATTAAAAAAATTAAAAAAATTCACAGAATGCATTTTTAGATCACAAAGTTCAAGTGACCTATTCTGATCGCTTTCTGTCCGTCGTCGTCCGTCGTGTGTACACTTTTTACATTTTCGACTTCTTCTCGAGAACCAGTGGATGGAATATTTGGTAGATGAGGCTACAAACTTGTAAAATTGGGATTCCTACCCCAACCACTGGGCCCAGGGCGGGGCCCCAAAGGGAAAATTAACCAATTTTTCAAAAATCTTCTCCAGACTCCGAGGTACTGCAGTCAATTGCATGGATGGAAAGATTATTGAGGGCTATATTTAAATTGTAAATTTCAAGACCCCCGGGCCATCTGTTCTCCCTTGGGGAGGGGGTAACATTTACTATAGTTTATATAGAAAAATTACACTTTTGGGTATATTTTATCCATTTCAGCAGAAAATTATTCCTACCCCATCCCAACGGGCTAGGGCTTAGGCCCCAAATAAGACTTTACCAATATTTTTAATATTCTTATCCTTTGATGACATGACAAGTATTGTATTTCACTTAGTTTACATTTACATGTTGATTTCAACATCACATCTCAACAATGAAATTGAGCCACCAGTACCTTTCATATAACTCAGGTGATCACTTAGGCCCTTGGGCCTCTTGTTTAACTTTAGAATAACTCTTGCTGACATATTTTACCATTGCAATACTTTGTTGTAGGTCGTGCCCATCGCACCCCAGCAGCGTATCAGGGACAATGGATGGGGATTGTTTCAGGTCTATACAGTACAAATCAGCTCCGACAGTAACATCTCACCCTCAGGTATATTACACTACTGCTATAACCAGTATATATATATATCTCCCACCCTCCGGTATATTACTCTACTGCTATTACCAGTATATATATATCTCCCACCCTCAGGTATATTACACTACTGCTATTAACAGTGTATATATATATATATATATATCCCACCCTCAGATACTCCTAGCTACTCTCAGTATATACCTCCCACCCTCAAGTACTGCTGGCTAGTCTCAGTATATACCTCCCACCCTCAGGTACTGTTGGCTACTCAGTTGATACATCTCACCCTCAGGTATCATTCTACTGCTATTACCAGTATATATATATATATATATCCCACCCTCAGATACTCATAGCTACTCTCAGTATATACCTCCCACCCTCAAGTATTGCTGGCTGCTCTCAGTATATACCTCTCACCCTCAGGTACCACTCTGCTGCTGGCTACTCTCAGTATATACCTCTCACCCTCAGGTACCACTCTACTGCTGGTTATTCTCAGTATATATCTCCCACCCATATGAACAGCTGGCTACTCTCAATATATACCTCTCACCCTCAGGTACCACTCTGCTGCTGGCTACTCTCATTATTTACCTCTCACCCTCAGGTACCACTCTACTGCCTTGCTACTCTCAGTATATATCTCCCACCCACATGAACTGCTGGCTACTCTCAGTATATACCTCTAACTCTCATGTACCACTCTGCTGCTGGCTTCTCTCATTATATACCTCTCACCCTCAGGTACCACTCTACTGCCTTGCTACTCTCAGTATATACCTCTCCCCCTCAGGTACCACTCTACTGCCTTGCTAGTCTCAGTATATACCTCTAACCCTCATGTACCTCTCTGCTGCTGGCTTCTCTCATTATATTCCTCTCACCCTCAGGTAACACTCTGCTGCTGGCTACTCTCATTATTTACCTCTCCCCCTCAGGTACCCCTCTACTGTCTTGCTACTCTCAGTATATTCCTCTAACCCTCATGTTCCACTCTGCTGCTGGCTTCTCTCATTATTTACCTCTCACCCGCAGTTACCACTCTACTGCCTTGCTACTCTCAGTATATACCTCTCACCCACAAATACTGCTGGCTACTCTCAGTATATACATTTCACCTTCATGTACCACTTGTTGCTGGCTACTCTCAGTATATATCTCCAATCCCCAGGTATCACTCTGCTGCTGGCTGCTCTCAGTATATACTCCCACCCTCAGGTACCACTCTACTGCCTTGCTACTCTCAGTATATACCTATCACCTTCATGTACCACTTGTTGCTGGCTACTCCCAGAATATATCTCCAATCCCCAGGGATCACTCTGCTGCTGGGTGCTCTCAGTATATACCTCCCACCCTCAGGTACCACTCTACTGCCTTGATACTCTCAGTATATATCTCCCACCCACAAGTACTGCTGGCTACTCTCAGTATATATCTCCAACCATTACATGAAGGTACTGCTGCCTTCTCTCAATATATCTGTCTCCCTCAGGTATCACTCTGCTGATAGCTTCTTTCAGTATTTACCTCTCAGCCTCAGGTACCACTCTGCTGATTGCTTCTCTTAGTATATGCCTATTTTAAAGATGAGCACACAAAATACTCAGTGCCAAATGTCCTTGTATGATAGTTTTCATCCATCATTTACTTTTCTTAGGCTTAGTGTAATATGATTAGGCCAGATCTTTAGATTCTTGTTGTAAAATGCTATCGAGTTTTTTCAAACAAATGGTTTTGACTCTTTCTCAAGCTTACATTGTTTAAATGGACTCTCAGACGGTTTTAACTGTGTGTTGTATTCTGTACAGGGACAGTCCTCTTGGATGAAGCAGGGGTCAGAGTGGTTCAGATCCCCAATGCCCTCAGTGTAGACATGATGTGGCAGCCGCGCACCATGCTGCAGTCGCCATCATCGAGTAGCGCTTGTAGGGAACACTACTCAATACAGCTGGGGCGTATCATACGGGACGAGGAGTCACGCGCACACCTCACTGATACAACCGTCCAGTATGTAGAGGGGGTAAGTACACTCACATCTTACTCAAAGGGACTTTATTGTATACCCATCTATTTGTTAACTATAGTGTACAACTTAGGTCTATTTGTTTTTTTGATAAATATACATTAATATGTATCATAATTAGACAGTGTGAAACATATCAACTTTTAGACGGTGCGTCACAAACTAAGTTTTAGAAGTGTGTGACGTACTATCTTTTAGATGGTGTGTGACGTACTAAATTTTAGATGGTGTGTAGCATACCTTTAAGACTGTCTTTTGAAGGTCTCTTTAGAGGTCACAGATTGAAGATCAATTGACTTTTCTCAATTTTACCGATGATTATATTTAAAATGTTAAGAAACATTTGCATTGACTTTCAGAGTAAGACAAGAAAAAAATGGCGGGAACTTGGACATATGTAGAGCCCATGGTCAGTGTGTCACAACAGTTGTTTGTGGAGGCAAATTTTATCTAAAGTTAAATACACAGTCTTTATTTCCCTGTACACTCTTGGTAATGGGTATTTTGGAAATAAATGTTTTGTTTGACTCTAATTAGCCGTTTTGTTCTGGCTTTCTAGTTTCACTTACAAGCTGCCTGTTGTGACACACTGATGCAGGACTTGGGGAGTGGGGGTAGTGTTATATAATCTTGGTGAAATGTTTATTTGATGAGTAGAAATGTGCTATATTACTGGCAGCTTGTAAAGTGTTACACCATATTTACATTATTATTAAAGGATTTGACACAATTATGTACATTACTGTGTACACAATATCCTAAAAAAGGACCTTGTATTACTGAACACAACATCCTCAACAAAGACCATGTATTACTGAACACACAACATCCTCAACAAAGACCATGTATTACTGAACACAACATCCTCAACAAAGACCTTGTATTACTGAACACACAACTTCCTCAACAAAGACCATGTATTACTGAACACACAACATCCTCAACAAAGGCCATGTATTACTGAACACACAACATCCTCAAAAAAGACCATGTATTACAGAACACAACATCCTCAACAAAGACCATGTTTTACTGAACACACAACATCCTCAACAAAGGCCATGTATTACTGAACACACAACATCCTCAAAAAAGACCATGTATTACTGAACACAACATCCTCAACAAAGCCCATGTATTACTGAACACACAACATCCTCAAAAAAGACAATGTATTACTGAATACAACATCCTCAACAAAGACCATGTATTACTGTACCCAACATCCTCAACAAAGACCATGTATTACTGAACACACAACATCCTCAAAAAAGACAATGTATTACTGAACACAACATCCTCAACAAAGACCATGTATTACTGAACACACAACATCCTCAACAAAGACCATGTATTACTGAACACACAGCATCCTCAACAAATACCATTTTTGTCTCGCCTCAACGAAGTAGCTGTGTTGCTTTTCCGACAACAGCGTCAACATTAAGTTTTTGCGTTTAAGTTAGTTTCTCTGAAACTATAAGTGATAGACCTACCAAAACAAGACCATAGTTGCATCTTAGGTAGTATATTTGCATGCATAAAAGGCTGGATGCCGCCTACATTTCATGGTCCATTGACTTTGTCAGCATCTCCATCAACATTAAGTTTTTTGCGTTGAAGTTAGTTTCTCTGATAAGTGCATTGATGGTCAAAGCGGGGCACAGGCGAGACATATCAATCCAAATGGCTTGTTTATATAACTGAACACACGTCATCCTCAACAATTACCGTGTGTTAATGAATAGAAAACATCTTCTACAATTAATCTGTATTGCTGTAAACACAACATCCTCAACAATGACTGTTTAAATGAACTGAAAACATCCTCAACAATGACCAATTAAGGTAAATGCTTAGTGAAAGTCCTACATCTCACTAAACACAATGTTGTTCCTGGGGCCATGCTCCTCAACTTACTTCCATCATGACTTTTCAGAGGAAGAAGAATTAGTTTAGGGGGGAAAAAACATTTTAACTGTGAAAAATAAAAAATGAAACATTTCCTTACCTAATAACAATGGAACAACCAAATTACTATTGTTTTGCTTAATCAGGCACATTAATTCTACAGGTGCTTTAATCTATTGGTACCTCTCCCTAGAAAAATCTTGGACTTGAGCAAGGCTACTACCAGTACAACTAGCTGTAGCCTTGTTTATATCATGTGTTTTGCATAGATATTGGGTGAACAAATAATTAAAGCATGTATCTCATATTTCCCAATGTGGATTGAAAGCTAATGAAAAATAAGTTATCATGACAGTTAGGTGAATCAAAGTACGAGTTCCTCAATAAATACAGTTCATGAGGATAGATCTGGAAAAGGCTTCAGTGTAAGCAGCAGTCCTTTTGAATAGAACAAAAGGTTAGATTCAATGAGCATTACTCTGACACAAGAATGTGTGCACAGAAGACCAATAGTCTTTTTTTCTTAGCGATTGAAGAAGTTGAACAAATACATTCTATTGGATGCAATGGTTATATCATTCTCAGCATGACCTGGTGTTAGACCTCCAGTATGTGGGAGCAGAGTACGGATTTAGGGTAAGGTCTTTACATCTCTTATTATGAAAAAAATCATTTACTGTTCTAGTTCAATACCATAACAGCTTCTGCTGTTTGCTGTTTTATCCACATTACCTTATTTGTCATCTCGTGCATAATCATAGCCTCTTTGTCAACTTAATATGTATATTCATAGCTCCTTCGTCACCTTATGTATATTCATAGCCCCTTTGCCACCTTTAGAATACTCAACAGTGGAAACATTTTGCTGTGTAGAAATCCTCACATTTTAACATTGAGCAAAATAGCACGAAAATATCCACAAATATTTGTGTATGAATGTAAAGAATAGATAGATTTCAGAACCATGCATTGTCAAGGCAAACATTTCCTCACTGCGATCAGTTTAAAAAAGTCACAACATGAACATTTTCACAGAAGTGAAGTGTAAATTGTTTATCAGAAGACCTTTCATGAAAGATCATTGGTTATGATAAGAATATTCAATTTTGGTAAATTTATTTGAAATATGTGTAAACAATGACATGAAATGTCTTGGTATCCATCTTACATGTGATTAAAATACTTTTTACAACAAAGGGGTCCTTGCTTCTCAACCAAGTGGTTTCTTTCCCAGATTGTATGGGTTTTGCGATGTAAACAGGGCTCTAGCTGACTCAGGTCCACTTGAGACTTTAAACAGTTTTTATATATACATTGTACTTAACAATTTTAGTTTTAATTAACTTAACAGTAATCTGTTAATCTGCTTTGTAACTATTGTAACTATAGCATTTTAGTTGTGTGTTAACAACAAAAAGCAAAATGCAATTATAACGAAATAACTTTTCAAATAAGAATCACAGTATAGCTACAATTAAAGACATTTTTTATGTCTTTTTGTATATGAAGTATAGATACTAAGATGGCTTTTTTTAGATACGAAGTGTTGATGTGAATGAAACTGTGTCTGATGAAGTCTGGAATAAAACTGCCCTTCACATTTTTACGTTGGTGGGAGACCACTCCAGTACAGATACAGGTAGGTGGATTATATGTACTATATAATGTATATATAATTTCTAACATTTAGTAGCATGTCAATTTGTTAGCTTACCTAAATTTATTTCCTGTTTATAAGAACGCATCAAGGAAATGCACATTTTTAAAGAAACTGTGCTTTATGTATTTAAGCCTTTAACAAAATTATCTTATTCACAGTACGAGATCTGCATGAGGATATCATTGATGGAAATAGTAATAGTATTCTATAAATAAACTCCTATATGACCATTACCCTACCTGATTGGCATTGATAATCAAATCTCAACTGCATAGAAAGAATAAGTAACATTTACTAATGATAGATATTTTTAGCTCACCTGGCCCGAAGGGCCAAGTGAGCTTATGGCATGGTGCGTCGTCCGGCTTCCATCTTTCGGCGTCCGGCTTCCGGCATCAATATTTTAATTTAAACAACTTCTTCTCAATAACCAAAAGGACCAGGGTACTGATATTGGGCCTGTAGCATGCTGGGATGAAGGGCTACCAAGTTTGTTCAAATGAATGACCTTGACCCACTTTCAAGGTCACAGGGGTCAAATGTCTTAAAATCTTCAAACAACTTCTTCTCAATAACCGCAAGGTTCAGGGTACTGATATTGGGCCTGTAGCATGCTGGGATGAAGGGCTACCAAGTTTGTTCAAATGAATGACCTTTACCCACTTTCAAGGTTACAGGGGTCAAATGTCATAAAATCTTCAAACAATTTCTTCTCACTAACCGAAAAGCCCAGGGAACTGAAATTATACCTTTAGCATGCTGGGATGAAGGACTACAAAGTTTGTCCAAATGAAAAACCTTGACCAATTTTCAAGGTCACAGGGATCAAATATGTTTAAATCTTCGAATGACTTCTATTCAATAACCAAAAGGCCCAGGGTATTGATATAAGGCATGTAGCATGCTGGGATGAAGGGCTACCAAGTTTGTTCAAATTAATGACCTTGACCCACTTTCAAGGTGACAGGGGTCAAATGTCTTAAAATCTTCAAACAATTTCTTCTCACTAACCGAAAAGCCCAGGGTACTGAAATTAAACCTTTAGCATGCTGGGATGAAGGACTATAATGTTTTTCCAAATGAATGACCTTGACCCATTTTCAAGGTCACAGGGATCAAATATGTTTAAATCTTCATACGACTTCTTCTCAATAACCAAAAGGCCCAGGGTACTGATATTGGACCTGTAGCATGCTGGGATGAAGGGCTACCAAGTTTGTTCAAATGAATGACCTTGACCAACTTTCAAGGTGACAGAGGTCAAATGTCATAAAATTTTCAAAAAACTTCTTTTCAATAACCAAAAGGACCAGGGTACTGAAATTGGGCCTGCAGCATGCTTAGATGAAGGGCTACCATGTTTGTTCAAATGAATGACCTTGACCTACTTTCAACCTAATGACCTTGTTCGACAGGTCACAGGTGTCATATGGTTAAATCTTTTAATAGGTTTTTATGAATCAAACACTGATATTATACCTGTAGCTGTATTTTAGTCCACTTTTAAAATTACAAGTGTGAGATTAATACATCTGTACCAGGTGAGCGATGCAGGCCGATTGGGCCTCTTGTTTGTTTAAAGGATGTATGTTACCTTATTGTGACTGTTATCTCCTTTCCTAGAGAATTCCTTACAAAGAAAACTAAAAAATATTATAATGTATGCCGATGGGAAATATATCAACTAATTACAAAGCCACCAATGCAGATCATACAAGAAACGAGTAAGCGAATACACCTGTCGAGCCATCTCAGTGGCAGTGATACAGGTAAAAATGTTACATGTGTAATGCATGTGTTTTACTTTCACTTAGTCTAGTTTGCTTAGTGTTTTGTTGTCATATATCCCATGGAAATACAGGTGATCATTATCTATTTATCTATTCTTCAGTAGATACCAAGTCCGTTACTTGTCAGAGTAACGGTACATGAAATAATGTCATTCTATCCTGTCCAGGTAAGGATACTTCATTGAGATGATACTTTACAGAATACATGAATGTAGCTGACAAACACATCCATTTTTCACTCTTTATGTCTCCAGGGAGTAGTGACATGATCACCTTGTTGATCGTTGCCCTAGCTATTGTGATGGTCTCTGTGGTTTTGGCTGGTGCAGTTTGGATAAGGAAGAAACTTCGCAGACGTAAACTACTTCCACATTTACATGGGCAACTAGGGGTTGATGCAAATAACTACCAGTTATTCCACACCCAGTAAGTGGTCAAGTCCCAACTGACCCCTCTTGTTGCTGATAATGCACAGCCACTGAACCAACTACGACAGTCAATCTGTAATGAATATTTTGCAATGGTTGTCTCCCCTTACCAAGGTCCTGTCTGTCTCTGTGCTCATGATGTGTACAATATTTATAGAGGTTGTCTTCCTTACCTCGGTCCCTCTATCGCTGTGACCAGATTCTAACAAGTCCCAACATGGGATTTGCTTGCTCTGGCCCATTCTGTCTGTGTGCTTAGCATCATATATGTGATGTATGTTTTGTGATTCCCTTGCCCTCAGAGTTCAGTCTGTCTTTCAGGCATCATACCAGGACATAGTACTATGGGTGCAATTACCATACATAAAATTGCTGGGCATGAAAAATGTAATATAGCTATGCTACAAGGATTGGCCTTGGGGTCTGGCATATTCCCTTGATCTCATTTTGAGAATAGTTTGCCATGATTGCTTAGGTATCCAGGTGAGCGATACAGGCACTCTGGGCCTCTTGTTTAACTTTCGAGTTTATAAAAAAATGAGCATCCATAGGATTGATCTTACACCTCATGAAACTGTTCTCGTGCTCAATCCTGGATTCATTGCTCAAACCAACTTTCTTGTAACTCGCTTAAATCATGTCAAACAATCAAAGTCAACCATAAACACTGAAAACTGTATTTGGGTTAAACGTTTAAGTCTCTTCATTCGCCCCTGAGATTGGTGGAAAAATGTTAAGGAAAGATATAAATATTTACATATATATTTTGCAGACAATTCATTATTTAAAAAAATCTTTTTAAAGTTACCTGTTGCATTAAAATAATTCATCTGTGATCAATCATTTTAAGGTGCATGAAGATTTCCTCAATTTTGGTTAACAAAGATTATTTTTGAATATTCACTTCAGGGATAATCCAAGGTGCAAGGTGTAACATGTTTTCACTCCTGGAAAAGGCATTTGGTTATATAGAAATCCTGTTAATTTGGTCTAAGTATACCATCGATACCCTTGTATGTCACCACCTCAATAATACTGATAAGTGTGAAATATCTTTGGTGATGTTTGTCTCACCCTGTCCTTGTCTACCCTGTGTCTGTGCTCAGTACCTGAGAAAAATGAGGAATATATTTTTATGATTGTCTCCCTTTGCTCTGGTTCATATTGTCTTCCATACTTGGTACCATTCAAGTAGTGTAATGTTTATTTTGTAATATTTGTCTGCGTTTGCCTAGGTTTAGTCCGTTTCTGTGATCAGGGCCTGACAAGTGTGAGGTATATTTTGATAAATTGTCTCCCCCTACCCTTGTGCGGTCTCTCTTTGTGTAACCAATACCCCACAGAAGTATATTGACATGTTTCTCTTCCATTGCACAGATCTAGTATGTCTTCAATGATCACCCCAGCAGTGGTACCTGACATGTGGGAACTTCCTCACAGTGGGATCAAGGTTGGTCCCATTCTAGGTCAAGGGGCATTTGGATTGGTCACCAAAGGACGCATCAGTGGACATCTACTGACCAATAGGAATATTCCTCTTCCCCAAGAAGTTCAAAGGGAAGGCACTGAAATATCTGTGGCCATCAAAATGCTCAAAGGTAAAACTGTCTCCTACTACTATAGGTTTATGTTAATTAATGTACAACATATTTGGAGGTGAGCTGGATATATAACGAAGTTTGTTGTCAATGGTGATGGAATGTCTGACATAGCAGTTTAGGTTATTAAGTCTAAGGTCAAGGTCACTGTACACCAACATCTTACACTGCCTACTGTAGTCTTCTTGAGATGAATTGTAAAACATCAAGATCACTGTTTCTGTGAACAAGGTTTCTAACCATAATAAGGTGATGCATGAATGACTTGTGGTCTAAAAGACTATAAATATGTAGTGTGAATGGGCCAAGTTACTGCCCGTGACCAGGTAGCTAACCTGTTTGAGCATCCCACAAGAGGTCTTGGGTTCAAATTATGATCGGGTCTGTTGCATTTTCCTTCTGTTACAATAATGCCAGTAACCAACCCTTGTTTTAAGTTATGAGTGTGCACTTGACATGGGGATATCCAAATCTGTGTTATAGATACTGTTGTCTTAAGGGGCAAAGACTTACACAAAGGATAGAAGTGCTTAGTGGGACTGACCGGGTGGTGGCTGGTGACCAGGTAGCTAGCATCTAAAGATCGTAGGTGGTCTGGCTCCATTGCATTACCTCTCTCCTGTTACAAATAAAACTTGAGGTTTCTCTTGTGAAACCAATTTCTATTATAAATACTTACCACAGTCATTATAATGCATATGTCTTACTTGGCTCTTTACATACGTAAATAAAGAATTTTTCCCCCCATGGGGAAACCCTGGGAAACCCACCAATCAGACGGTAGTATTCACGCACGTGATAAGACACGAAGCCATGCTTCCCACTTCATAATTCCAAAGCCCAAAAAAGTGAGAGCCAAGGAGACAAGGGGAGGCTGGGAGGGAACTCACCTAATGACTGTGGTAAGTATTTATAATAGAAATTGGTTTCACAAGAGAAACCTCAATTCTATTTCAAAATACGTTACCACAGTCATTATAATGCGAATTCGACTTACCGCAGTGGTGTCTCCGTGGAGCGATGAAGGGTTCCAACAATAGGACCCATACCCCCGGAGGAAAAATTCAAAATACCCTTTCCTTTTGTGACACAAAGCCTGATTACGACCAGCGTTCCGGATCACGCGGAGAAGACATAATGAGGCTTATGCAAAAGAAGAGGGAGGACAGACAACGGACTGGGCAGCCACAAGAGGGCCCAAAGAATACAATCCGTCAGACTGTCCCGACAAAGATCGGAGATAGAACTCCGTAAACGTAGAATGACCCCTCCAAACAGCAGCTGTCATGACCTCAGCGTAAGAAGAACCATTAAATAAGGCCCACGAAGTAGCTAAAGCGCGAACCTCATGAGCCCTAACCCCTGACACCCGCAAGGACTGATCCCCTGCCGACTCATACGCAGCTCGAACAGTCTGAACAATCCAGCGTGAGATGGTCGCTGCAGAGATATCAGAGCGACCGGGCTGGAGAGACTGGAACAGCCGAGACGAGTGTCCCGCCCCCCCCTCTGTTCTGGCCAAGTAGTAACGCAAGGCCCGAACTGGGCAGAGCAGGCGATCAGGACAATCCCCATCCAGAGTTGAAGCCAAAGAAGGGATAACCACAAGCCCTGGGGTGAAACCGGGAACCTGGTTCTTAGCTAAAAAGGAGGGATCAGTGGTCACCGAGACCGAAGAATGGCCAGCCGAAAAACGAAGGCAAGAAGAAGATCTGCTGAAAGCATGAATCTCGCTTCTGCGGCGACCGGAAGCAAAGGCTATCAAGAACACAGTCTTGAAAGTAAGAAACTTCCGATCTGTCGACTGGAGGGGCTCGAATGGCGCCCTTAACAAGGAATCTAGCACAAGTGCTAAATTCCACCTAGGGACCAATTGCCGTGAACGAGGCTTCTCAATGTAGAAGCCCCTAATGAGAGCCGACAATGAAGCGTCCGAGCCCACTGACTTGCTACCATAGAAAGCCAGCACACTAGCAATGGCTGAACGATAGCCTGCAATAGTTCCCGGAGACAGACCTTTGTCCCTGAACAGAGACAAAAGAAAGTCAGCTACAACGGGAACAGAGGCAGAGACTGGATCAATCGACCGTCCGACACACCAATCACCGAATGCGGACCATCGAGATTGGTAGACGGCGGAAGACGAAGGTCTAAGTGATCCTGCGATGCGAGTTGCAACTTCTCGAGAAAAGCCCGTCTGAGTGAGCCTTCCCGAGATAGCATCCAACCGTGAAGGTGGAGCCGTTCCGGTCCCGAGTAGAACTGTCGGGACCTCGGTTGAGACAGCAGATCCCACAGGGGTGGGATGCTGCGTGGGAAGTCCACCGACAGCCGAAGCAACAGAGGAAACCAAGGTTGTCGAGGCCAGAGCGGTGCAACCAGCAACACAGTACAAGGGTGTAGAAGGATCTTTTCCAACACCCTGCCCACCAGATTGAAGGGAGGAAACGCATACGCGTACATTCCCGACCAGTCCTGGGATAGAGCATCCACCGCCATGGCCATAGGGTCTGGAACCGGAGACACAAATGTAGGGAGTCGAAAGTTCAGGGCCGTGGCGAACAGATCCACATGGGGTCTGTCCCAAACCAGGCAAAGAGACCGGAACACCGAACGCTTGAGGGTCCATTCGGTGAGAACCGGGCTCCGAGACCGAGACAGAGTGTCGGCCAGAACATTCAGACGACCTGGAAGGTGCCTCACCGTGAGATCGAGACTGATCTCCTGACACAGCAACAGGACCTGGGTGGATAAAGCACACAGAGCCGGGGAACGGGTGCCCCCCTGGCGCTGCAGATAAGCCACCACAGTGGAGTTGTCTGTAGCCAGACAAATGGCCTTGCCCTGCAGGGAGGGTCGAAGACCCCGAAGGGCCAACAGAACAGCACGCATTTCCAGAACATTGATGTGTTCTGAAAGCTGTTCCCCTGACCACACCCCCGCCGACGTCTGACCGGAAAGGTATGCACCCCAACCGGTCATGGACGCGTCGGTGTAAAGGGTCATAGCAGGAGATGCCCGAACCAGAGGAACTCCTGCCAAGACATTGCTCTTGAGAGTCCACCAACGAGCTGATTCCTTCACCGACTCCGGCAGAGGAATGTACACATCCCACTGTCGAGACGCCGGAGACCAAACTGACAGAAGGAACAGCTGGAGCGGACGGATGTGAAGCCGACCCAAGGGAACCACATCCGCCAATGAATTCAGGTAACCGAGGAACCGAAGGAACCATCGGACCTGAATTCGCTCCACACCGACCAGAACGGAGACCAACAGAGAGGCCTTCTCGAACTTGGACACTGGTGGAAGGACAAACCCCAGATCGGTTCTGAACCGATAACCGAGGAAAACAAAATCTTGAGAGGGGAGAACCTCCGACTTCTCCCTGGAAGGGATGAACCCTAGGCGGCACAGAACGCCCAGAACCGACCTCGTGCTCCGGGACAGGATAACTGGATCCACTTGGAGCAACAGGGAGTCGTCGAAGTAGATGTGTGCATCTACCCCGAGACTGTGGAGGTGCCCCACTACTACCTGCAACAACTTGGTGAAAACCAAGGGGGCCGTAGTGAGGCCGAAGGGCATAGCGCGAAACTGGTAAACCTTCTGCTCGAAAGTGAACCTGAGGAACTTCCTGGCCGACCTCCTGACCGGGATGTGAAAGTAAGCATCCTTCAGATCGATGGACGTAGCCCACATCCCTGGACGCACTGACGCAATGATGCGCCGTGGCGTTTCCATCTGGAAGTGCGGGGAATCGACATACGTGTTGAACGTACTGAGGTCGATAATAGGCCTCCAGGCACCGGACTTCTTCTTCACGAGGAAGACCCGGGAGTAAAACCCTGGAGACCACTGGTCCCGTGAAAGTTCTTCGATCGCGCCCTTCGCGATCATGGCTTGAACCTCTGACCTGAGAGCCTCCACCTTTCCCGGATCGGAAGGAGAAGGGAAAAAGATAGGCTCTCGCGCCAGAGGTGGATCCCGAAGAAGCGGGATGCAGAGACCCTTGGACACAACCCCTAGGGCCCAACTGTCTGAAGTGATTTCTTTCCACTGAGGAACGAAATGGGACAGCCGACCGCCTACTGGCAAGTCCGGAAGGGGCCAATCTAGCCCTTCCCAAACCACCTCGGCGGAGCCTCCCGCGCCCAAGGACGTGGGAGCGGCCACAGACAGTGGACAAGGAGTTTGCAAGGGCAAGGAAGAGTCAGGAACCCTTCCTACCTCTGGAAACTTTGCCTTTGCCTCGACCCCTATGGGAACCCCTACCGCGGAAGGAAGATTTCCGACGTTCTGCCGGAGCGGAAGTCGGAGGGGCAGACTGCTGCTGAAAAGCAGTCGTCTTTGCCCTCTTCCTCCTACGCCTGGAGGAGCCAGAAGCCTGCCTCTTCCTGCTAGCGCCCTTGCCTGCGGAATTGTGGCGTGCATCCTCAGATGCAAACGGGTCCAACCTCATCTCAGATTGCACTGAGGGAAGGACCCCGCCAAACAAATCCTCGCCAGTCAAGGGAGCCTCCAAAAGGGTAGCCCGATAGGAATCGCCGACTGGCAGTCCAGAAAGGACCGACAACCGGCGGGCAACAACAAGGTGTGACATGGCAGCCGACAGTAAGGCCATCGCATCAAGATGTGCCTTGCAAATTGCCTGGCTGAGGCGCTCCATCAGTCCAACCTTGCTGGGGAGCTGCTCCACCGACTTGCAGCTCGCAGCCAGCAACGCAGAAGTAAACCAGTCTGCGTAGGACAGAACATGGAGAGCCAGCCTAAGGAGACGCTCCAACTTAGAGTGCTCCCTAGGCCCCATCACAACCTGGTCAACACAGCGTCCCGGCCACTTATCCAGATCCCTCTCAAGGGAAACAGAATTAGGGGCCAAGACTGGGTCGTGGATGCGGTACGTATCTGCAGCTAAATCTGCGATGTCGGCAACCACGACCTGTAAAGCCGAGAGGGAAAAAGGCTTGCGAGCCTTGCTCACCTTCTGCTTTAACAAAGCGTTGACCTGAGCGAGGGACGAAGCCACGCCTCGTCCCTCCGCAAGAGACCTAGCAGAGGCCGAGGAGGCAGATGCTAAGGGAGGCAACATGCTCTGAAGGAGCGAAATGCGCTCCGGGACGGCCGAATCCGTGGAAGGGCGTGGGCAAACCCCGTCCCCCAGAAGCTTCATAACTTCTGCACGTAAAGTGCGAAATGAAGCCGAAACCTCTGGAGGCACCGGATCAGCATCTCGGGGCCGGGATTGGGACACATCAGAAGGGCCTTCTGAGTCCAACCCAGACGAATCCAACGACTCTAAATCAGAGTCAGTAAACTCGCCGACTCTATCCTCATCCCGAGTCTCCGTAAAATTGGAGCAACCAGGAGAGCCCCGAAGAACGTCCCTCTCATCACTAGGAGAGGCACCCGCCGAATCCACCTCCATCAACGTCGCCCTCCGGGGAGGGGTGCGAGGAGGGGAAAGAGAACGTGACCTACCCGAGGGAACTATCGGGGCAATCGATAGTCCCTGAGGAACAGCAGGAGCAGGACCACAAGACCCTGGAACCTGCTGTAAGGTAGGAGTTGACACCGGACAGCGGAAGTTACTGGTAGACTCAAATTCCAAAATAGGAGCTCGAGCCAACGCAGCACGACCAGCAGCCCTAGCATCACGCGGTCTCTGCCTGACTGAACCGGCAGCAGAAGCTGGCCGGGAGCGCGAACGCTTGCGCGAACGGCTCGGTGGCGGATGGAGGGGGGGCCCCATCGCCGCAGGCAAGAAGGCGGGGGGGGCATATCCAGGCTGGAAACCCATACCACCCTGGGGTGGAGGGGGAGCGGCTGGAAAAGCCCCCTGCTGGGAGAAACCCCAAGACTGCCCATAGGCGGTCGGTGGTTGGGGCGGAGCATAAAAAGGAGCCTGTTGACCCCAATGAGCTCCATTCCCACCCTGCAAATAGGTGGGATAAACCAGGGAGGACCCTGGAACAGAGCCACCAACCTGATGCCCGAAACCGGAGGCAGGACCGGTTTGGGGGGGCGGGGTAGGGAACCTAGGGCCACCTACACACCCGCCGCCATAAGCCACACCTGGCTGACCTGACCAACTCCACCCAGACTGACCTACAGCAGGGCCAAAACCTGTAGGGCCAGTAAAACAAGCCCCACCAGGGGAGCAGCGTGCACCGGCAAAACCAAACGCAGCTGCGCTGGCACCTACCATAGGAAAACCTGGGGAGGAGGCACAAGGGATAGAGCT